GCCTATTCTGAAGATACCCTACATAAAACGAAAGACCTTTTTTGTAAAAAAACAAATTTGCCTGATTAATTTGACTTCTATGCTTCACGCATTACTACTACTATGAGTTTATTTATGGTAATCACGTACGGTGTAACTATGTAAAAAACGTTATCATATGTAAATACATTCACAGTTGGTAATAGAATTATTTAGACAAAAGCAATCAGAGTCCCGCCTTTTTGGCGCCTTAAAAGCGCAATCCTTCATCCTCAAAACTCTCCGAAAAAGTACTATTTGCATATAGCTGTCAGCCGTGCCTTCACCGTTCCTTTAAAATCCCAGAACGATACCATCACCAAACCCCACCACAGATCCAATCCTGCAGCCTCGAATCCCAACGTACTTACTCTGTCCACACGGGATTCCTCCGAATTAATGGCGCGCAGAAATGGGCATGCTCTGACGCGCGCGCGTCAAGCCAAAAGTAGCCCTGATCCTGAGCCAACAAACCAGCCGGTGTTCAGACGGACCGCCAAAAACAACCCAAACCCCGCTAAATCACCCTGTTTTCTTTGTGGAGGAGGTAATGCGTAGATCACAGCATGGCTTTTGGTCAGGAACTAGTATACCTTGGCGAGGAGGTAATTTATGCAGGCTACTGGACGATCGATCCGATTCATATAAAAATTTTTAAAGAGCGGAAAAGTGCCAAAATTGACTACGTTGATGACTTTTACAGCTTCGATTTCGAGACTTCCGTAGCCCGTTCAGGTTCCAGAACAATTTCTTTGACACAAAAATCCAAGTAAATTGTTATATGCCCATTTTTCACCATCCAGTTTGCTCAAACTGGGTGTCTCCTAGGTCGCTCTGGTGTTTTTCTTTTGAAATATTTAAATTGAAAATTACGAACCCTTAAAAAAACCAGAAAATGCGAATATTTTGTCATTGTGAAAAAGGCCTACAAACATTATGCAAATTCTCGTCGAACAGGAAAATAAATTACTAAAATAGGATGCATGATTGCGCATTATTTATATGGATCATTAATAGGATTCAAAAGTCCTATTGTTAAATGGACCCTAAAAATCTGAATAAATGATAGGTATTTTCGATTTCCTGGACCTTCAAAGACACCCAAAATCGACGCCTATTAAACTGTACCTCATCCACCCCTATTTTTCCCCCCTAGGAAACAAGATAAGTTCCAAATATGGCCCGCTGTTTTTCGGGACGCTCTCGATGCTGCAATTCGTTCCAACCCAAAGACTTTCCCCTTTTTTCAGCCAGCTAAATGGCGTTGTTTTGGTCCAAATATCGTTGGTGGTGGTGGGTTCTTCTCACGTGTGGTTGGTTGTGTGTGGTTGTGTGTAAAGGTATCGTGTTTTTGTGCGGGGTGCAAAGGCTAGAAAAGGCTGCAAAAGGCTGGAAAAGCGAGGGTTTGGATAGCATCATCTTTTCCGTGAAAATACAGCCGGGAAACCCCCAAGATCGGTCCATCACCGCACACAAACCCCAACCCAACACGATCACTGCGCCCGTTTCTGATCCGATACTGTTTTTCGGGGGATCTTGGGCTGAATTCCGGTGGCACCGCGCCCATTTGAACTAATAATAAAGGGGCCGGCTAGCCTGTCCGCCTATATATTCGACAGGGCACTTGAAAACAGTTCGAGTTTTTTCGGGATCAACTTTGTCGACTTGGAGAAACATTGGAAGTGTTAGCAGACCGGTGCGGCGATGAGAGGCTTATGTAAGTTTTTGTGGCGCACTTTCGAGGTTATACCTGTCCATCTAAGGTTCCGAGACGGCATTAAATTGTGCATTAAATTTTCTAGAGAATTCTGATTTATACAAAATTAAAAGTCATAAAAGCGCCAAATCCAGCTATATTTGGTTTTGATATTTGGCGCATTAACAGAAAATTTTTACCGATATCCAGCTAGTTTTTGGGAAATTCCAGCAAAATTCACAAAAAAAATTAATTCATGTTTAGGGACACAAAATCCCGCAGTTTTTTTTGCGCATCAAATGGACCCTCATCATTCTTAATCTATGCAAAATCCGGAATCTAACGAAATTGCACCATTGCCATTTTTCCCGCCGTATTATATCTCTGGTCTATCGCGCATTGATCCCGCGTTACCAAATCAGTGCCATGCTAATTTTGAAGAATTCGGGAAAAACTACTCATCGTGAATGTCAATCATTTTTGAAACGTAAATGTGGTGAAAATTAACAAGCGGTTTCTAAGAGCTATCAGTAATGCGTTTTTCGTTTCCTTGACTCGAACGTCGTTATTGTCACGAGTTTTGCATACCGTTTTTTGAGATACTTTTTACCATCTTAGTAGTTTTCTAAATAGGGAATTTGTTTTTTAATAGTCTGCAGTTTCTTTAGCCTTCGTACGCTCGTAGTCTCATACCTCCACTCCACCCCCAACCCCAGCACAAAAAGTCACAACTCCCCGTACCTGAAACCCGTTCACCGAACCCAATCCCCAAACCACATCCATTGGTTAACGATCCAACGCTCAGCGCCCAAAGGAGCACAACGCACAAAATAGAAATGACACCCCCAGGGGCACCGATGGAATGCACACAAATAGGATGACGAAGGTGATATGGTCTGATTGGGATAAAGCTGCACGCCCTGCTGCTGGACCATCAAAAAACAAAAAGGCGCGGACCCCCGGCAAGGATAACAGCACCGCCCGCCCCCGCGCAATCACCTCACCTCACATACCACATACCGCAGTTGTTCCGTGCAACGAAACCATTTCTCGGGTCACCGTATGCCTCGCGGCTTTTTTCGGAACTTGCTCACTGATCTTCAAAAAGTTATAGGACTTCCGCAGCGTTTCTATGGCATCAACAGGATTTTTAAAGTTTGGTTTCTAGCTCATTTTGCTAGTATACTATTACAAGCGTCTTTTCCACATCTGCGAGACGTACAGGGGAGCCATTCAGGTCGGCGCCGGCATTTTTCTTTTTAGCCGCTTCTAGTCTTCCTAAATGATCTCTGCTTGCTTGCCTCTGCTGCTTACCATGCCCTCTAAGCTACTCACCCCGGTAGGCAAGCTAGCAGACGCTTCTTAGTGTCTTTTCCTGCTCGGCAATACTAGCTTAAATTATAAGGAAAGTCTTGAATCCGGAAACCTTGCGACAAGCTGCACAAAACCGCTCCAAAGTTCACCTTTATTGAACTCAAATTTGTCTACTCTAACGTACCTGACTTTCCGAACCCACTTGACTAAATCCGAACTTACTGTCACCCTTGGATTATGTGCTCGGCAATTGTGGTCGTCCACTTGATGGTCCATCCCGCAACGGTCCGGAACTTATCCCAAAATTTTCCCCACGACCCTTTGACCTCACAAATTTGGAGCCCCCCCCCCCCCCCCCCCCATTTGCGGGGGTGGCGTTTCGAGGCCATCAGTCTTGAGACGTAATTTTGCATCAAAATTTCCTAAACTTTTTCCACAGCCTGTTTTAAACTTTGAGTCCAATTCCGCGGGGCACTACGGGATTGCGCCTCAAAAATACCGGTTCGCCGCGCGCGGGGCCTCTCCGCTCGGGCACAATGGGGGTCTTCCCCCAATTTCTTGGCCGCCCCCAAAAAATATTCGAGGCAAAATCCCGAGGAATTCCCTCGCATTTGACTGCTGACCCGACCTCGCGTCACCTCCCGTTGGAGGGCTATAACGAAAATATCGGACGGTCTGTTGGTGGGTGGGTTTGTCTGTCTATCTATGTCGTTGCTTCTCTCTCTCTCGCGCTCTCTGTCTCTGTCTCAGACTCTCTCACTCTTGCTCTCATGAAAAATTTGTCTTCTAGAAGTTTTTGACGGCCGTCTGGAAAATGTTATTCAAATGCGTCTGGCTCGCGGTCGGGCTATTTAAGAGCCTGGAATTTCATCAAAGTTCTGTCTGAATTTGACGACGTAAATTCTGAATCTTAAAGTATGATTTCCCACTACAAATGCTTTTGCTACGCTCGCAAAGGCGCGCTGCTAGCTCGTCCTCAATCTATTGTATTATCTCTCCCAGCCCGACCGAACTGGTCACTACAAAAGGCGTCGTTCATGAGGTTGATTGTATCTTGTACGTCTGCGTACTATTTTTATTAGCTGCGAGGTCTGTACTCGGATATACCTTGCAACGCGCAGCATCCTGAAGACAAAAAAAACACTGCGTGTATACCTGGATCCCCAGACATCCCGACGCCGCTTACGAAATCTTTTCGATCTTTATCTTTATCTTTAAGGCATCTTTCCCGCTCTCTCTCTCTCTCTCTCTCTCTCTCTCTCTCTCTCTATCCGATATCTCCATCTGTTCATATGTCCATCTTCCTCCTCCTTTCTGTGCTTTTGGGGAGTGGCTGGGGGGTGGAAAAATTGAGGGGGGTGGCCCCGTTGGATCTCGACCCGTTCCTTTCGGTTTCCTAGCTATTTTTGGGACGGCGGTGGTTCCGATCTTGTCGTTGGCGTTTAATTTACTCCGAGCGCTTTTTCGGCCTTCCGACTTCGATTTATTGGCTCGAATTTTGCGAAATGTGTCTCCACCATGGAATTTTTTGTCGAAATTTGTCCTTGACGACTTGCAAATTTTACGAGGACTTGTAAAAAATTGGAAACTTTAAATAAAATTTTTTTACCCAAATTTATAGTATTGTAGGCTTTTTAAAGGACCAACATTATCTTTATTTATCTTTATCTTTATTTTAAAAATAAGTTTCTCGAGTTTCACCAACAATTTTTGCGCAAAAAAATCCGTTCGTATCCATCGATGCGGGTTAATCTTGTTTACCATTTCACTTTTCGCTCCTCAAAAAAAAACGCACCGCCCGCGCACGGGAAATTCAAATTTATTGCGATTTGCTGGTAATTTTTATGTGCTTTATTAACACAGAATTGCCCCGATATGTGGATGTGTTGAAGTCGACAGTTAAAGAGCTATAATTTCTGAGAAACAAATTTCGATGTTTTAAATATTATGACAAATATCCATTTTTTTGCAGTTTCGAATTCGCGGGCGGACTCGGCCGAGTCGCAGGAGCAGCTGAAAAAGGACGTCGACCAGGTCCTGCCGCCAGAAGAATACCACAGGATGCGGCTTTGTACTACCGTATGTGAAGAAATTATCAAGGTAGGTTTTTGGATATATTTTTTAGTTATTAAGGGACGTGCAATTTATGATTTATATACTTTATTGGTGATGGATCCCCTATGAATTTTAACGGCGCCGTGACACGCAACGCGCTTCTTCTTGCGGCCAAGACTGGTTCGTAATCCATTACGCAATGGAATGAGGAGGCGCGTTGCCTGTCGCCAAGGCGTGCTTTGTGCGCCACCGGACGCTAAAAATTTTTTTCGTTAAGCGATAACAATGCCATTCACTTTTCTTTAATGCTATGCCTAGAGAGTACCTCCTCAAATCGTTGACCAAATTATCAAGCCCACTCTTTCCTAATGACGCCACTTTCTACCCCCGGCCCATGGGTTCCACAATCCCATTTGTCACACCCGCCGTTGTTTTCTCATCATTATTTTGGACCGAAACCCCCAGACGCCGTTTGAGGCGCGCCAAAACAACAGCGACGATTTTGTGCACGACAATCCCGGCAACACCTATTTACAGGGGTTTGCGGGGGTGTCGAGGAGCACATCGTGCCGCCCGTATCCTTTGGGAAAGTGAGATATGTGGTTGATCGGAAATCAGGAAAAATCGGGCTCCGACCCTGAGTCTTGATCTCGGGTCAAGGGGGTATCAAAAGTTTATCAGGGTTTCGCGGGTAGTATGGCTTCATCGTCAAGAGGTTTATCCATTATGGTCTTTATCGACTAACCAGTGGAAAAAGACCGCTTCGCGGCCCTTTTCCACTGGACCCGTCCAGGAATCATGAATTTCAATACTTTCGGTCTTTTAGCCTGCGGCGCAAGAACCTGAGTCAAGTAGCCCCAGTTTGGCCTGCGGCGCCAAGCCTGCGTTGCGCTAGAATCTTTGAAGTCTGCAGCGCTAGCCACCGATTTTTCTATGGGGGCTTAGCCTGCGGCGCTAGAGCGTGAGTCAAGGAACTTGTCTTTGGCCTGCGCCGCGAGAGCCTGGGCCAGGAGCTTTTCTTTAGCCTGCGGCGCTAGAGCGAGGGTCAGGCCTAAACCTCGCACACCGAGAGCCTAGAAATATGTTTTGTGGCTGAACTACCAAAAAGCAAAAAGCTAAGCAGCAACCAGGATCCGAACTCATGACCATCGGCGTGGTCGGCCGGACGCAGATCCACTACACCACCGGGCAGACGGGAACTTGCGGCCGGAAAGGCCTCTTGTGTCCGGGGAGAGGGGGGGGGGGCAAAGGAATGGGGACCCAATGATCCCGGGAGGGAGGCCTTTGGTCGCTTAACAAAATTCCATTTTTGAGTCTGAATTCGTTAAAAATTTGTAAAGATAATAAGATGCGCGTATTCCCACCACCGGTTACATAAGTGTTCTAAATTACGAACCGAAATTCCATCAGGGCTTCGAGTTATGCCCCGGACACCACGGCCATTGGCCCATTTTGTTAAGGATTTTCACTATTTTGCTTGTAAAACCGTTAAATGAAAGAATTTCGCAAAACAAAAAAATGCGTGTCTGACAAATGTGTTTCTCCACCGTCATGCCAAAAATCAGCTCAAAATTCGGCCTGACGGCCGAGAAATCGTCATGACAGAAAACAGACATACTTTTCTCGCTTATAGGATAGGATTTTTCAGGTTTTTGAGCACCGAGAATGTTGTCTTTTTAGGTTTTTTTAATAAATTTCTCCAAAATTTTAAAGTTAGAGAAACGGAGAATTTTGAAAAATTGAATACCTAAACCTACGCAGCCGCCACGTTTGCGCTACTTTTTTTTCTGACGCGAATAATATCCCAGAAATCCTATCCTATAAGCGAGAAAAGTATGTCTGTTTTCTGTACAGCCGATTTCTCGGCCGTCAGACCGAATTTCGAGCTGATTTTTGGCATGGAGGTGGAGAAACACATTTGTCAGTGATGCATTTTTTTGTTTTACGAAATATCTTCATTTAACAATTTTATAAGCAAAAAAGTGGAAAATCCTTAACAAAATGGGTTTTTGCCGCGTTGTCCGGAAGTTTTCTCAGCGCCTAGAGGGAATTGAGATCTCATTTTTCGAAGGTATATGGAAAAAGTAATTCCCCCGATACATATTTTTGGATTTTGCTAAATTTTTGAAAATAAAGTTTTCATAAGGATTTTTCTGGAAGGTCCTTAATAAATCCTGTCACGGGCGGTGGTGTCCAGGCCATATCTCAATACACATGGCGATTTTGGACCTGTATTTTTGACCACTCATGCATTCAATGGCGAGGATCACGCGCATCTTATTATTTCCACAAAATTCGACCAGCTTCCACCTCAAAAGTTGAATTTTGTAAAGTGGCCTGAAGGTCTGCCTGTCGGAAGTGCGGGCGCCCATTCCTATTAGCACAGCCCGGTTCTGCCCCCAGGATATGAAGAGGCCTTTACCGCTGCCCGTTCCAACCTCCCCCTGTGGTGTAGTAGATCAAGGCCGGGGCTATGCATCGAGGGTCGAGGGTTCGGATCCCCGAGAAATTTATCTTTTTGCTTTTTGGTCGTTCAGCAACAAAACATATTTCTAGGCTTTCCGTGTGCGCGATTTAGGTCTGGCCTTCGCTCTAGCGCCGCAGGCCCAAGAAAAGGTTCTTGACCCAGGATCTCGCGCCGCAGGCCCAAGAAAAGGTTCTTGGCCCAGGATCTCGCGCCGCAGGCCAATGATGGGTCCTTTACCGAGGCTCTAGCGCCGCAGGCCAAAGAAAAGGTCCCTGAAAAATGCTCTCGCGCCGCAGGCTAAATTCCGGGAGAAAAAGCAGTAGCTAGCGCCGCAGGCTCAAGGATAGCTCTGGCGCCGCAGGCCAAAGAATGGTCTGACTCAGGTTCTTGCGCCGCAGGCTAAAAAGAAGCTATTCAAATTCATGGTTCCTGGACGGGGTCCAGTGGGAAAGGGCCGCGAAGCGGTCTTTTTCCACTGGTTTCCTTGTATAGGCAAACCTGATTCGATCATACAAAAAGTTCGACCGTTTTGGTCTAGTTCCGGTAAAATCTGGGTGCTTCCTATGCTCGAAAAAAGCAGAAAGCTATGAAAAAAAGCTAACAGTGAAGTGCTATGAACTTTCAGAAAATCTTCTACCACATTGGCTGGCAAATCGGGAAGCGGCCGCTCACATTCATCCTCCTCGTTTTGTCAATCACGGGAGCCGCGCTTTTTGGACTATTACGATTTCATGAGGTAGTTTGCGTTCTGGAAATTGCTACGGGTCTTAACAACGATAATCAATGCTTTAATACCTCTAAAACATCTTTATTTCAGCGAAATAACCCTCGCGAAACATTCATCGCCTCCGATTCCCCGTCAAAAGTCGAATGGAATGCCGTGCAATCATTTTTGGCCGACGACAAGGCGTTGGATATCGTTTTGGTATGTTTATACATTTTAATAAAGTATCAAATCACGTTGACCTATCCAAGCTTACCTTAACTTTTCCAGTTATTAATCCAAACCTCCGATGGGCAGGGATTCTTTGGGAATCCAGAAAATATGAACCAACTCGGCGATTTTATGACGGAAATCATTGCGATGAACGTCACGTAAGAAATGTTTATTAAATTTAGGATATTTCTATAGCTTTATAGTATATTATATTCATCATATTTGTATTTTAGCGACAACAATGGAAAAAATGTTACCTTTATGGACATGTCTGGCCGTTTCAAAAAGCAGATTTTGGCCCCGCAAATGATTCAAGTGAAACGGCTAGGGTTGTACGGATCTCAGGTAAGTATTTTAAGGTATAGGAATTTTTATTAAGATTGTTAAAATGCAGAATACAATCTATAAACTCAAAAATCTATTTTGATTGCTTTAGAACATGAGCTATCCTTGGTTTGACAACAAGGACACGGCCATCGGCGAAGAAACGGCCATGATTTTGGGTGGAGATGACGCGGGCAGTACTGATGGTAAACACACGGTTTTGATTTCTTGATTTTTTGTTTTCAGACTATGATAGCGATGATGATGAAGACCCGACCGAGACCGTAAAAATCTACGGCGGCTACACGATGTACGATGTCGATTTTTACCCAAATACCACGCTCGTTAGGGTATATTGGCTTTGCAAAATCTGAATGAACGTTTTTTAGAACTATAATACTACCGTACTTCGATTGTTTATGGGCTATGATGACATTGACACGCTCTACCGATGGGAGTCGCAGGTAAGCTTTGAAAACAGCCATTTTCATAACTACTATTAATAAAACTATTTATTAAGCACCAAAAAAAACACGTTAAAAATGCTAATTTCCAATTTCAGATCTACGACATCCTCTACGAATCAAACAAATATCCAAATCTGAAAGGAGGCGTGGCTTCCGAGAATATTATGAGCAAGGAGGTCAAGGTGGATGAACTCGACTTTCCCTCGTCCCCTCTAAAATTTAATAACTCCCTGTATTCCAAATCGTTCAGAAAATCGGTGACGACGTCGCACCATTTTTCGGGCTTGTCTTTGTCGTCCTGCTCACTTTCATCGTCGTGTGCTCGCTGCGGTAAGCAGATTTTCTTCTTATTAATTTTTTATTGGGTAGATTCAAGCTGTAGCTTAAAAAGGGAGAAAAATAGTTTTGAAATCGATATTTTAGCGAGGACCCGAACATGAGCAAACCGTTGGAAGCATTCCTTGGCAGTTGCGTCCCGCTTTTGGCCACCGTCACCACGATCGGCTTGGTCTCGGCCATTGGAGTGGAATTCCAGAGTATGGCCGTGTCGTCGATGTTCTTGTTGCTGGCAGTCGGTGGGTACTTGTCGGTATTTTTTCTTATCATATCCCAAATTTCAATATTTATTTGAATTGGTAAGCTGTTCGTGGCCTCACATCAAAGTATTTCAACGAAAAATAATAAAATCTATGGAATATTCCATTTTTAGGCTTTGATCACTTGTTCATAATGACGTCGGCTTGGTACAAGACGAACAAAGCGGACGATATCCCGGAAAGAACGGCGCAAATGTTGGCGGTAAGTATCATTGCGTTTTTCTAACGGCGCTCTTATCACTCTTTAGGATTCACTGATCAATTTTATGAATTACAGCCAAAATTGAGCTCTCTAACCTATTTTTGTAGCATTCCGGCGTTTCGATGACTGTCACTACCGTTACCAACACAATCTCGTTTGCTACTGGTATTGCTTCGACGACTTCGTCGCTACGGGTAAGTATTTTAGAGTTTTTCTTGTTTCCCCTGTTTTTTGACTATAATTATTTTTAATCCATATATTATATTTTTTTAATAATTTTTCTCTATCATTTCTTACTTTTAGGTATTCTCTATTTATTCTGTCGTCGCCTCTCTAACCGTTTATGCCTTCGAAGTGCTCCTCTTCCCAGCCATTATGGCCCTCTTCTCGCATCGAGAATACCGTGAAGTCCAGTGAGTTCAATCGGCAAAAGCGGAATTTTAATTTTCACTTCAGAAAAGTCAGCAAGTTCCGGCGACGCGTCTTCGAGACGCTCCGAAAAATCCACGACTCCTTCTTCGAGGGGCTTGTTAGCTTCATCTCGAAATGGTGGTCTCCACTTATCGTTTTTACGGTAACTTTTCGCTTGGCTTCTCTTAAATTTCGTTTAGATACTGTTCACCTACTGGACGATTGCGTTTTACGGGGCTACTCACGTAATTTCGGACATGGATCTCAAAGATTTGGCCCCAAAGGAGTCCAGAATGGCGATATTCAAGCAGGAATGGGATCGATCGCAGCTTGTAGGTTAATTTGAGTTTTCTCGCTCGCTCGCTCCCTTTCTCTCTCGCTCCCTCTCTATCGCTCTCTCTCTCTCTCTCTCTCTCTCTCTCTCTCTCTTTCTCTCTGTCTCTCTCTCCACTTATAATGTACCTTTCCAGCCGATGCAAAGCGACGTCATCATCATCCAGAACGCAGGCAATTTGCTGAACGAGACGCGGCGGCAGCGACTCCTTGACTTTTTCGAGTAAAACCCATTTGCCCGGGCCGGCTAATTTGCTTTTTGGCTTTAGTGAATTATATGCCCAGCCGACCGCCCTTGGCCCCAATACCACCGTTTGCTGGTTCCAGCTCTACCTTGAGTATTTGGAACAAAAGGTAATCTTTTCCTTGATTTTGAAGATCTGAAAGGTGTAGTCAATACGATAATTAAAGATACTAGATGAACTGATCCTTTAAATTCGCTTACAGAACTCCACCTTCACCTATACTTTGATCGAAGATTTTATGGACAGTGGTGAGAGGAGTTGGATCAACGGAACCTTTAAGGTATAAAAAGATTTATATCTCTCCAAATATCTCTCTCACTCTGTCGCTCACTCTCTCTCTATCTCTCGCTATCTCTCTCTCTATCTCTCTCTCTCTCTTTCTCTCTATCTATCTCTCTCTCTATAACACAGCATTTTTTAGTACGACTACCTCGCCTGCCAAAACGATGAGCCTGGCTGCATCCAGTCTTTTGTGTGCATGTCTGGCTTTTGGAATATTACTCGGTAAGCCAAGAAAATAAGATTACTGTCTTAGTGAATTCAATTTTTATAAAAAAAATATCACTTCTGTTTAGCGACCGCGAAATGTATCCGGTGCTTCTTGAATGGCGTCGTATCGGGCGGGAATATAAGGACCTGGGAGCCGTGATCTATTCCGAGAGGACCGATTTTGCTGATCAGGTAGGCAAAAAAACATTAAAAAGCATCAAAATCTTGCAGCGACCTTCAAAACTATTTCCAGATCCAAACCCTGAACGCTTTCTTGTGGCAATCGTTGATCGAAGAGGTCGTCTGCATGGGAATCGCTTTTATCCTATTTGTCCCCGAAACGAACAGCATCATCGTCGCCGGGTTCAGCATCTTCAGCGTCAACTTGGGTAAGTAGCGATTTAGTTAAGGGGATGGGCAAAGCAGGATCAGAAAATTTAATTGGCCATGTATTCTAGCTATTTAGTCGCATCGCACGACAAAATTTTCATTGCGTAATGGATTGTATGTTTTATGACAGGCACTCAGCTTACGCGTTGCGCGTTGCGTTTCCTTAGAAAAAGCGCAGCTATCTGGCCTTTCTTGCCCCTTTAAAGACTTTTCGCTAGCGTGAGGGTGCTAAAATCCAGAGGCGCTTCCACGTGTTATTTGGAACGGCGTGTAACTTTTGGACACAGAGGGAAAAGAACTTCGATTCTTTACGCTTCTTTGCTCGTTCATTGAAACTTTCTGACTTCGCGTTCCCTTCAAAACCACCTTGATTTCCAGGTGTGTTTGGAATCCTGTCCCTCTGGGAGGTCGGTGTCGACCCGTTCTCCATCGCAGCCCTGTTGATGTCAATCGGATTCTCAGTCGATATCTCGACCCACATCTCCTATCACTATTATGAATCGCACGGAACGGTAAGACTTCCAAAGCATTAAAGATATAGCCAAATTTAGGACCCCGTGGAACGATGGCGCGAAACGTACTTCTCGATCGGGTGGCCGAGCATGCAGGGTTCGCTCTGTTGTTTGATAGCCATTTTGCCGTTGCTTGGCAAGCCGAGCTACCTGACTTTTGTGTTTTGTAAGGTGAGTGATACGGTAGTACGATAATTTACGGCATGACGGTAATTGGTGGAAAGATACTTTAATATGATGTGATCTTCTAGGCCAGACTACACAATATTTTCGGTATTTCAATATTCTAGGATAGGGCACTACGGTTGTATACGGTAAATCCGTACTATAGGCTGCTAACGTACTGTACGTAACTGTACGAGATTACGGTAGTACGGAATGTTCGTCGCTACGATATCTACGCTACATAATTTACCCAAAAATCTGCCCCATGAACCCAAAAATTTCAGACAATCTTTCTCGTCACCTCGCTCGGCATCCTGCACGCCTTCATCGTGCTGCCCGTCGTCCTCACCATGGTCACCCGATTATGCAATATCGGAAGACGGTAATTTTATCAAGTTTTTCCCATACAACCTCAACGTTTCAGGCGATCCCGCAAATTCACCGTCTCCGACTCGTCCACCGTCAACAAGCCGATCGAGGTGCAGGTCGGGAAATAAGCCCTGGAAGGCAGAAATTCAAAATGAAGCCGAGAAACTCAAGGAACACCGCTCCCTACTCTCCTCTCCCACTTCACCATATTACGTGTACACCCCCCAGCCTACAGCTTTATTTATCACCGCATTTTCTCGTGTTTTTCTTATCTGTGTTTTGGCGATCCCTTGCATGAATAAAGTTTTATGTCGTTTCGGAGAGGTTGATCGATGCGTTTACCGTGTAGGCACGCTGGCAAGCTTTTGGGAAGCGCCTAGAAAAACAGGGACATGCACAGGGCTGCTAGCGGGGGGAAGGGGGGGGGGTGGGGGCGAGGGGTTGAGACTTTGATGGAGACTCAAAAAGAATCTGAGCAAAAAGTGAACTCCTAGGAGCGGCAAAACTAGAACAATCCTTCACGATTTCACACCTGCCCTTCGAATAAAAATCTTGATTCAGGAGCCACGATGAATCGTCGATTCCAAAATTTCCTCACAGACCCGATGATCGTAATTTTTTGTTACTTTTCCCCCATAGATGAGGTTTGCTTAGGTTTAAGCTTGATACTTTGTTATGTAGCACCGGTTTCATCTAAAAATCAAATATATCTAGAAAATTAGTTGGTATTTACGTTTGAAAAAAAAATAGGTTCAAACGATATTTCGAGCTAGTTTTTTAGGCAGGTAAAGAGAGTAGCTTTGACAGCGCGAAAATTGAAATAACAGCTTTGCGGCTTGAATTTTCATTAAAAATACCTTTGACGCGTTTATTTATTGCCGGGTTACTCTTTATCGATGAATAAAACACCAATGAACAATTGTTTTGCAAAGCATTTACTAAAACTCATTAACGATCGTTATGCCGCGGTTGTCGACTCGATGGTGGACCTCGTATTCGAGGCCCCGGCTGAGTATATTTTGGCAGTATTTGCCTTTGTGAACCATCTGCAATCAAGTTACTTTTCACAAATTCTTAACTACCTTCCCAGCAGCCCATAGCGGTAGTCCTTAATAAAATAGATAATACAAATTGGGTCCATGATCGGGTAGAAGGAAATGGCGATCGGGACGTAGTTGCAAAATCGCCCGAACGGAATATGGAACATTGGGGTCCAAAAGGTGACGGCACATGGGATGTATTCGAAAAATCCAGGGACGACGGTCTGAAATTAATGGCACCAACAGGTACCAAAGAGGCTAAGGCTCCTGGAAGAGTTTCTTCCTATCGCCTATCTCTCCGTACCTGAATAATCAACGCTCGGAAAAGCTCTTCTTGCAATTTTCTGGTTTTTGCGCTCATCGAGCTGTTCTAAACTCAATTTTTGCGAATAGGCGTGGAAACTAGATACCTTTAAAGTCCAGTGTATGCGATAGCTACAAAATAGGATAACAGAAATGCTGGTGGATAAAATTCCCTGGCAAACCAAAAGGCCGTAGACTCCATTCATATGCCACACATAAATACCCTCTTCGTTTCTGTTCTAAATCAATGTTTAGGTTTAATGCTCTACATTTCCTATCAAAATCAGTAAGATTGACGAAAAAGTATTAAACTTTTCATTTCATACCCGATACATCGGTCCCAGTATTGCCGTCCGCTCCAAATCCACCTCATAATTGTCCCAAAGCGCCTTTCTCATTTCATCCTCGAATTAATGGTCTTGAGACTATTGAGAATAGCCATTTCAACGATCAAAAAGGGCAAAAAAAACGCAATGGTACCTTGTACAATTCCGTATGATACATAAAAAGGTGCAAAGCCGTTCCCCAGCTCGTCGTAGCGCATAACCATACGGCGAAATGGAGCGGAATATACCTTGCTTGGTTGTAAATATACATCAAATTATTTCTGAAGTCAACAGAATTATATATTTTGTTCTTAACTGCTACAGAAAACAGTAATGCAAAATTTATTAAACAAAATTGAGTTATTTTAATGTTCCAGTACCTGCAGATCAGGACGTAACGATAAGTAAAGTGATATGTCACCAGGATGAGGCTCTAAAACACTATAAGCTGCGCAAGTCGTCGTACCCCGCAAAACATGCTACAGTAGATGACCATACTCCAGTGTGCCGGCTCGAGGGTACCCGCGAAAAATGATGTAGGAAAAATCATGAACGAATATTCATGAACGTGCATGTTCTAGATTATGTAATGACTTAATTACTTAATGACCTAAATGTAATGACTAACCGGCATTACAACGATATGAACGGCCGAATATAGCATATTAAAGCATACAAAAACGATCATTAAATGCTTATAAGTTCCGATGTGCTTTTTGCTGTACTTTAGGATGGTATAGATCAGTATGATGTTGCTCGCATAGGAGACGAGACCATTAACTAGTATAATGGCCTGCGCGATTCGATCGAAGGTTGTGTTGTGCATCTGGAGGTTGTCTTCTGAACTTAATTTCTGAGCTTTTAACTACGGTAAGTGCCAAAACGTAAAACATCACAAAACCGAACCAACATAAAAAGGTGAAGGAACTGAAATTGAATTTTTTGATAGAAAATACTAAAAAATCAGAAATATCGTGTTTCAAGACCCGACCCCGACGTGCAAATCGGCAACAGCCAAACTTCGTCTTCTTATTTTTAGGTAATTTCTGCGCACGCGCCGTCGCAAATTCGGTCCCCCTAGCGCAAAAGCAATCAGCCCGAGAGAACGCTACGAAACTTTGTGCTCCCCGCCAACCCTGAAAGACACGCCGTGTGATACATAAATACATGCATGGTAGTCCCCGCGCTCATCATAGCAAAAAGCCAAATCGAAAAATGGCATGGAATCCCTTTGACGCTGTTGTAGACGTACATTAAGTCATTTCTAACGCTGGGAACATTTTGTTAAAGCTCATGGTTATCTCGAATCAATGAAAATAATCAGGCTTTTCTACGCTAGTTTCTGCCTACAATCAGGTTTTGTCTTCCGTATCCGCAGATCAGCAAGTAGCGATACGTAAAATGGAACGTCACCAGCACCAGGCTCTAAATTTCTAGAAGCTGATAGCGCCACAGTACCCCGCAAAACATGCTGCCCCAAGTGATCAGCGCCCACTCTCCGCATTCGACATTTCCGTTTTCGGAATTTCCGACAGCATAATCTTGCAGGCAAAAATTATTACACGTACCTCGGACGCAATTTTTTAGCAAAAAAAAAGATAAAAACAAGCACACGGTAAGCAATCTGGATCTCACGCTTGGTAGGGAGAACGCGCCTGATACCAGACGATCTTGTTTTTCTAGAAACCACAGTTGGCAGAGGGGAGAGCGGGAGAGAGAGAAAGAGAGAAAGAGAGAGAGAGAGAGAGAGAGAGAGAGAGAGAGAGAGAGAGGCAAAAGGGCGAGAGAGCTAAAGAAAAAAGGCTCTGATAACTATACTAAGTAACGTCGTTGCCATAATCCGCTGTTTTTATGCCTTGTAAGGGCACCTTACACATTATTAGGCCAATTTTTCAATGGCAACAAGGGGAAAACTTACCAAGTCATTTATTGCTTATGGTACCTGTTATAACCGGAACTACAAGGTACTAATCACAAGCTCCTAATACATCAAAGTACGGGAAGACCTGTTGTTTCGCACGCCAATGTTTTTCAAGTAAATAAAAGTGCGTTTTGCGCGTCTTCTGCGAGTTCGGTAGCTTTCATTTTTTACCAGGAATTTATACTTCTACGAAACATCCGAGTTTATTCGTCCACGAGAATTATGCGACAAAATCGATTCATTGGTCGGCCGATTTAAGGAGCCTCGCGCTGCATAGATTTGCAATGAAGCCTCTCTTGGGAACCACCTAAAATTTCAAATTTTGCACTGCTAGTTATCTCACCTTCCAAGCAGCCCATGGCGATAGTCCTTAATAAAGTATATGATGCAAATCGGGTCCATGATAGGGTAGAAGGAGATGGCGATCGGGACGTAGTTGCAAAGTCTTCCAATTGGCAGATGGAAGAGTGGGGCCCAGAACGTGAGTGCGCATGGGGTATATTCGAAGAAGCCGGGGATTACTGCCTGAAACTCTGTGTTATATAAAGTTGCTCTTGAAAGGGAAACCACAGCGAAAAATCCGAGCGTCAACTTCCGGACCACCAAAATTCGGACTGCCAAAACCTCAAAATGCAAAATAGCTGTTTAAAAGGATGTGGCAGAGAACAGAATCAACGATAAGTCCCGATGGCCTTCTCGTTTTTTTTTTTGGCCGGTAGATTCAAGCTCCGCACGCACGAATTTTGACTTCCGAGCCCCTTTAAGGCTGGAAATCTTCTTCAGTGTTTAGCGCACGCCTTGCTCAAGAGGTTCATCAACTTTCCCAATGCTTTTCCAACTCGCCCTCATCTCACCTGTATGATCAGCGCCCGAAACAGCTCGTGCTGCAATTTTCTCGTCTTCGTGCTCATCGAACTGTTCTAAATCCAAATCTGAATTAGGAAACCAAGTACGATCTTACTTTCAGGGTCCAGTTGATGCGAAACCTACAGGATACAATGACAGAGAGGCTGCTGAAAACGATGCCCTGACATATCACGAAACCGGCCACCCCCTCGGCATGCCAGACGAACTCGCCGGCCGCATCCTACTATATATTAAAAAAATAGTGTTTGTGTGTGTGTGTGTGTGTGTGCCACTTTGCATGCAACTTCCGTCATTATGTTCCAGTCGTATCACGATAGGGGAGGAAGTTAAGGGTATGTTTGATACGCCAAAAGGTCATGACACGACTGCACACCTATCAGGTTTTACAAAAAGTGCTATTTTCGACATTAAAATTACATTTTTATGAAAATCCGGGTCCCCCTCTTTGTTAGGAGGCAATTTGCATGGGCCGGAAGTGGCGAAAGCCTATATAAAGGGACAGAAGGGGATGTTTTTCATTTTTCGGCATGGGTGATTCGTGAAAAATATGCAAAGTCCAGAATATCATCGGATCAGACGGGGCCAGGGTTGAAAAGTCGCGAAGCGGCTTTTCAACCCTGGTTTTTGTACTAAAAAAAAAGGATGTGGGCAATCTTAAGTAGGGTCAACGCTATTAGTATGACTTAGTTACGCAAAAGGTCATTTATTAGATATAAAAAAATAAGGAGCTTACTTTATACATCGGTCCCATTATGGCCGTTTTATCGACATCCAATCGATAGTTATCCCATGCGGCCTTCCTCATTTGATCCTAAACGAAACGTTCGCTTTTCAAACACTCAAAAACGTTTAAAAACATCGAGAAAAAAAAGCGTAGACTTTTTACCTTCTATAATTTTGTATGATACATCAGAAAATGTAACGTTGTCCCCCCAGCCCAGCGTGGCTAGTAGCCAAATCGAAAAATGGACCGGAAGCCATTGAAGACTGTTGTAGATATACATCAAATGGTTTTTAAAACCGTTAGCGTTTTTGATAAGTTTTCTAGATCTTTAATTCTCGAAAATATTTTAAGGTATCTTTTTCTTAAAGGGATGGGTGTGGCATAAGTCAATCGGTTACGCGCTGGAAAGAAAATGTCTCTGCGCCTCTCCCTAGGGCGCGCTCTCTGCCCTGTTGGCTACTTGCCAATTCGTTGATGGGGGGAGGGATCGAAACATGCCGTCGGCAGCCCTTTAATACCGTATCTGACCGGTTTGACACCTACCTACATATCAACAAGTAGCGGTAGGTAAAATGGAACGTAACCAGGATAAGGCTCTAAATTACGCATATCTAATACATCGGATGAATTACCGTACCCCGCAAAACATACTACAGTAGACGACCGTCGCCCAATGCGCCGACTCCATACTATCCGCGAAAAATGAGGTCGGGAAGAAAAAGAAGGAATATTCTTCGGCATGGACGTTGTAGAATTATTCGGGTACCCTGCGTTTTTAAACGAGACAAACCGGCATGACAATGATATGGATGGACGAATATAGCATGTTAAAGCACACAAAAATAATCATCAAATGCTTATAAGTCCCCATATGCGGCTTGCTATACTTTAAGATCGTATAGATCAAGATAGTGTTGCTGGTGTAGGAGAGGAGGCCATTTAGTAGAATGACGATCTGGGTACATCGCTCAAACAGGCCGTGGCGCATCTCAAGTGGTCCGAAGCTACAAAAACTATACTAAATGAAAAAAGGAGGCGCGCCTTTAGGAGTCGAGACTGTGGACCTGATCAGCAATTGGTAGCGTATTCAAGTCTGGATGTTGCTGGACAAATCAAAAAAAAAAATCAAGAAAAGGAAAAATGACAAATTGCATTGCGTCAAAAAAACATATAGCACAAGCTTTCCTGAACCCAAATAAATCAAAGACAAATCTGTTTTCCGTGAGGTATTTCGCCAACACTTGGCTATTTTTTACGAACAAATGTTTTATCGTGTTTCGCACCGTGTTAAGATTAATATTGAATATATAATGTTCTTCTCACAAGACACAATTTAAATAATTTAATTTAACAGTGATCACCATTTTTTGACATTGCTCGAACGACACTCGATTGGCCGGCTGTCTTGTACTGAAATGGATCTGGAAATGGTTATCTCTTGCCTTCTCGCTCTCTCTTTCTGCCTCTCTCCCTCTCTCACTCTCACCCCACTGTCACTGTCACCTTCTCTCACGCTCTCTCTATAGCTCTATCTCTCTCTTTCTCTCTCTCTCTCTCTCTCTTTCTCTCTCTCGCTCTCTCTCTCTCTGGCGCTCTCTGTAGCTCTCTCGCTCTCCATAGCTCTCTCGCTCTCACGCTCTTTCGCCCTATTTCTCTTTGTCGCTCTCATTCTCACTCCCACCGTCACTATCAACCTCTCTCTCTCGTTCTCATGCTCCCTTGCCCCCACTCTCACTCTCATTAGCTTTCACCCTATCTCACTCTCTATCTATCTATCTCTCTCTCTCTCTCTCTCTCTCTGTCTCTCTCTCTCTCTCTCTCTCTCTCTCTCTCTCGTTCTCAGCTTGTAAAATGCTCCCCTTATCGCCGTTTTATCAACATCAAATTCTCAGTATCGGAGCATCGGCTCGGCATCAGATCCTGAGCTTTGCGAGCCGTAAAGTACACCCCAGTATCCCTACTTTCTTTCTTAACTTTCTTAACTTTCACTTTCTCTAACTAGAGTAATCCAAAGTGCGTTGATGTCTTAAGCACGATTTATAGATCGAGGATTTCAAAAACGCAAAAACAAAATGTTTTCATTGCTGCGTGTCGCTATTCTGAATCTGATTTGACACCACGCTGCAATCCCGGACCTTCGATTGTTTCGTGGAATTCTCGTAGACGCTCTGCTGTCGTGTCAGCCATCTAGAAAATGCACTAAATACCTTAAAAATTCACCAACCTCCCAAGCAGCGCATATCGGTAGTCCTTAATAAAATATATGATGCAAATCGGGTCCAAAATTGGGTAGAATGAGATGGCGATCGGTACGTAATTGCACAGGCGACCAAAAGGAATATGAAAAAGTGGTGTGAGGAAGGTGAGGGCGCATGGGGAATACTCGAAAATTGCCGGGATAATGGTCTGAAAATGGGTGTTTTAGGAACTGGCGATATTGAGTTTTCTCGCATCGGATTTACCTGGCGAAAACCGGGCATTCGTCTTTATATTAACCAGCTCACCTGGATGATCAACGCCTTGAAAAGCTCCTTCTGAAGTCGTCGCGATTTTTCGCTCATAGAGCTACTCTGAAAAATTTTCTTGGTGTTCAATTTTCGTGCATAAATTAATGCTTACTCGTACGACTATGTCATACTATTATTGCTGGCTTAAACCAACCTGTAGCGTCCAATAGATCCTCCAACCGCAGAAAAATATGACTCCGAAAGTTGAAAAAACTTGCGCCATACATAATGTCAAAGCCCAAAGTCCATCCGCGTGCCAGACGTAGACACCATCCGAATTTTTGTACTAAAACGGAGCGGCTTGCTTGACTCTCTCTTTCTTTATATCGCCCTCGCTCTCTCTTTCTCTCTCTCTCTCTCTCTCTCGCTCTTTCTCTCGCCTTCTCACCTTGTAGTACGCTCCCATTATAGCCGTCTTATCCACATCGAATTCGTAATACCTCCACATCGGCTCGCGCATCAGATTCTAATTGGAATTATAGCTTATGGAAACTATGTTTCTGTACTTTGTACTGTTCGGTGTAAAACATAAAGTTATGCTGCGTCGATCCCCAGCCAATCACCATCGCCAACCAAATCGTGAAGTGGATCGGGAAGTAGGTGATGTCGTTGTAGAGGAAGAGGAGATGATTTCTGAATTGAAAGGTAATTTTAGAATATCTTTCTTGCTTTCCATTTTCTCTCTCTCTCTCTCTCTCTCTCTCTCTCTCTCTTCCTCTTTCTCTAATCATATTTTTCGCTTTACTTGCATATCAGCAAATATCGATAGGTGAAGTGGTAGGTGATTAGAACAAGGCTCTAAAGATACATCAGATTTTGCTGTGAATTACAGTACACCGCAAAACATGCTGCAATACGTGATCATGCCCCAATGTGAAGGAGCCATCAGCCCTTGAAACATCCAAGAAGTTGGGAAGACGACAAATCCGTAGTCTTCGACGTGCATGTTCTGAAACATCACGCATTTCTGTAGAAGGGCCTCTATTTAAGACTCATCCTACACTATTATGGCCTATAACACATTTTCTCAAGCTCATTATTGACAAACTTATATTTGTGAATAGGCCGCAGAAAAGCACATGTGTACCTATTGTTCTAATGACCTTCAACATGATAACTACACCAAAGTTGGAAATTGAAATCAGAAAAACCTTACCGGCATCACGGAAATATGTACGGCGGTGTACATCATATTAAAGACCACGAATATAATCATTAAATACTTGTAGGTTCCCATATGTGGCTTGCTGTACTTGAGGATTGTGTGGATCAAGATGACGTTCATGAGATATGAAATGGCGCCGTTGACGTAGATGATGGCTCGGGCGAAGTAGTCGAAGGTGGATATTGTCATGGTTCTAAAATGATTTTTTAGAGAGAGAGAGAGAGAGAGAGAGAGAGATAGAGAGAGAGAAAGAAAGAAAGAAAGAAAGAAAGAAAGAAAGAAAGAAAGAGAGAGAGAGAGAGAGAGAGAGAGAGAGAGAGCGAGAGAGAAAGAGAGAAAGAGAGAAAGAAAGAAAGAAAGAGAGAGAGAAAGAGAGAGAGACAGAGTATTTGAGAGTATGAATAGTAAGAATATTGAGTATGATAATAAAAAAGCAGACGGCATATATCCAGCACCAAAAATTTAACAAAAACATGGAGACGTTCGTATAAATATAAAAATTAGCTATCTAAAGCCCAAACTTGACGATCTGATCGAATGCAAAGCACTTATTTTCTCACAACGTGTAGCCAACCTTCCCGAGAATGACGACCACAAATTCGGCGTGCCCTCTAGGGACCCCGGCAATAGTTCAGCGAGTTATAATGCATCCGCGTTGCCGAGATCAGCCACACAAAATACGTTTTTTAGCAAATGCTCGATTAGGCCGCCTTGGCCCCAGGGCGACGTAAAGTCACGTTTCTTTAATTTTTCCCAGGCATCCTACCGAGTCATGCGCAACAGTGCAGGCGTGTGGGGGCGAGGAAAAAACTACAATCTCGGTTGAGAACTTGAGGGCCCCGAAAAGGCATGTTTTTGGCGAATTAGAGTACCTTCGTGAAATCGCGAAAATTCCTACAGAAAAATTCCGACAATATGACAAAAGCAAAAAAAGATAGACAGGATTCGACTGGAGCTCCGAGTTCTAAGAAAGACAGGCACAAGGACACTAAAATGTGGACAACAAAAATGTTGGCATTCCAAGAAATGAGATTAAAAATTTGTGGTTTTTTTCGGAGCGTTTGTGCCCGTTAAACGCCTTGGCTTAGGTTTCGCGTAGGTTTAGGCTTAGGCTTAGGTTCGACTTGGTCTGAAGCGCCGGCATTATCTTTGGGGTAGGCTTAGGATTCTGATTAGCCTTTTTTTTTCTATAAAATCAGGGACAACCATTCCGCAAAAATGAACAACACAGTCTTGTTCAGAATTCAATTCTCTATCGAATGAGCGGGGTCTCGAATCGTTTTGCCGATGACACCAACAGGACACTTCTTGTTAGGCTTAGCCTTAGGCCTTAGCCAATTATGTTGGCTTGTGTATTGCCAGGTCTAGCCCGTCATTTTTTTGCCCTTTCGACGGTACGGTACTAGAAATAGTGCTTTCTATCGTTCTTTCTGGTAGGCGCTTCCTTTCTGGGGAAGATGAGCGACAATTGAGGGAAAACAGATACAACGTGTCACACAAAAGGGACCAAACATCTCATTGACGAGGCAAAATTCAGGGCCCTAGCGGCTCGGGTAGCGGGTTTTTTTGGTCATTCAGCGCTAAAAAAATTCCCAAGAAAAACCCGCCCCGTCCCAATTTCGCGGAAATGAGTTTTTGTTCCGGGCCTGAGAAAATCGCAGGGTGGAGCCAAAATCGGGTGTTGTTCTTTTGAGGTTTGTCAGGAAGCGGGGTGACACGGAAAAACAACTGGTGTTCATAATTTATTTTAATGTATTATAATATTTATATTTTGGCAAATATTCGTTGAAATTTATATTTTTAGCGTGATCGGGAGAGGTCGGTTTGTTTTGTACTTTGACTGCTGACCTGGATAATTTTTTGAGATTTGTTCTGCGGTCGCATAAACCTAATGGCGATGATGCTGAAATTTGATTGTTTATGGCAACTTAAAAAGTATTTAAGAAATTATGAGGCATTTTGTTTAAGTCCGTCTAAGCTTACGAAAAAATTAAAAACTTACCCAACACCCAGATTCTTAATCATCTCAATGATAACGAGCTGTATAAACCATATTAGCTGATGCCAATTATCACCCAAAAATAAATTCACAAAACAGAAGATAAACGAAGATATTTCGGGCCAAAATAAGTTCTCAAACGTTGAGCAAAACAGCTAAAAATATGGAATTAGAAAAGGCACTCAAGATACCGTAGCCAGCAGCAATTTTTCGCCTTTTGTTACTGCGCCATCATTTTTGGTCTAAATTCAGATGCCATTAAACTACAGAAACATTACCTTAAGAATCTTGTGGTAGGTCAACACTTCAAAAGCAAAGGTGAAGCTCATCAAAACGTGGACGTGGAAGACCTTTTCATATACACTTTCGACGTGGCCATCTGCATATTTTTCAGTGCCGAACCAAAGGGCATAATAGGCGAGGTACGGTAGGACTAATTGGACGAGAGGCCATTTCAAGGTATAGCGAAAATAGGCTCCATCGAAGGAAAGGGCAAGAAAACGGCTGAAAATACACTATGGACTTTGTAAGATGCTTTAGTGAGAGAGTGCGGGAGAGAGAGAGAGAGAGAGAGAGAGAGAGAGAGGGAGAGACGAAGAGCAAGAGAGTGAGAGAAATAGAGCGAGAGAGTGAGAGATAGACAGAGACTGAGAGAGACAGAGGGAGAGACAGAGAGAGACAGAGAGAGAGAGAGAGAGAGACAGAGGAGAGAGGTAGTGAGAGACAGAGAGAAGAGAGGGCAGGGGGGGGGAGAGAGAGAGAGAGAGAGAGAGAGAGAGAGAGAGAGAGAGAAGCAGGACAGAGACAGAGAGACAGAGAGAGAGAGAGAGAGAGAAATAACTCACCAAAATACCATCCAATCCCGTTGCAGGACCACGATAACCCCTAGCGCTTTGATAATTACAGTATCCAACCAATACCCGGTGGTGTAAACCCAAAGTATAAACCCTGAGGGTTCAATTTCCGGATCCCAGAATCTAAAATTTGCTTTAGCCCTAAAGTCTTTGCCTAATTACCTTTGCAAACACCAGTCCAGCGAGAAGTTGAAGACTACCGATAAGTTGGTGATCGCCAGGTTGATAAACTGAGCACCAAAAACGAGCCTCGTCGCTGTGGATAGGGATTTGTTGCTGATAATGACAAAAGCGGCGATTGAATTGACGAAAAGGGCGAAGAAAAGCGCCCAAACCCGCTTTTTAGAAATGATGGCAGAATCAGCTTACCACTGCGAGTGGATAGTTTAAAGTGTCCTGAACATTCATCGAATCTTCTTGCGATATATCATCTTCGGGCGTAGAGTTCATTCTCGCAATGCGGACCTGGCTGCTCCATATTTCAAGGCGAGACATCCCTTCGGCCAGGCCTAGATTCTGTATTTTAAAGGGGCAAGGACATCTACCCCCCCCCTGCGTTCGTAAGGGTCCCGCCTTTTTGGCAAATAGCCAAAGGGGCGAGGCGGTACAGTTTTCTCCAAATCCCCCCTCATAATCGATTGACAGTTGCCGTTTTTCAACCTGTTAAGAAAATATTCTCAACTTTTGAATTTTTGTTACACAACCAAATTCCCAAAAAATCCAGATTTTATTTCCTCGCACTCTTCACTAACGATTTCTGCTAGCTCTCCGATAGGTCGTTCAATTTCAAGCATTTCCGCTTAGGCCACAAGTCCAATACGCCAATGAAGTCTGCTAGCTCTTTGCTGGCCTTTTGAAGCTCAAAAATTTACGGCAAAGAAAACTTAAACATCAAAAACTCAAAAAACACAAATTTGACATGACCTTTTTGAATCGGCGGGGTGCCATAACAAATAACAAAAATCAAACCTGGGCATGCCAAGTCTGGGCTCGGAAAAATAACATAACGAAAAAGCCTGAAAAATGTTTCCTCACCCGTTTTCCCAATTGCAATGATGAATACAACCAATATTTCCTTGAGTGCGCTCATGAAATGTCGTGTAGCAATGACCTACCGTAGCTGGCGAACCAGCTTTTATACGAACCGAACTTACTTGACATTTCATCCCTCGAGAACATGAGATTAGTCGGCGACAATTTGCTCTCGCACCTGGCAGTTCGTGGCAATTTTATTTTGGCTTTTGCGTGGGGGACTTTCATACCTCATTATTATAAAGGTTCGCCAACCCGATTCGGCACTGAATCAAATCGAAAAAAACATTACTGCTCCAAACGTCCGCGAAAATACGGGTGCGCAATTGGGTGTGGGTCGGGAAAGTGGGTTTTAGCGGCGCGACTACTGAATAGGTCAACCGTCATTTTTGGAGAGCAACAGCCTTCAGAATGCCTTGAAATACGTGGTACTGACGTTCTTGGCCACACTTCACCTTCACCGATATTTCCATGGTTGTTGCAACGTTCAACATCGAGAGTTTGCTTTTATCCCGGCCATCCCGGGTCCAATTTTGACGATCTCAACATCTATCGATATCTACTCCTCGAGAGCTATTGATTGGCATTAATGGTAACGCGAACCAAATTGCTCTATCCAGCGATACTTCCAAAACATTTTTTGCCGATTTCGTCAAAAACTTCTGGGGCCTGTATCTCGACCATCATGGCGTTTTTGGGTCCAGGACCCTTGTCCCAAAAAGGCCCAGCCCAAAAGTTAGAAAATAAAAACAAATTCCGACCTAAAGCCGGCTCTAAATGAGGTTGCTTCTTTTCGGCCACCTTATATTTGTTATATCAGGCGCTAACTTGATACGCTGACCATCAAACTCCGAAGAAAATATTGTCGATACGACGGCGTCATCGCGACCAAGACGATCGATGTCAATGTCGTGTGTGAGGCCTGGATGCCGACCAGGAAATTTATAACCCCTAAATTTTGGTGTTTTACATTCTATGGAGGGGCTACATTACATTGCTGAAAACGGACTGATGCGAGAATTGAAGCCAATCCCCAAATGTAAGGCAGGGCAACGGTGCAGACGGGCAGGGCTGTCTAAAGAGCGAGCCTAAGTGTCATTTTAAAGAGGCTATGAAGTCAAAATTCGGGCTGCGGAGTTTGAACCTGCCGGTCATAAAACGATTGGCCTATCACCGGAGAGAACCAAAAATAGATTTCGTTGCGCAAAAAACGTAAAATTTTTGAGAAACACGAAAGTGTTTTCCGGGCGAAAGATTTTTAAGCAGGCGGCGATTGCATGTCGTAATACCATGTAAGGCCCCCTATGCGATTCGTTGGTAAATTTACATAATCAAAACGTCTAGTATGATCCAAATTACAGGAGGAGAAAATTAGCGTTAGTATTTTAAAATTCAAGCGTTTTCACGTCCAAATAAGGGTAAAAAGGCAGGAGATGCGGTCGCGTCGCGGCCGCATCTGGCTAGTTGCCAGGAATCAACGCTGAGGGGTGTGGACCAGATTTCGGAGCCCCTTTAATGACGGTCGAAAAAGACGGAAAATGATCTCACGAAAGTTCTTTGCTGCTATACCCACCCCGATCATCAATATCCATAAATATTTCTGATGCATCTGTTTGGTTTTGGCGCTCATTGCCGATTGTTGGCTGTGGAGGAGGTGAAATGAGTGCAAGACAAGAAATGCAATCTATATCGTGGATTAATTTGGCCTCAAAAAGAAACGACTGACCAAGGGCACCGCGTAGAATGCTGTGAAAACGGCCGATGCCACAATGAGGGTAATGCTCGATATTTCGATATAGGGTGGATATATACTGTTATCGCCGATGATGTAACAAGAATCGAGCAGTAGTAGATAAGACAACGAGGCATCGTCCTGGAATACCGTAGTGGTAAGAGCTTATCCCCCCCCACAGCCGGAAGGTCTCGAAGTCTTCGGTATTTTCGCTTATTTTGTCGGAATTTTTGCAACGCCATTCGATAGAGCGCCAAAAAATATACTAATAGTTTTGATTTGGGCCTACAATTATGTAAAATAAAAAAGTTATAGCCAAAATTTCCCGTCTGAGGGTAAAATAAACCGTAGCCACCGTAGTTTAAGGAATGTTTCTAATCATCGAAATTATTTATCATTTGCCTATAGCAGAGCAATAACGGGAAAAATATTTTTGATACCGTGAAGTGATTTGTGTAAGTTTTGCCGTTTACTTACTTACTTCCACCCTTACCTCGACTACTTCCCTTAACAATTTCGAATCCGGCCCCCTTTCCATATGGCACGTCACCGCCCCAATCAGAAAACATCCGAGTGGCGCCGTATATAAAAACAGCGCAATCCCGTAATAGGTTCGCCTTGAAAAATATATTCGACTCTCCGGCCTCAGCAGCACATGATGGCGGAAGGCAAAGCATTGAATCATTGCCACGATCATCGATAGAACAAATATCGGGGCCAGCACCTAGAAACGGTGATGGTGAATTAGGTAACTTAACGGGGCTCGGAAGTCAAAATTCGTGCTTGCAGGGGGTTGAACCTGCTGTTCAAAAACGATAGGGTTACTACCGAGAACCACAAAATTGATTTCGTTGCGAATGAAAAGGTACAGTATTTGAGTAACACCGAAAAGTTCTTGCGGCGAGAACGACTTTTTCAGTTATGGCGTAATGCCTAGTAAGGCAGCGAACCTCTCGGTCTCGGGGATTCTCTGATAAATGTCATAATGAAAAGGTCTCAAACGATCAAAATTCTCTGGAGGATTACAGTAATAGCGCCGGAATTTTGAAAATAGAAGCGTTTGCATGTCGAAAAAGGGCAAAAGATCATGCGGCGCGGTCACGTTGCGGTCGCATCTGGCTATCTGCCAGGAATCAGCGTAGGGGGGGGTGGACCTGATTTCGGAGCCCCTTTAACACTTAACAGGATCACCCTCCCGTCGAGGAAATTTAAAACGCCCAAGATTGTCCCGGCCACCGTCGGCAAGTAGTATTCAGTGCAGATACCATGAAAGTACATTTCTTGCAGAATTGCCCAAAACTAAAAGTGGCGTAAGGGTTAACGCATATGCGAAAAACCTGAAACCAGGCCAGATGCCAGCGATACGGCGACTTATTCTCGGACGGGTTTTTGACAATGATCCAGAGCGTAAATAAATTCAGAGGGGTTCCAATGATCAGAAAAAGGGTTGATGATGTTATATAGAATGTTGGTCGATGATAGTCGCTTTCCGAGCTCACGAGCGGCTTCATAGTGGCAAGGCGTTTGGGTTTTGCAAGTGATCAAAGTCGCTAGACAGGTGGCATTTTGGGCCGTTATTGCATTCGTGAGCCTGCATTAGTTCAGCAGGTGCTCTTTTGCTATTCGAAAGGATCAGCAAGCTTACAAGTCGGTTTAATAAAGACAGTAATTGTATGTAGTTACTCAACAAATTGGGGTTACAGGTGAACAAAATGGTAATAAAAGTTCGTGGGCAAAACTTTGATACGGGTTTAAAAAATTTAATAAAGTAAAGTTATGTTTGGGAGACGACATGACGCGACGAAATGTTGGTAAACATGATTTCTCTAGATACCTTGCCTTGATGAGCCTGAGATTATTAAAGGGTTCAGGAAGGCTCATCCACAATTGGCAAGTTGCCAACCGGAAATGCTAATGCGAAATACGGAGTAGAGAGTGGGCCCGCGAAGGATTCCAAGGCGGTTTCTGCACGTTTTAAGGTTAGCCAGCCTTTTTAATTTTTCAGATACTCTTTTTAATTATTTTATGCTAAAAAAAAACTTTTTTACCCTGAAATCAGACTCGTGTTTTACGTTTGTAAGCCGAGGCAAAAATAAATATGCAAATTAATAATCTTATCCAGGCCAAAGTAGTTTGACCCATTTTTAGGATATTTCAACAATGATATTAAGCACCTTGAAATCGGTAGAGGCAAAGTAAACCCGAAATCTCCGAGTCTAAGTTTCGGTAAAACATTTATTTATTTTGTGCCAAGCAATATGTACAGTAATCCTTTGTCAATTCGCTATGTAGTGATGTCATTTTATGACATTTTACAGCCCCAGTTTGCAGGTGGCCTTGACGATCCAGTTGCCATCAGCGCCAACGTCCGCTCCGGAGCATCTGAATTTTATGACGTGGACTGTCCGCTATTAAAATTCATTCAATCGCAATCATCGAATCATTAAAAAATAGAAATACACAAAACTTACTGGCATTGGTAGCCTCCCGAGCAGTCCTTATTCTCAACCTTGACGCAGCCGCCACTCGCCTTGCCCTTGCAGCGCTTACAGTAGTCCGGGCAGGATTTCCAGAGGATTCCTAAGGGTATTGATTAATTTATTTAATTTTAGCATACGGTGGGAAAAATTGTATTTTTTAATGTCTTGCGTTATTATTTTTGTTTTTTGATCCAGCGAAATTTTTCTCAAATTCGTCGCAGAGGGTTTTCTCTTATTAATTCTTTTTTTAAAGCAATCTGCAAAAAAAATTGAGCGGACTAGGTTTTTACGGAATTGAAAAAGTATAGTTTTCAATAGTAGATAATTCAAAGTGATTTTAATTTTCAAAATAAAATAATTTGGTTTAATATAATTCATTTTTCTTACAACAACCAATGGTTTTGCTCCGTAATTCATACAAAAAACAGCTCAACTATGAATTTTTACCATGATCAAAAAAGTGTAAAAATCAGCCGCTTACAGTTTGCAGACTTGTTGAACTGCTTGATCGCTTTAAAAAACATACCAGTTCCCAAACTCGTCTGCGGTGTGCATCGGCTCCAATTATCGTAGCAGTTCGCCTCAGTCAGGGCAAAAATAGCAAAAACAGCAAGCAAGGTCAGGAAGAGCTTGTTCATCGCAAAAATCCGTGTGTTCAACGGCTTATCGAGGAACACGGCATACCCCTCTTTTATATCCTTTTTCAGGGATTACCCCAATGTGTTATTACAGCTGTATTATTCATCGAATATAGGCTTTTGGGGTGTGCGTATTATTCACCGCTGGAAAACAGGGTGGTCACCACCCGGCCGCTCATACTATTTACCCTCCTGATCTCTACTCAAAAGCCCGAACGTGTGCCCAAAAATAGGGGCGCACTTTTGAAATTCGGGGAAACATTTGACCGGAAACGGCAGGCGATAAAAAGTGTTGGGGGAAAACATGGGATTTATTGGAGTCGGAAGTGCGGGCCTTAAAACGTACCTTGGCTAATGCCTGCATAAACGTCACCAAACTTTTTCTGTTTTCCTCAACTTGACGGAGGCAAAATTAACGCGATGTAAAAATTCACATTATTCTGAACCGATTACGTCGTCATCAAACACCAGCGTAATGAGCGTTTCTAAACGCCTAATTTTTTTTAGTTTTGAAGTTTTTAGGGCTCTGCACATTATTCAAATTTGCGTAATTGTTTCCAAAACTTAACAGGGAAATAAAAAAACCCACCATGTTCTTATTTATTATCCCTGATTTTCATTTTAATGTTTTTATAGATTTTCATTACTTTTTGGTCGTTTTGACGACTCCTTCAGATTAAAAATTCACAAAATTCGCGTGGTTCTGAATGCATTACGCCATCAAACACCACCTTAATTCGTGTTTTCTTCCGAACTTCTGTACATTTCCGTGTTTTGAAAACATTGAATAATTATCTTCAAAATTTAATAAGATAGTAAAGGTCACATTTATTTACGGTATTACAAATTATACAAAAAAAAATTATTTGTGGGCTTCGACTTTTACAGTCCCAGTTTGCAAGTAGCGACGACAAGCGGATTCTGATCGATCCCGACGTCGGCTCCGGAGCACCTGAAATCGAACCAAATTAGCATACTAAATCACTGATGAAGTGCGTTATATAAAATTTAATGGTTCTAACAATGAGTATTAATAAGTCTTATTAAGACTTACTGGCATTGATATCCGCCACTGCATTCCTTATTGTGGACCTCGACACATCGGCCGTTCGATTTTCCCTTGCAGCGACGACAATAGTCCGGGCAGGATTTCCATAGGATACCTAAGAACGCCAGAAATTATTGGTAGGCCCCTTGAAGCCAAATCCATAGCCAAACCCCACCGGTCCCAAAGCTCGTCTGCGGCGTGCAACGACTCCAATTGTCATAGCAATTCGCTTCGGCGTAGGCAAATACAGCGCAGAAGGCCAAGAGAGCAAGAATTAGCTTCTTCATATCGTTCGGGGCTGGATTTTTAGCTTTAAGTTTAACTTGAAAAGCTTGGAAACCGGCTTCATTTTATACGGCCTATCAAGCCTGATAGCACAATCATTTCCATTCGCATAACGGGTATTCCCCTCAATTGGTCAAAACAAGCACGCCACTAATATTTGCTTACGGTCCTTACGCGGGCATTTAGCAATAAGCGATAATAGGCACTTTTAGAAATCGGGGGCTGTTCAAACAAAACGGGCGTCATGAGGGAGGAGACGAAAACAACAAGGATGCGTTAGCATAATTCCGGCTACGGTTTACTTGACCCCTCCCCCCCGGAATGTTTTGGCTATAAATTTTTTATTTTACATTATTGTAGGCTCAAAATAAAATTTTTGTGTATTTTTCGACGCTCTGTCAAATCGCCTTGCAAAAATCCCAACAAAATAAGCCAATATACCGAAAAATTAGAGACCCTCCGGCTGTGTGGTAAAGTAAACTCTTACCATAATTGAATCTGCATGAAATAAGCATAAACAAAAACAATAAAAGTTTTCTGAAGCTTTAAAAACACTATAATTGGAGTTTGTTAAGCCAGAAAAAAAATAAAAATAACAAAATAACTGATTTCAGGGCGAAAAAATACCTATATTTCGTCTGCCTGCTCTTCTTTAGATCTGCTTGAAGCTTCAGTTAGTTTCCCGAGCTCGAAAATTTTGGGAATATTTATCTGCATGCTTCCTTCCAGAGATTTTCTCTGTATTTTGGTGTATCAATAAAATCTACGCATATTTATTACATCTACACATGAAACGAAAAACAGACGGGAAGAGGATTGGGTACACATAGGATAACGGGGGGGGAATAAAATAACGGGGGGCACTCATTATTATGAAATTTGCAATTACTGGGGGATTTTGCGAGTGCCATTCGATAGAGCGTCGAAAAATATACTAAGAGAATTAATTTCAGCCCGAAATAATGTAATAGAAATTTTTTATTGAATAAACAAAAAGTGAGGAAAATCTATGGGCAGCACATAGGATAACGGGGGGGAAAGTCAAATTATCGAAATTTTCGACATTTTCGGTATTTTGAAAACGTCATTCGATAAAGCGTCGAAAACTGCCCTAGGAAAATTGATTTCAGCCCAAAATAATGTAAATGAAATTTTTTATCGAATAAACAAAAATTGATCAAAATCCATGGGCAGCACATAGGATAACGGAGGGGGAAAGCCAAATTTTTGAGATTTTCGATATTTTGAAAACGCGAATCGATAGAACATCAAAAAATATACTAAGAGATTTTTTTACAACGCGAAAAAATGTATTATAAAAGTTTTATAGCCTAAAAACTATTTTTTAAAACTATGGGCAGCACATAGGATAACAGGGGGGGAAAAAATTTTCGGCGTTTTGAATATTTTCGAAATTTTGAAAATGCCATTCGATAGAGGACCGAAAAATATACTAAGAGTTTTTTTTACAGCCCGAAAAAAGCTTATTTAAAAATACTTTTATCATATAAAAAGTTTGAGTGCCCCCCGGTATTTTCCCCGTTATCCTATGTGTACCGAGGATTTTGTAATGCACTTACCCTTTTTCGTCGCACTCGTTGGAGTCTCCTAAGAAAACCGGCAAATTAAATTTTACCCATACGATACCTTTGAGTCGTCATCAATGGCAGTAGCTGAGAGTGGATCCTAAACTCAAAAAACACGAAATTCTAAAGAATTTACAACCATACCCGCTTCAGCCCGACTTGATTGTTGAGATCGCCAACCTATAAAAGGAACCATTTTTCCGGAACGCTACAATCTACCGCTGGTAACGCCGTTGTAGTAGTTGGCGTAGTGGTCTGGAAAATCAAAACTAATAAATCCAAAAATACTAGCTACCGTAGCCTTGGCCAATGTGGCAGCGTCTTGAACTTGCAGCTGTGGTATTGGCTAAATTACTGTAGAAAAATGAATTTTCGCATGATTTTTTGATGTCTTTTTACAAGCTATTCGCTCGATACCTTATTAGTCGTTATTTTAGCTGCTGGTGTTGCTTTCGTAGTTTTAGTCGTAGTAGTAGTAGTAGTAGTAGTTGTAGTAGTTGTAGTTGGCGTAGTTTTTGTTGTACTTGTCGTAGTCGTCGTGGCCTTTGTCGTCGTAGTGGTTGTTGTCGTGACCACGACAATATCCGGAAGTTGGAAGCTAACGCCGGTGGCTAAAAGCCGAATATAGGGGATAAATATTAAACCGCACCGGTTTTCGGCGAGTTATTTAGCGAGATCGACTGCACATCGTTGAGCGTGCCGGTGGATACGGATTTTCCGGAACATTTTCCGGTCCAATTTGCCTGGAATTAATGGACAAATGCAACGAAAAAATAAAACCCGCGAAATCATTCTTTTTGTAAAAATTTGAAAGACTTACATAGGTGCTAAGGTCGAGGGACGGGTTGTTTTTCTAAAAACAGTTTTTAATTTTTTTAGATTTTACTGCTTATTTTATATAGCATTATGAAAGCTTTCAAGATTATTCAATTACGAAGAAAACGATCAATTAAATGTCGTAATCGATTCCACAACATACCAAAAGCGCATTCACAGCCGCCAAGTTTTCAGCGGCAGTTAGCTAAAACTACCATTTTCAACCGGCCCTTACGTCATTAAAGATCTTACCTGTACGGTCCCATCAAACAACGACAATAACACAGATAACCCGATTATGAACTTGCACCCGACACCCATTGACGAGGCCGACAATTCGTGAATTGCCTTGGCCCTTCGAATAATGGATTTGGAAAGAGATTGAAAGTGCCTTATAGAATTCGCCGTTTTATCGCCAGAGTTATTATCGTGGCGCGTGTGAACCGTTTTTTCGTTTTTATCGGGAAGTGTGGGTGGAAAAGAGCGCGTTTAAAATAGACCCAGAGACCTGGAAAGTGGAAACCGGTTTTGCATAGTAAAACACGCGTAAAACGCGTTAACTGAGAGTACTAACAGAAAAATCGGTCCTTTTAATGGCAAACTATACCTCGTCGTTAGCTCCGTTTTTCATGGTCTAAGCAAATTAGAGTGTGCTGATATTCCAAGTTTGATGGTTTACAACCATGACTTAGCTTAACGATTTGTTAAGCATTTTCGAAAATTCATTACTTTTCTCAGATTACTGGATTTTGTAGTTCTAAAAATATGGTTTTCACGTAGTATTAAAGATTTTCACGATTTTTAATTTTTACCTAAGTATCCCCCTGCGATTTTTTTCCATTTCTCAATCAAAAAGGCTTCCGATTAATCCTCCCAGAGATCTTTGACACTTTTCGCCAATTTTAAACCCATAAAGATTCCCTGACTGTCATTACCGATCAGTAAATTCCAGTCTCAACATGACTGAGCCTCGAACCACCCATGGTTCCCGCTTCCCAGCCCAGAAAAATGGAATAGAGAACACAGGAAGAGAAAAGTTGGTCTCCCGGCCGCCAGTCACCGGTCGGCAGCACTGATTCCCGCTCCCCAAATTTGATAAGGCTGATCTGTGGATTTTTGTGGCCGTCATTTCGGGTGCTGGGTTTTGGCAGATGCATCAGGGAATATATAAAAGTTTTCTGCATCACGGAGAATCTTTTTGTTATTAATTTGCGTAGGATAGTCATTTCTCGCGGCCTTATTAGAGTGTTAATCAGCCAAACAAGCTAAAAAATTCAAGTGTAAAGTGGACGGTTTCAAATTCGAGCACCTTTCCGACAACCCGGGTAGTTTCTTCTACTAAGCAGGCTGGTTAAAGCTGCTCAAAGCGCAAAAATATGCATGACTCACTGACGCACAGCGCCGCTAAAATACCCATTGTTGCCTGTAACATACGTCGGCGAGCATTTTTGAGCAGTTCTGGAAACTTTTGCTTGTGAAACTTTCGGTCGCTATGTGGTACTACCAAAACTAAAGAGGAGAAATTAAACCGCGTATTAAATATTAAAAAATATTTATTCTTCATGATTAAAGCCATGTTTTTCCACCAGGTTTTCTTGTGGATTTCATTTTTTTCGCTTGCCTATCACACCTCGTTCTAATGTCAATAAACCACTCAAACCTCGAGCCGGTATTCAGCCATCTAAATATTTGCTACTTGCAAAGATCCTCCGATTTCAGGAATGACCCGAAAAGAGGTCCTTGTAACCTTTATTCTTGGCGTGACAATTTCCCTGTCGGCCAATTTCCAATACGGCTTCTCCTCCACCTACCTCAACACGCCGGTCGACGAATTTAAAGTTTGGCGGTTTGCCATAATTCCTAGATATGGATTTTTAGGACCATTTCAACCAGTCATTCGTCAAATGGGGCAAGAATTTGTCGTCGGACAATATTGATTTGGTAACTACAATTCGTAAAATTTTTACTGCAAATTTCTAGGTCTATAATTTGATCTCAAACATTTGGTTTGTTGGGTTTTTCATGGGGATTTGGTTGAGTCCGCTGCTGAACGATCGATGGGGAAGAAGGGGTAAGCCAGTTATACCGATAAAATTTACTGGCGTAATCGATTAGTCCTCTTCGGGTCCCATTGGATTACCTTAAAAGGACCATAACTCAACTTTTTTTTTAAAACGGACAGATAAGTTCATTCACTAATAACCAATCACCTCCAAAATCGATTTTAAAGGCCCATTGAAGGGACAATCCATCTTGTTTTGAAACACCATACTTTCTTCACAAAAATAAATGTTTTCGCATTTAATAAACTAAAATACAATCGACATTTAGCCTGTTTTAAAATCTTCAACTTTCAGAAAAATAACCAATAAGGTAGATTCTAGCCAACGGGCTAACAATGTCATTTTTTTTACGTAAACTTTACTTTAAAAAGTTTGACGCCTTCCAACTCCTTTGAAATAACGGATTTCAAAGCCGGAAATCTCGATAATAGCAATTTTTGAGTCGGTTTCCTGATCGGCAACTCATTCTCCCTACTCGCCTCCTGCCTCCGAGCCCTATCCATCGTCACCTATCAACCGGAAATCCTATTCGTCGGTCGATTACTTGCATCTGTATGCACGGCCGTTACCTACCAATCGAATATTTTGTATTTACAGGTGAATCGGAAATTTGGGATTTTAAAAATTGAATTCAGGAGGTCTCACCAACGAAATATCGAGGCTTTATGTCGTTCCTCTCGGAAATTTGTTATGCCGGGATGGCGCTGCTGGGGATGTTGTTGGGGACTGATCAAGTGTTGGGAAAGCACTTGTTTTGGCTGCTTTTTGTTGGCGTGCCGGCTTGTAGGTTTTTATAAATGCTAAAAAGCGCGCCGGCTTGAATATCAAAAATTGACATGTGACGCTGAGCCCGCAGCCCCTAATTTGAAAGAATAAATTACGTTTAAGTCAGCAAAACAAGCAAAAACTGATGAATTTTGGAAAGCAAATTCAGAATTTCGGTTGGGTTGATCGAAATTAAAAGCGTTTTTCTTTAGTAGGTTTTTTTTGCAAAATAATTAACGCTAAAAGTTTGCCTATGGCTGTGAAACACCCTTTCCAATCGGATTTTACGGCCATTCCGATTCGGGTCCGGCTGATGGGGGAAATCGATCAAAAACGCAGCAAACATGCTGCCCTATAGATAAAAGCTCAAAAAAAGGCCGAGTCAAGCCGAGTAGCGATCGGTTCCAGGCAAAAGAAATGGGTAGGGCGATCAGCAAACACGAAACACAGCAAAAAAATGCTTATTAAATATTAAGCTCAGACTGATTTCGCATCCCTTAAAGCCAAAAGTCTCACCTTTTTTCAGCTTCTCTTGCCCTCATAGCCCTCTATTTCCTTCCGGAAACTCCAAAGTTCTTGCTCATCGTCAAAAAGGATCGGGTAGCAGCTGAAAAATCAGTGATCTACTACCATGGAAAAACATGTGATACCCAATATGTGCTGGACGAGATTCAATTGGTTTTTTTGCTTTCAAGCTTTGCATTTTCCACATTTTTAGGAAGCCGAGAGCGAAAAAGATGAAGCCTCTTTCAAGCAGGGAACCATCGATATGTTCACTATACCTCACCTACGGAGGGCGCTATTTTTAAGTTGCGCCGCTTTGCAGGTATGGGAACCGGGACGTTAAACCGTAATATATTTTTTAAAAGCTGAAGATTCTGTGTAGAAAGTTCAAACGTATCCATTTTTAGAACACCGTCGCTCTATGGTCGTTGCTGCTAAATTCTACCCAATTCTTGCAGGTCAGGCATTAAAATGGCTGTCGCTCTCTCTCTCTCTCTCTCTCTCTCTCTCTCTCTCTCTCTTTCGGCCTTTTAATCTTTGTCCAATTCCAGGACGCCGACGTAAACGACTGGGACAAACAGCTCTCAAAATGGACTTCCACTGCCATGGCATTATTTTATTTTGGCTCCACAATGATGGCCAGTGCGGTTGTGGAAAGGTAAATTCGTTTTTAATGAAATCACCGTAATTTAGGGCTGGTCGTCGCCCACTCCTGCTGTGGTTTACCGCATTAAACATGCTGTCCATAGCATCTTTCGTTGTATTTGCTGAGTTACGGAATTCCGTTAACGTTCTCAAATACGGATGCGTATTCTCGTTGATATTTTATGGATTTACTTATGGGTAGGTAGGGGGGAGAGAGAGAGAGAGCGAGACAAAGAGAGAGAAAGAGAAAGAGATAGAGAGGAAGAACGAGAGAGAGAGAGAGAGAGAGAGAGAGAGAGAGAGAGAGAGAGAGAGAGAGAGCGAAATGGATAATTTTAAAAGAGTTTTAGCGGAGCTGTCGGTCCAGTTTCCTGGTTCATCCCTGCCGAGCTGGTCCCGCAGCGATACCGTAGCCTCAATCAATCCCTATCCTACGCCATCAATACCGTATCCGTTGTGGCAACAACATTTACAGTAATTCCGTTGTATAATGCTATGGGTAAGCCAAAAACTATGGGTTTTTAGACTTTTTCTCTCAGGATCTTACGCTTTCCTCGTGCTCTACACGGCCCCTTCAGTGGTATGCATAATATACCTCTACTTCTATCTGCCGGAAACGACCGGAAGAGAAATCCACGAAATTGTCGACGAATTAAAAGGCAATAAAAAGAAGAAGCAAAAGGTCTACCGAGTTGAATTTCCGGATTTGGGAAAGAAACCTGTGGAGGGAGTCTAGGCTGAACTTTTGAATTCTATTAATTATCGATGGTGCTATGTGAAGTTCTTGATAAAAATACTCTAAAATCACGGAACAAAAATCACAAAATCGCGACCAAAAATGCCGATAAGAATTGATGAAACAATTCATTCAGATCTCTGATGAAACCGAGCCGTTTTCACGCGTATTGACAGTGTTCGAAAATTTCTCCTTGCAGCTCCCGCGCAATTCCGCGACAATATCGTAAATTTCGCGGTTCGCGGTTTCGGGTAGATACCAATATTGATACAGGATGCAAAATATTGAGGGTCCGATGTAGAGGACGAGGAAGGCGTATGAACCTAAAGTATCACTCGCTCACTCTCTCTTCATCTCTCTCTCGCTCTCTCACGCTCTCTCCCTCTCTATGTCTCTCTCCTTACCAATAATTCCATACAACGGCATCACACTGAATGTAAAAATCGCAGCAGCAATCGTATTGACAGCATACGACAAGGATTGATTCAAACTACGGTAGCGCTGCGGGACCAATTCCGCAGGTAAAAACCAAGATACCGGCCCAACAGCCGCACTAAAGGACAAAGGATTTAGATGTCTCGATTATCGTACCCATAGGTGAAGCCATAGAAAATAAGCGCGAATACGCAACCATACTTAATAGCCGGAAGTATGGCTTGTAATTCGGCGCACAACACGAATAGGCAGAGGGTAACCATGTTAATTAAGGTCATCCAGAGTAGTAGGGGCCGTCGACCGGCTCTGGAATTTTTACGGCTGTAGCGAGAGAAGAGAGCCAAAGAGAGCACGAGCAAGAGCTAAGGTGTATGAGAGAGAACGAGAGAGAGAGAGAGAGAGAGAGAGAGAGAGAGAGAGAGAGAGAGAGAGCTACAGAAACTGGCCTCTCCACCAGCAGACTCGAACAGCACCCCCCGATGAAATAAAACAACGCCATAGCCGTTGAGCTCCACTTGGCCAGTTGATTATTATAATCCGTCACCCCTGCATCTTGCAATAGTTGTGTCGAATTTAATAGGATTGTCCATAGTGCTAACGTGTTCGAAAAACAATGCTTGATACACAAATCGGGTTTACCTGGAGTCCAGCACAACTCAAAAAGAACGCTTTTCGGAGGTGGGGTACGGTAAAAATATCCAGGAGTTTGCGGGTGATGGAGATGTCGTCCTTTTGGCATTCGGCTTCCTGAAAATGGTTAAAGCCGGTTTAAGTTGGATTTCGAAGTAACCAACCATCTGAATATCGTCCAATATTTGCCCAGCAGCACAATCAGCTCCCTGGTAGAATTTCACAGATTTTTCCGCTCTCTTCCGATCCCTCTTGACGATCAGTAGAAATTTTGGAGTTTCAGGTAAAAAGAAAAGTACGACCAGTGCGATTGCGGCTAAACGTCTGCAGTATTAAAACGTAGATCGAAGATTACAAAGCGGAATCGGGACAGCTAGCAGCCAAACAAGATGACGTCCAAGGATCTGATCAGTGCCTAGAAACATCCCGACCAGGCACATCCCCGAATAGGTAATATCGGCTAGGCAGGACATTACGCCACGGTATTCCGTAGGAGCTACTTCCTAAATTGTTCGATTAAGTGTAGTAACGTATGGGCCTTACATTTAAATACAACACTGCGGCTTGGTAAGTGACGGCCGTTACGACAGAAGCTAAGAAACGGCCGGCAAATAATAGTTCCGGTTGGTAGGTTGGGATTGCAAGAGCTCGCAGGCATGAAGCAAGCAGAGAAACGGCATTTCCAATAATGAAGCCGACTGAAATTCACGGCTTTCTGGATGTGGGTATCGCAGTAGAGCTCGAAACACCGTTTTGGCTACGCCAGTCACGGATTGTGTTAGTGCGTGAAAAGTGGCTTGAAAATGCCCCCGAGCCTGCTTCCACTTCCTCCTGGTATGATTTACAGCTTTGTCCAAATTTTTCTAACTCTGATAAGGGCAGCTTTTTCTCAAAGATATGTTTTGAGGCGAGAGAGAGTGATGGAAAGATAGCGAGAGAATGAGGGAGAGAGAAAGAAAGAGAGATAGAGAGATAGAGACCATCGTCTCCGCTTAAAATCCTCGAAACACACCTTTCCTTCCAAATCTATCGTTCAGCACCGGACTTAGCCAAATCCCAAAGAAGAACCCGACCATCCAAATATCGGAAAGGAGATCATAGGCCTAGAAGCGGAACAGCAAATGACTCCAACCAATTTCCCCACCAGGTCGATTTGGCCACCCGTCGAATGGCTTCCCCATTTGGTAAATGATTTATTGAGGTAATCCTAAGCAAAAACTGGTCCTTAAATCTGGGAAGCTTGCCTTAAAATGATCCACCGGGTCGTTCAAATACGTCGAAGAAAACCCATACTGTAAATTCGCCGATAGGGCGATGGTCGAGCCAAGTAGAATCGTCCGAATCAGCTGCTTTTTCGCCATTAATGACCTTGAATTACTAGTAAAGTTTTCCTGAGTAATAGAATTATTCAATAGCATATCTATGGACGTTTTAAAATTTTAAAATTCAGGGACGGAAAGCTTTTTTAAGCCAAATTAAAATACGCGGAACGCCCGAAAAATACGTGATGCCAACGTCTCTAGACATTGCCCTTGCCTGGCTTATCAAATTTTCCCCACCGGATAAAGGGGATCCCCGCGTAGCAACCCGAAAAATTTTAGGGCACCCTATAAGTTTTGACAGCGGGCGATTTTTAAAAATCGGCTGATTGACGTGGAGGGTCCTGGTGACCAATAAAGAGCGCTTTCTTGCGATAAAGTCATGGGAGGGGATCGAAGTCCGAAAATCTTCAAAATCGCGAAAGATGAGATTTTGAAAAGGCGTTGCCAATAGTTTTTGTAATATTTTTTGTCAAATTTTCTAGTTTTTAGGGATGGGGAAGCCCGTTCTGTAGTCTTTGAGAGATCATGGATAAAATTCGCGACGGCGAAAACGATAAAATTCTCTGAAAAATACGAGAAAGGTTGATGCGGGATCATTTTGTCTTCATTTATTACCGTTTTGTAGCTGTTAAAAACCATTTGAAAATATTTATTAATGTATCTAAACGGCTGGGACGAGATCGGTCTGACAAGTCGTCAGCCGCTGACTTTTCCCGCACGGAATATGGTTCCACAACCCGATATCGCTAGCTTTGTCTGGCCACTTTACCGATCAATCGGTGTACATCTGAAGTATGATTATTTAGTAACCAGCGGGGGAGGAGCCGCTTCGCGACTCTCCCCCTCTGGACCCCGTCTATGCCCTATGAATCGAGCGCCTCTCCACGTAAAGTTATCCTGACGAAAGAAAAACGCAACTCTCATGCACACCTCTTTGTATTGGCATGCGGCGCAAGCTTAAATTGCTAGTGTCGTTATTAGGCCTGCGGCGCATGTTTGATCGGCTAGGTTAGGTAGGACCTCATACTGGGCCCAAGTTGGAGAGACCTTCTAAAGCCTGCGGCGCTAGCTTGTGCGGCTAGCTTCGTTCTAAAGCATGCGGCGCTAGCTTGTGCGGCTAGCTTCGTTCTAAAGCATGCGGCGCTAGCTTGTGCGGCTAGCTTCGTTCTAAAGCCTGCGGCGCTAGATTGAGCGGCTAGCTTCGTTCTAAAGCCTGCGGCGCTAAGCTTGAGCGGCTAGCTTCGTTCTAAAGCATGCGGCGCTGGCTTGTGCGGCTAGCTTCTTTCTAAAGCCTGCGGCGCTAGCTTGTGCGGCTAGCTTCGTTCTAAAGCCTGCGGCGCTAGATTGAGCGGCTAGCTTCGTTCTAAAGCCTGCGGCGCTAGCTTGTGCGGCTAGCTTCCTTCTAAAGCATGCGGCGCTAGCTTGTGCGGCTAGCTTCGTTCTAAAGCCTGCGGCGCTAGCTTGAGCCGCTAGCTTCGTTCTAAAGCATGCGGCGCTAGCTTGTGCGGCTAGCTTCTTTCTAAAGCATGCGGCGCTAGCTTGGCGGCTAGCTTCGTTCTAAAGCCTGCGGCGCTAGCTTGTGCGGCTAGCTTCGTTCTAAAGCCTGCGGCGCTAGATTGAGCGGCTAGCTTCGTTCTAAAGCCTGCGGCGCTAGCTTGAGCGGCTAGCTTCGTTCTAAAGCCTGCGGCGCTAGCTTGTGCGGCTAGCTTCGTTCTAAAGCATGCGGCGCTAGCTTGAGCCGCTAGCTTCGTTCTAAAGCATGCGGCGCTAGCTTGTGCGGCTAGCTTCGTTCTAAAGCCTGCGGCGCTAGATTGAGCGGCTAGCTTCGTTCTAAAGCCTGCGGCGCTAGCTTGAGCGGCTAGCTTCGTTCTAAAGCCTGCGGCGCTAGCTTGTGCGGCTAGCTTCGTTCTAAAGCATGCGGCGCTAGCTTGTGCGGCTAGCTTCGTTCTAAAGCATGCGGCGCTAGCTTGTGCGGCTAGCTTCGTTCTAAAGCCTGCGGCGCTAGATTGAGCGGCTAGCTTCGTTCTAAAGCCTGCGGCGCTAGCTTGTGCGGCTAGCTTCGTTCTAAAGCCTGCGGCGCTAGATTGAGCGGCTAGCTTCGTTCTAAAGCCTGCGGCGCTAGCTTGTGCGGCTAGCTTCCTTCTAAAGCATGCGGCGCTAGCTTGTGCGGCTAGCTTCGTTCTAAAGCCTGCGGCGCTAGCTTGAGCGGCTAGCTTCGTTCTAAAGCATGCGGCGCTAGCTTGTGCGGCTAGCTTCTTTCTAAAGCATGCGGCGCTAGCTTGAGCGGCTAGCTTCGTTCTAAAGCCTGCGGCGCTAGCTTGTGCGGCTAGCTTCGTTCTAAAGCCTGCGGCGCTAGATTGAGCGGCTAGCTTCGTTCTAAAGCCTGCGGCGCTAAGCTTGAGCGGCTAGCTTCGTTCTAAAGCCTGCGGCGCTAGCTTGTGCGGCTAGCTTCGTTCTAAAGCATGCGGCGCTAGCTTGAGCGGCTAGCTTCGTTCTAAAGCCTGCGGCGCTAGCTTGTGCGGCTAGCTTCGTTCTAAAGCATGCGGCGCTAGCTTGTGCGGCTAGCTTCGTTCTAAGGCCTGCGGCGCTAGCTTGAGCGGCTAGCTTCGTTCTAAAGCCTGCGGCGCTAGCTTGTGCGGCTAGCTTCGTTCTAAAGCCTGCGGCGCTAGCTTGAGCGGCTAGCTTCGTTCTAAAGCCTGCGGCGCTAGCTTGTGCGGCTAGCTTATAATTAAGCCTGCGGTGCCGGCTTGAGCCTCCTGAGCCTGCGGCGCATTTTGAACGGCTAGCTCTGTCTTTGGGCCCGCGGCGCTGGCTTGCCCGGCTGAACTCCCTTCCGAAGCCTGCGGCGCTAGTATCAGAGGCTAGCTTCATTCTTTAGCCTGGGGCGCGGATTTGAGCGACTAACTTCAAAATAACGCTTCTCTACACGAAAAGCCCTTCGAAATCAACTTTCCGATCAAAAAGCAAAACAACTACTATCCCTGGGAACCGAACCTCCGATGGATAGATTGGCAGGCTGCCGCTCTAACCACTACACCATGCAACGATTGGCGACAAGCGCGAGGTTCCTCTTATCTGCCTCGAAGCGGTCGGCTCCGGGGAGGGGAAGGGAAGGCAGAAAGAGGCAAATCCAAAGAGACGACCACATTCGCGCGTGCAAGTGTCAAGAATGAGAAAATTTCTATTTTTTCACATTATGCAAATTACCCCCAAAAATGAATAAAACCGGCTTTAACTTAGTAAACTTGTATTTTATCGAAATTCTGAGAACGTCATCAGAAGAAACGTCATGTTTGATCGGCTAGGTTAGGTAGGACCTCATACTGGGCCCAAGTTGGAGAGACCTTCTAAAGCCTGCGGCGCTAGCTTGTGCGGCTAGCTTCGTTCTAAAGCATGCGGCGCTAGCTTGTGCGGCTAGCTTCGTTCTAAAGCATGCGGCGCTAGCTTGTGCGGCTAGCTTCGTTCTAAAGCATGCGGCGCTAGCTTGTGCGGCTAGCTTCGTTCTAAGGCCTGCGGCGCTAGCTTGAGCGGCTAGCTTCGTTCTAAAGCCTGCGGCGCTAGCTTGTGCGGCTAGCTTCGTTCTAAAGCCTGCGGCGCTAGCTTGAGCGGCTAGCTTCGTTCTAAGGCCTGCGGCGCTAGCTTGAGCGGCTAGCTTCGTTCTAAAGCCTGCGGCGCTAGCTTGTGCGGCTAGCTTCGTTCTAAAGCCTGCGGCGCTAAGCTGAGCGGCTAGCTTCGTTCTAAAGCCTGCGGCGTTAGCTTGTGCGGCTAGCTTATAATTAAGCCTGCGGTGCCGGCTTGAGCCTCCAGAGCCTGCGGCGCATTTTGAACGGCTAGCTCTGTCTTTGGGCCCGCGGCGCTGGCTTGCCCGGCTGAACTCCCTTCCGAAGCCTGCGGCGCTAGTATCAGAGGCTAGCTTCATTCTTTAGCCTGGGGCGCGGATTTGAGCGACTAACTTCAAAATAACGCTTCTCTACACGAAAAGCCCTTCGAAATCAACTTTCCGATCAAAAAAGCAAAACAACTACTATCCCTGGGAACCGAACCTCCGATGGATAGATTGGCAGGCTGCCGCTCTAACCACTACACCATGCAACGATTGGCGACACGCGCGAGGTTCCTCTTATCTGCCTCGAAGCGGTCGGCTCCGGGGAGGGGAAGGGAAGGCAGAAAGAGGCAAATCCAAAGAGACGACCACATTCGCGCGTGCAAGTGTCAAGAATGAGAAAATTTCTATTTTTTCACATTATGCAAATTACCCCCAAAAATGAATAAAACCGGCTTTAACTTAGTAAACTTGTATTTTATCGAAATTCTGAGAACGTCATCAGAAGAAACGTCATGTTTGATCGGCTAGGTTAGGTAGGACCTCATACTGGGCCCAAGTTGGAGAGACCTTCTAAAGCCTGCGGCGCTAGATTGAGCGGCTAGCTTCGTTCTAAAGCATGCGGCGCTAGCTTGTGCGGCTAGCTTCTTTCTAAAGCATGCGGCGCTAGCTTGAGCGGCTAGCTTCGTTCTAAAGCCTGCGGCGCTAGCTTGTGCGGCTAGCTTCGTTCTAAAGCCTGCGGCGCTAGATTGAGCGGCTAGCTTCGTTCTAAAGCCTGCGGCGCTAGCTTGAGCGGCTAGCTTCGTTCTAAAGCCTGCGGCGCTAGCTTGTGCGGCTAGCTTCGTTCTAAAGCATGCGGCGCTAGCTTGAGCGGCTAGCTTCGTTCTAAAGCCTGCGGCGCTAGCTTGTGCGGCTAGCTTCGTTCTAAAGCATGCGGCGCTAGCTTGTGCGGCTAGCTTCGTTCTAAGGCCTGCGGCGCTAGCTTGAGCGGCTAGCTTCGTTCTAAAGCCTGCGGCGCTAGCTTGTGCGGCTAGCTTCGTTCTAAAGCCTGCGGCGCTAGCTTGAGCGGCTAGCTTCGTTCTAAGGCCTGCGGCGCTAGCTTGAGCGGCTAGCTTCGTTCTAAAGCCTGCGGCGCTAGCTTGTGCGGCTAGCTTCGTTCTAAAGCCTGCGGCGCTAGCTTGAGCGGCTAGCTTCGTTCTAAAGCCTGCGGCGCTAGCTTGTGCGGCTAGCTTATAATTAAGCCTGCGGTGCCGGCTTGAGCCTCCTGAGCCTGCGGCGCATTTTGAACGGCTAGCTCTGTCTTTGGGCCCGCGGCGCTGGCTTGCCCGGCTGAACTCCCTTCCGAAGCCTGCGGCGCTAGTATCAGAGGCTAGCTTCATTCTTTAGCCTGGGGCGCGGATTTGAGCGACTAACTTCAAAATAACGCTTCTCTACACGAAAAGCCCTTCGAAATCAACTTTCCGATCAAAAAGCAAAACAACTACTATCCCTGGGAACCGAACCTCCGATGGATAGATTGGCAGGCTGCCGCTCTAACCACTACACCATGCAACGATTGGCGACACGCGCGAGGTTCCTCTTATCTGCCTCGAAGCGGTCGGCTCCGGGGAGGGGAAGGGAAGGCAGAAAGAGGCAAATCCAAAGAGACGACCACATTCGCGCGTGCAAGTGTCAAGAATGAGAAAATTTCTATTTTTTCACATTATGCAAATTACCCCCAAAAATGAATAAAACCGGCTTTAACTTAGTAAACTTGTATTTTATCGAAATTCTGAGAACGTCATCGGAAACAGAAGGGTCGATTCCCCCGGGTGACGGAGAATTGGGGCATTTTATGCAGGGGAAGGCCCTCAAATCGGGCCTCGAAAGTGACATCCACACACACACACACAGTTACACGCCAAAATTATATAAGGTAGGACTTTTAAGTTGGTGTTCATGATTTTAAAGCTCCTACCATGATGCACGCCTCCTCGCCGTCATGTTGTTCGGCTCTCCGGGGGCAAATTTCGAGAAATAAATTCTGCTGCCCGATGGCGAGGTGGATGTCTTGGTGTCGCCCTCAAACCTGAAATAAAGCTTATAACGGGTAGGCATGCCTGCAATTTTTGGCCCAACAAAAAGTGACCGATATGCAAATCCATGCGCCGTCCGGTTGTGGCGAGTTCTAAAACGTAAAACGATTTTGGAGTACGTAAAAGGCTTCTAAGCGTAAACATGTTAGTTAACAACTAGCTATTGTAACTGACCTAAAATAAACCTATTCTGCTTCTCATCCTCTACAGTAACCATTTGGGCACGGCGTCCATCACATTCACCCTTTGCCTCGTCGTAATTTAAATGGTACACATAGGATAACAGGGGGAATAACGGTGGGGCACTCAAACTTTTTATATGATAAAAGTATTTTTAAATATGCATTTTTCGGGCTGTAAAAAAACTTTTAGTATATTTTCGGTCCTCTATCGAATGGCATTTTCAAAATATCAAAAATATTCAAAACGCCGAAAATTCCCCCCCGTTATCCTATGTGCTGCCCATAGATCTTCCTCAATTTTTGTTTATTTAATAAAAAATTTCCATTACATTATTTTGGGCTCAAATTAATTTTCTTAGTATATTTTTCGACGCTTTATCGAATGGCACTCGCAAAATCCCTCAGTAATTGCAAATTTCATAATAATGAGTGCCCCCCGTTATTCCCCCGTTATCCTATGTGTACCATTTAAATTGGCGAATAGCTAAAAAAATTGAAATCTTTCATTTTTAGCCCAGCTTAAAGCATTTCCCACATTTCCGATGCCCCCACGATCCAGTTGGGCAACCCGGAAATTCGAGCTTTTCGTATCGGGTCAAATTCTTTGTGGAGGAGCCGAGGGCTTGTTCAATGTAAAAATTTCTAAAAAAAAATAATTTAAATTTCGGATTGTGTCGCCTCACAGTTTATGCTGGCAAATCGCCAAGAGCTTTGTTTGTTCCTCAAAATTCGACAACCTAAATTTTCCTCAAATTTCCATGATGTAGAAATTCTTACACGGGCTTTTCTTGCCTTGTTTCAACTTCAGCAGGGCCTGGGCTAAAATTCATCTAAGCCGAGTTATTTGAAAATTATTATAAATTCGCAAAAATTGACCTGCAAAAATGCAACAAAAACCCAATATAAAAACATAGGATATTGAAAACAGGGTCGTCAACTGGAATATGCGTAGCTGCCGGAGGAAGGGTGCCCGGGAATTCCTTAAAAACTGTCAAAAAATCAGATTCGCCTATGGTAAAATATATCCCCGATTATCGAGCGGGTCCCGGATTTCAAGCGTCTGCATTCAAAAAATTCTAGTCTGCTATGGGCGGCCTGAAAACGCCGCGTTTCCGCTTGTTTATGTTATCCGAGAAGGCTGCTCCATTGCTCATTGTTCAGGGAAAAGCCTTTTCATCTTTTTGAAGTCTGGGTGGCCATTTCAAACGTAAATCAAGATTAAAAATGCCAGAAAACCCCAGCTTTTCGGAAACTTTGTTATTTAGAACATAAATTACAAATACCATTCTTCAAAGAAAATCGTAACCCCAAAACGCAACATTGGATTTCTATTTCTAATAATAAATTCTAAGATGGATTTCGTTCGTTGTGTTTCGCAAATCTACAAATTTTGAAAGAAAACGAGGGTCCCATCGCTTAAGATTCCAACGTTCCAAAGAGGGGTCCTGCATCCCACAAAGAGCAAAGAGCGCGCATCGCCTCCCCATCATTGGCCCCGCGTCACGCATCTTTAGAGATCGCCGATGCCTCGGAAAGAAAACACATCAAGTTCGATCAGCAGCCTGACCTAGGAAACAGAAAACGTTCAGGTACACCCGTGATTTTAGTAAATATTTTTACGAGTTACGCAGATTTTATTCGACTAGCGTTTTGCACTTTAACACTTTTAAAAGAGTCACTGCCACTCCCTATCTCTCTCACCCTTGCTCCCTATCTCTCTCGCTTCGAATTGTACCACCCTATTTGATCTCCCCCCAATTTGCCAAATGATTTTAGCTCAAAAAGAGCAAAGCAAAAGTACAGTAGCCCTAACGAAATCCGGCAACCTTTATAAAGCAGCGCGCACGGCGAAGGATTAGCATGATTTCTTGAGGATGCGTTTCTTGCTCGGTTTATTCCTAGTTCTTGTATTAGTTGCTGTCAGTGAGGCCTGGATTGGAGGTAAGGATACTATATCTTGAGAGGATACTTTGTCTTGTTTTACGTTATAGTTTAATATTTTGTGTATCAAATGTGCTATATTTTTTAAGGTTGTAGGGAGCATAATGATTTTTTATTAGGCTGGGGCTGCGGTCTGTTTTGTCGTATGCGGATGAGGAGGATCTGGAGGCTGGAAAGACGGTACCTTTTTCTAAAATTAAATCCGGAGTTTTTGGGATATATTTTGAGAATCTCCACTACATCACCACATAATCTCACAACTAAAGTATAACTCCTTTTTTAGGCTGAACCGACTCACCTACGGCGGCTACGGGTATCCTTACGGAGGCTTCGGATGGGGGGAAATAATTCATCATATTTTTGACTCACAATTTTCTCTTAGTTTTTTTGCAATTCTTGATTGTCAATTCCTGATTTGATCTTGGTACTGTAAATAAACCAATTTTTCGGCATTTATTCGCTTTACTTGGCTCCACATCTTTGGCCGCTCGCCAAATAATCGACCGATTATGCCGTTAAAAACACCGGAAAACATCTCCAAAAAATAGTACCGTATCCATGCAAAGGGTGACCTTGTGGTCGTTTGTGCCCGCTAAAAGGTATCTCGAATTCTCTCGCTTGTGCAACCTGTTTGACCATATCTCGTGCCATTTCTGACCTACAATCTCTACCGCCAGACGGAAAACACTTCCGGATTCGCCGAATTCGGCGAGTCATTCCTGCTAAATTTGGAGATAGCAAAAAGTGCAAGGGCTCTTACGAAATATGGCAGCGGTTATAAATGGCGTTAAAAAACGCTTTGCTTGAAATGGTTTCCTAAAGGATGCGCTTCCTGTTGGTTTTACTATTCCTTCTCGCAGTCGTTGAAATCGCCGAAGCCTGGGGTAAGCTATTTTCATGTCGGAATCGAATACCTTGAAATTTTGCATTTTTTGCTCGAAGCATTTTTGCTCTGCACAAAGCGTAAAGTTAGCGTAAAATTAAGTAGCATTAAATGGGATAAAATGTGGGATTCGAGATTGCTGCTAAAAAATTTTTTTCTAGGCTGGGGTTGGGGCGGAGGTGGTTGGGGCTACGGCTGCGGCTTTTTCTGCCGTTGGAGGATGAGGCGCATCTGGAGGCTGCAAAATCGGTTAATTTTCATCATCCATCTGCACTTCGAAAAACTTTAAAACAAAAAAAACTAAATGGACATTTTAGGCTCAACTGGCTGTATGGCGGTTACGGTGGCTACGGCGGCTATGGATATCCGTATTATGGCGGCTACGGATGGGGAAAGAAATGAGTCATTTTGGCTTTTTTTGTAAGGTCTATTTAGCTTTTGTCCTAGTTTTTAAAATAATTCACGGAGATAAACGAAATTTTCGGAATTTATTCATTTTTGCTAAAAAACAGCTGAAATTTTCAAAACTCAAAATATAAATATTTAAATGACCTTAAGATAATCATAACTTGCTAAAACACTATGAAAATCCGCTGAAAACGTCTACAGTTCCAAAAATACACATCTTAAAAAGAACAAAGATAAGCAAAAAAAATTTAGACAGCAACAGCATTTTAGAGCAAGAAAATAAAACAGCTAAAATTAAATTTTAACAAACCAAAAACAACTAACAAAATGATCGGCTAAAAGCAAAAACGCGCTATTTTATTTCCACCCTGTAGCGTACTCAAGCCCTGAATATTTTACGACATCAACCCTTCGATTAATGTCTTCCCAAGCACGAAAGGGCCCGTAAACTCTCCTTTTCCGATAAGCTGCACCCTTCAGGCTAGCAAAAGCCGACCGGGGCGGCTGATAAACGGGATTATTCGCTCAACTTTTTCTCCTAGAATGGCCGGGCTACTGAATTTGTTCCCGTTTCCGGATCCAGAACAATTGCCAGATTCTAAGGAAAGTAGGCTTCACGTTGGGTTTCACGCTGTGACGGTCAAAATTAGTGGGCCTCGAGCAGAAGCCGCGTTTTTGGTTTCCGAATGTGTTGTGGGTGGCACTTTTGCTGGTTGTGCCGGGCGGGGCTGGATTTGCGGTGGGATGGGCAGGTTAGTGGAAATTTCCAGATGTTTTGTGGTTTGTAGTTTACCGGAAAAAGTGCCTTCACTGAATTTTTATAATTAAGCTTGCTAATTCAAAGGTTGATGTTAAGATTTAAATAAGCATGATTTTATGGCGCAAGTAGGTGCGGTACAGATCGAGACAGAGAGAGAGAAAGAGAGGAAGAGAGAGAGAGAGGGAGTGAGAGAGAGAGAGAGAGAGGGAGAGAGAGAGAAAGAAAGGGAGTGAGAGAGAGAGGAAGAGCTATAGGGAGAGAGGGAGAGAGGGAGGGAGAGAGAGAGCCAGATAGAGAGCGAGAGAGAGCGCGAGAGAGAGCAAGAGAGCGCGCGAGATAGATATAGAGTGATTGAGTAATCGTGCGGACTAGAGAAACGGTAAGGGAGATTCAATAGTTTTACTACAAAAATCCCGAAAAATACAATTCTCACACATTTGCTCGAATTTTCTTTCCCAAAATGGCCCGCTGGAACGCTGCTATTAGCATCTGCACCCCTGAGTTTCAAAATTTACTTTTAGCTGAACACAACGCAGTAAAACCGGCCGGATGCGGGCAACTTTCCTTACATTGTCAAAAATCTGGAAACTGTCCGGCTCTCAAAAGCAGCTCGGAATTTCCAAATACCCTTCGCTGTACGTATCGTGTAAGCACTGTTTCTCACAGTTAAAAAATTTTCCATACAGTATTGGCTGGAAACAAACATGGGCCACCGCTTGCATGTCACCAGCAAATTTGCTGACACCTCTAAGCCGTATCTCTTGAAGGTTTGGTCCCAGGAGGGGCTTCTGCGAAGGTATGCTTTTCAATCATAAATTAGACAGTTGTTAGATATAAAGCCGATTCAAACGACACAATAATATTCGGCGGAAATTTCCTGATTATCGATTTTCAAGCGAATTCCGTTTGGAACGATGGGGATTATTGGCAGATCGTCCTGCAACTCGGAGGTCGGAAACCTTAGAAACTTATTTATTTACTTAATATCTTTTTGAATTTTTTGTCATTCTAATCTATTTTATTTTTAATATAGATTTTATTTATTTGTTTAGAGAGCAACTTCCCCGTTGAAAAGATTACCATTTACAACTCCTTGACGCTTCCATTAAAAGATATTTACCCGGCGGTGAGTCAAATTGTTGGTATTTTAGCTCTTAATCTGATTTTAAGACTTTCCGCTTTATGGTAAATGATAGCTCACTGAATAAAGATCCCGTGTCGGGAGATATGTATGCGGTGTCGAGCCCTGCGGATACGCCTTATACGCAAAACGTATGGCTGAAAGCGAACGTGTACCAGAGGGCCTACGAGTTTAAGTAGGTTTTTAAAGGCTTTTTTACGGGCTTAGAACAGAACCCTTTTTAGGCATATGATTTTCAGGCTTTCAGACTACACGCCAACTTCTGCGCAACTGGAACCCGTTTTCAACCCGAGCTGGAGCTCAATGACGTTGGAAAATAATAATTCAAGCCCAAGCCAATCGCTTAACACGATTGTACATCTACAGGCTGACTTGCCTAGTACGTCCGTAGATTCTTGAATTCCACCCACTTCCAGACGCTAAGTTGGCGTTTTTCCAATCCGACGGCTCTTTTTCGATAACGGCCAAGCGAGATAGTGTTGACAAAACGTTGCTGATCACAATTTTGATACCAGGAGGTTCGGCGAAGATCAGCAACATCGAGGTGGTCGGGGTAAGCGAGACGGTCAAAGCTTTAAGCAGAAACTTAAGCCAGTCTTGATCTTCCACTTTTTAGGACGACAAAATCAGCATAATCACGGGTGGAAGCTATTCGATGAATGAAGCAGCGGCGTATCAATACATGGATGAGTAGGTTTTTCAGATTTTTGGGATCTTGGCAATTTTCAGTTCATTTCAAATTTATCGATTCATTGAAATTTGAAAAACTGCACATATCCAAATTTTATAGAAGTATCTCAAACTTGGCCAAGAAAGCTATGACAGTACGAGGAGCGGCGGTGACAATACACGCACTCGACGCTACGGAAATTCGTTTACGAATAAATTGAAACCCTTAATTAATGATATTTTTCCAACAGCAGAAAAAATAAAGCAGAGCCGTTTAAAGCCAATGAAATCAAAAGTAAGTAGTTAAAATCCTTTCATTTCTCCTCCACCGAATTTCGATATATGATGTAGTGCTGGAAAAAGAAGAGGGAATCGAGGAACATTGTGATTAAGGCCAGTGCAAATTTCACCGGGTTGCCGGTGAAATTGGACCAATCGTTGACATTCCAAGCTTGGAGGACCTGAAAAAGAACAAAGTTATTTTCTTACTCAGGTAAGCCTAAACTTAAGCCCAAACCCAACCCAAGCCTTAGTTTGGGCCAAGCCAAAGCCTACACCGCCTAACTTACCATTTGCAGAAACGACAGTACACCGCCAGAAAAATCGAGCCAAATAGCTTCAATCGCAAAGCCGGAAGTGCTTTTCCGAGTGTAGTTGAAATAGAGCTAAAATCGAAGTTTTTCGATATTTTCGTATATTTGCTACCTGTGGCAGATACATCGGAGTCGTCACCAAAATTTTTACATACGAAAAAATGTTCGCAATCTGCAGCCGGGTAATGATGCCGACGGCGAGGAGGCCGAGGACGCTGACTGGAAATTTTAATTTTAGGCGGTCTTGATCTTTTAAATATTTTCATTTTGCTTATACAATTTATTCTCAGCTTTCAAGGCACTTTCTCTAGTATTTTAGCTTACAAAGCTCTGAAATTCATTGGACTATGCCATTAGTTTCAACCATCTTTTACCTTCGAGATAAATTTTAAACTATTTCATGGAAGTTTCCTTGGTTTTTGGGGATTTTACCAGATCCAAAAATGTAGATGACACCGGTGATGTAGTAGAATGGATGGAGGCGTTGGGAGCCGCGCTAAAAAGGTACAAGATACAGCAATAAATATCATCAATTTTACGCGGTCATAAAAAACGTGATAAACTATATGAATTCTTAAACTCTACTTACCTCGTAGATACAAGCCTGAAAAGCGTAGACGAACGAAAATATCAAAGCATGCGCCGCAAAAACAACATCGTTGAGCAAAACTGGTAGTGGAGAATAGGGTTGTTCTTGGAGGTATTCAGCCTTAAAATTTACCATTTAATCGAAAGTAATACCTTAAATTCGCTAAAAACCTCCAAAATTTGACAACTATCCGACCTGAACTTGCTCGTTGAAATACATCAATGTATTAAAAATCGTGTACGACCCATTGCCCAAGACGTTCAGAAAAACGTAGTTGAAGTCCATGCCAATCACGCTATAAAAATGGTAATTTTTGGGAGTGATTCCGACCTTTTCCTCCTAAAGTTCAGCCAGATCTGAGGGTAAAACGAGGCGCTCCACAATACGAAATACGCCCATCCGACCAGCATGCAGAGCGTGTCGACAAAGTTGCTTTTTAGGACGGAGAAGCGGACGAAGGGCACGGGAATGCTGAAAAAAGGGTTGTTTTGGAAAGCCTGGAAATGGCAAAATGGTACTTTTAAATATCAAATCAATTCTAAAAGAGGGAATTTCGGGTTCGGCTGGTTAGCAAAAAAAAAACGCTTTTAAAGTTGTTTCGATATTTTCGTTTATTTTTAGATTTTTTAACGTCATCCGATAAAGCATCAGAAATTATAGCAAAAAATACTGCAATTTACAATAGCTATAGAACCTGTCTGTTTAGCCTCCGATTACATATAGAAAACTAAAAAAATTGCATAAAGCTCAAAGAATGATGTCTAAAATAGTGAGTTTTGAAAGAATGTGCAATGTCGCGACCCCCCGTTAACGGAACAGAACCCAAATTTCTACCTTACCTCTCCATACAGTCCTCCAGAAGCGTCTCATTGCCCTCCCGTGTCCTGGCTGTGCAGGAGCTGATCTCGAAGTTTGTCTGGCTCACCGGGTTTTTACCCATGATTTCGATTGGGGGCGAGAGAGCGGTGTTGGAGAAGAAGAACTAAAAGTTAATAAAAAACAAATAGCTCTTGTTCTCTCTCACTCTCTCTCTCCCTCTCCCTCTCTCTCTCTCTCTCTCTCTCCTCTCTCTCTATCGCTCACCTTACTCGGATGTCCCAACGCCTGCGCCTTGTTAAATTCAAACTTGTAATGTATCTCCTGGCCCTCATCGAGTACCGGGTTACTGCAATTCATTCGAAATTCAAAGAACGTCATTTACTCAAAGTGTAACTCCAACAAGTATCGCTCCCCAACTATCAGCCCAACATCTTTTTCCTTGAAATAGATATTTCGGGATGCTGGTTCTGGGGTATCAGTCCCGATTGTGAATTGCAAATTTAGTGCTAGAATTAGGGGAATAGACCGTTTTAGAAAGTTCATCTTCGCACTAGAATCTTTTGAGGGAGTTCAAGTGTCATTTTTGAGAACATTTCCCCGACAGTCACATCTGCAAATGGCGGCCAATTTCAATGCGCTTATGGGATCGGAGTGGAAAATTGGTGGGGGGCCCTGTCTGAACGGTGGATTCATTGAGACGGTTGCATTTTTAGGGTGGGCGAGAGAGAGCGAGAGCGGAGAGAGAGAGAGAGAGACGTTTGAGGACCTAGTGAATAGGATGGCAATGGAAATTTAATACTTATTTTAAGCCTTGGCTTTTCGGGGGTTTTTGTATCGGTTCACATTTTTGCCGCGTGAAGTTCCAGAAAATCGGCTTCCCGATTCGTGGCTAAAGTCTTTTTTCGTTTTTTTTCCGGGTCCCGGGAACCGGTTGACCTTGAATAACAACGGGGGATCATCCGCCCACCACCCCGGGTTCGATCGACCAGTGCCCAGGTTGAAAAGTGTCGCCCGTAAAGGTTGGTGACCCGACATTTTGTGCCCTATCTGAAGCTTGATCCGATTTTTTACTCAATATGCATACTACACAACCGCGCCAAACCGTGTTGCCGATGACGGGGAAGGATGATGGTATGTTCAGTTTTTGCCCACGAAACCATTAGATACAAGATTTTCTCCTCATTCTTTTTCACCTTTTGAAACTTCAATAAAACCCTAAATTCAGATTTATCGTTTGCAATGGACGAATTTTCTGGCGACACAAATCACTGTGTTTAGACTAAAAATACGGCTAATAGAATTAATAAATATGATTTTCGCACAGTTTTCTTCTTTCTTTAAGTTGTTTTTTGGCATATTTTAAAGGATCTAGATACTCAAAATCTTTTCGCGTTCCAAAAAGAAATTCTGAATTTGAGAAACCCGGGAAGAAGACATGGTGGCACCCGTGTACTGCGCTGTAACCTCATGGTGCCTTCTAGGAGGAGCGCTTGGGGCAATTATCTGCACTCCAGGTCGGTTTTATGTCAGGAATTTTATAACAAAAATTAAGAGTTTATAGACTGAAAACACCAACTATCGTTTTTAGCCAGCGTGTGCTGCTACTTTGGCTGCCGCGACTTGAACAGGGACCCATTTTCGGGCCGAGGCTGGGCACTGGCCATTGCTGGTGAGTTTTAGGAGTAAATCATTAAATTCACAATTTCCAGGCGGTATCACCGGTCTGATCATCGTTGCCCTATACTTCTTGGTGAGGATGTACATCGACGACCCGCACATGTTCGGCGATTCATGGACCCAGCAGCAGTATGGCAGTTGGACAGATGAGAACGGGACGACGCACACGACGATGGAGGAGTGGCACTGGAAAGGGCACAGCCTCGAGGGGTTCAATATGACTCTTTTGAATTGATTACGATAGTTAAAAATTTGGCTACAAACCCCCTTTGTCCCTGAGGTATCATTATTGGCGGGCTAATGCTTTGTTTGTCTTTTCTGATGTATATATCACATTTTACGCACGCTAATATCAGCCATTATATTTGATTGTATCTATTTCTCTCTCTCTCTCTCTCTCTCTCTCTCTCTCTCGCGTGCTCAGCCTGTCCGAAGTGATCACGCGAATTTTTTTGCTCGGTCTCCCTGCCTTTTCTTTTTGCTGCCTTTCTCTCTCATCTTGCTTTTCCTTTTTTTGCAGATCCACTCGCGAACGCTTATCACTTCAAGGATCCACATTCGACAAATCTTTCCGGTGCCATTCAATAAACTTGTAATGCAATTAGTTTCCAAATCATTTCAAAACTTTATTGCATGTCAAGGGTGCGCGTGGAATCGAGTCGACACCTAAAATTGGGTTTTGCTACTGTCGAAGTACCATAATGCAGAAATTTCGGCATGTCGAATTTTTCCATGCGCAAACCAGCCAAATCCCCCGAAAAATTTAGACTGGCTGAAATCAGATATATGAAACCCGACATTTTACGATTTCGACACTATGAAATTTCGACATTATTAAATAATCTTACGCCATATCTATCAAGACATACCTTCAATTGAACGGCCAGAAGAACCACCACGGCCCGGTGGTGGTCGTGGTTGGTTGCTGGGTGGTGGTGTTTCCGAGACGTTCCACCTCAGCGGGCTGCTCAATGGGTTTGGATTCCGGCGCCCCAGTGATGTTTGCCTCCTCGGTTGACAGGGGAGGGAAGCTGCCGATCTTGTCGATGATGACTAAAAAAGGGTTTTATTAGAGGGTTACAATTCTAAGCACGCTCCCCCTTAAGCGGCCCGGAGGCGTGTTCGATTTGTACGTTTTAGGTAACTGCCGCTCGATTTTCGAAATTCCTGAGTTTTTCGTAAACTTTGTAAGCTCTATGCGTAAAGGGCCGAATCTAAGGTGTTTTTCCATAAAAAGAATTTTCAGTCTTTTTCCGAGGGCCCGACGGCAGCTTTTAGGAAAGTGATTCGAGAAAATATAGCTTGGATGGCCATTCAGCTGATTAAGCTGAGTTTTAGGAGAAAAGCGTGTAACTTTTGCATGCAAAACCATGAAAATTGACTTAAAAATTCGATCATTTCGAAAATTGGAAAGAATATATCGACTTCGTTCGTCAAGAGCTTTCCATAGTTACCCAAATCGTAAAAATCTGACACAACTGAGTCTTTTTAGAGAGGATCTTCCTAGACACTCAGTATCTTCCGTTAGCTAGCAAAACCTCGCAAATACCTACCAACGTTCAGTGTCTTGATTGGCATCGGCCGTCCGCATTCCGGGTCCTCGTCCTCGGGGAAGCAGGGACGGAAAACAATCGGCTCCTCGGTTGCGCTTTCCTCCGAGTCGGAGCGGCGACGGTCAGTTGGGATCTCGGTCAAGTTGAAGTTGCGACGGCGTCTGTTCAGGGTTTCTGGAGCGTCAGTCTCCTCATCAGCAGCTGCTGGCTCGGTCGTGGCTTCCTCATCCTCAGCTGTAGCCGCAACAGTTGTGGCTTCTGCATCATCCGTGGTCTCGTCATCGTCATCAGAAGTTGTCGCATCGGTCGTGGCTTCATCGCTTGAGGTGACGGCATCCGTGGTGGTTTCTCCATCGTCAGTTGTATCAGACGTAGCCTCAGTTGTCGCCTCATCTTCATCTGTCGTAGCATCGGTTTTCACATCATCCTCATCAGTCATAGCATCCGTAGTAACATCCTCTTCATCATCTGTGGTCGCATCAGTCGTAGCTTCATCCTCATCTGTTGTCGCATCGGTGGTAGCTTCATCTTCATCAGTTGTAGCGTCCGTAGTAGCCTCATCTTCATCTGTAGTCCCATCCGTCGTACCCTCATCTCCCTCCGGAGCCTCAGTAGTCCCGTCTTCAGATGCAGACCTCGGGCTCCTGCGACGATCCGTAGGCAGCGGCTCCTCAGTTGAGCTTGTTGAAAAATGCCGTGTCTCGAACGATCCAGACCCCGAGTTCGATTCTTCAGTCGACCAAGATTGGCGCTCGCGGTGGTGGTGGAGGTTCACATCGGGTTGACGTGGTGATTCTGACTTTGAAATGTTCGCCGCCTCGACGATATGTGCAACTTCAACGGTTTGGTTGATCTGAAGGTGAGGCTGGGCAAGGCCATCGAGGATCGGGAACATGTACGCCGGGCGTCCGGGTAGCTCGGGAACTAAAAGCAACGTTTCTGAAGGGTACGGTATGTCCTTTAATATTTATAAGGTTATCCGCCTCCTTTCTCTCATAATGATAAAGAGTTAGCGAGCGCGAGAGAGGGAGAGCGAGAGAGAGAGAGAGAGAGAGAGAGAGAGAGAGAGAGACAGGGGAGTGAGGGAAATTGAGAAAGCGAGATAATCGAGGAGAGCTACACAGAGAAAGAAAGAAAGAAAGAATCAAAGAAAGAGAGAGAGGGAGAGAGAAGGAGAGAGTGAGAGTGAGGGGGCCGCTTACCGTATTCCCCCTTGAAAAAACCCTCTTACTCTAAATCCGGTATTCAAGAAACTAACCTTTTTCTGGTTCCGCAACCGGAGGCTCCGGGGTAACCGGAAGCGCCAACACCGAGCAGGTGCCTAAAATTTAGCATAAAATACATATAATGGTTAAATAATATCGTTTTAATAAAACCTAGCTCCAACGCTTACCAAAAAGGGCCGACACGATGAGGGCGCTGGTAAATGGGCCCCTCATTTTCTGAAAATCCAAGGATTTTTAAGTATAACCAGTAAAGTTAAATGATGAAAATTAACAGTAGGATGGAAGCGGAATCCAAATTGACAGATTCGTAAGCACACAGCCCATTTAAAGAAATTTACCCGCCACAATACGAATCCGGAATTTGGCCGGCGCCACAACATCCATCAGCCATGATTCGTGGATTGTCATCCACGTCTCCTAATAGGATTGTCATCAACCGACGTTTTCGGCAAGAATATTGTTTTTAATGAATTGATGAGCATTAAAACAAGAAAAAAATGTGTGGCTTGTAGCTTTGTGCACGTCTCTCCGATTTCGAAATTGTGGAATTTTTGCCCGATTCTCATCATTTTTCATGCAAAAAGCCACGCTTTTTGTCAAAAACGCAGTTTAACTCTTATACCTGACGTGGTTTACGTTAGCTAGAAAATGTATACAATTTATTGAGCAATATAAGCAAATACCCGTGATTTTAAAAAATATGATTTTATTGGCTTCATCCAAAGCATTCTGTCGATTCGTCCGGGTACTTGAAGGCCATATTCAGCGTCCCTGCGTCGAACCAACGCTCCACTTGTGAAGTTCGCGTCACGTAGGTGCTCGGCACTTCCAAGTCGACTTTACGGCGGCAGAGCTAAAAATTCGGTACCATTGGATTTATCCTTAAAAATTATCATTATAGCGCTTAACAAGCAATATCTAAAGGCCACTATCAAGTTTTCAGGCTCTGATTGACTAGAAAAAGCTTCCCTATATAAGCTTACCGAAAACCGCTTCTTTTTCTTGACAACCTGAATCAATAAAAAGCTGTAATATTTCTGTTATTATGATTATCGGCATTTTTTTTCTCCAAAAGCTTACCCCATATTTGTTCTCGCAGTTGTGATAGATTTTCAAATGGACGTCCATTTTTAAGAGCGAGCTGGTGCCTCCAGAAACGTTAAAGAAACCGTTGGGTTGCGTCGTCGCTACCGCCAGTTCCACGTCGCGACCTGGATTACAAAATTACATTGACAGAATATAAAAATCAATCAGCCATTAAGTCGGAACTGACCTAATAACTTTTTGTCCCACAATTTAATCTCGGCGCCTTGGTAATACCTCCCATCACACATGATTCGCCCGTAGACACCAATCGACTGTTGTCGGAATGCTGTGCTGGCCGTAGAAAATAGTAGGCATAGTAGTAATAATACCAATGGTTTCATTATAGCTAAAAAGCAAGGGTTATGAAGATGAGAATTTTAGTTTTTTTGCGGTATCTGTGAAGAAATTAAAAATGCCGTGACGCGTTACAAAAGGTTTAGGCTTGGGTAAGGCTTAGGCTTAGGCTCAGGCACAGATTTAAGCTTAGGTTGTTAGGTTGCTGGTTGTTAGGCTTCGGCTGATGATTAGGCTTACGCTTTGTCTTATTAGGCTAGGTTGAGCTTAGAAATTATGAAAACAAAAGCCTAAAACCCGAAAAATCAATTTCTTATTGTCGAGAAAAATAGGTGAGGAGTAGCCGCCCGCGTGAACCGCGTATATTCAAAGCGCAAACACAACGAAATGCGACGGCCCCGCGCTGTATCGTTTGTTTGGTGACCGAGCGCCCCAATAGAGGTCCGCTAGGGGACAAATAAACTTTGGTTTTTTGAAAATTGGCGGATTTGAAAGTTCAAGTAGTGACTGGGATGACTGATAGACTGACGACAGGGCTTTCTCACAGGTTGGAAAGAAAGTAATGGCACAAAATTAAACCGCTGTAAAATCCCGCAGGAACGTCCGATTTGAAAGATTGATATATGGTTTGGTAGATCTTCGGATCTTCTATCACAAGACGACCTTCAAAGCACCCAAGAACTGACGTACGCGAAGATACAGGCGTCAGAAGTTTCGCAGAAAATTGAGTGAAAGCTTTTAAGCTAGATATCTCTGCATACAATCATTTGCATACGATACCTTCTACACCAATCGATAGCTCTCGAGGAGTAGATATCGATAGATGTTGAGATCATCAAAATCGTACACTGCCGGGCCGAGAAAAATCGTTTTATCGAAATGGCAATACAATAGCAGAAGTCGCACCAATTAAACCAGAATTACGCTTTTAGCTTTTTATTTATTTTTATTTCGTTCTCCCAGTTTTTTCGTTGCTAAATTTTGAATATTGTGAAAGCCCGAATTCGTACGGAAGGCCAAAAATTTTGTAGATTTTCGACGTATTTGACGTTTTTGAAAAAAAATAACTACCGGAAATGGCAGCAAATTAACTATTAACCTAACAGAAGGAAAAGCACGCTGATCGCAAAAATTTGAGGTACCGAATATGCTCCCTGATCGATCGCATTTTTTGCTGAATCGCCAATGAGTCAGCCGCGTGAGAGCGCGGAGGGAAAATGCGCATGACGGTTCCGCATGGCTTTTGTGCCCTTTCAAAAGGGCTGCAAATGACGATAATCGCTTGTTTTTGATGGTTGCCATGCAACACGGAATGTACGTTACGAAATTGTAAAAAAGCATTTAATCACCATGGTGAAATGCCTGAATGAAACATTGCTAGGAATTTTATGATAAGGACTTCCAGCCAAGATTCCGACAGGCAAAAATCCCGACAGCCAAAATTACGTTTTTTTATCAAAATCACGTTATAATTCAAATTCCATTGCTTTTTCAGCAGCTATTGGGCATGCGGCGTTTTTGGCTGTCGGGATTTTAGCCGTCGGTATTCTGACTGCCGGCATTATGCCTATCCGGCTTATCGCTGTCGTGATTTTGGCGTTTTTCCGCTTGAAAACTAATGGCAATCATGGCGAATTGGTTTGACACATCGATTCCTGCGACTTTATTCATATCAACCCGAACCTTCCATAAAATACAGTACTGATTAAGCATTGAATTGTTTTCAAATAGGCACGATTGTATTCGTGGAAACCATCCAGGGCCACGGTCCATGCGTAGTTGCATTGAATTCCATTAACGCAGTGGCGTTTCCGGCGAAGTAGTTCTCTTCCCCGGATGCACCGGTGCTTTTGCCGTGTAGGCATAACCAGATGATGATGCCGATAATCGCAAGGTTGACCGGGATCCCGGCCGCCATTAATATCCAGCCTTTTACGGACTTCCGGTCTTTGCGGAGTTCTCGAATGCCGAAAAACCAGCAGGAGAATACTGAAAAATGGAAATCATGGATTGCGTCGTTGCGCGGTAAAATCTAGGTCTTCCACGTTCCTCTAATACGGGTTTAAAAACTGAAAAACTTACAGCAAGCCAGTAAGGCAACGATGACGAGGCAGAAAATACAGCCCTCCCCATCGCATCCGCTACAATCGCAATTGCAATCACAACCTGAGCCGCAATTCGAGCAGCTGCTTGAGCCAGCTTAAATTATTCATAGTTAATTTATCAAATAAAATTTTGAACTGTTCATATTCCAAAAAATTTTTTATCTTCTTTTCTAGTAATTTTTCTAGAATTCTTTTTCACGTTTTAGAAACTCAAACTCACTCGCTTCTTTTCGAGCTTCCTCCATCGCCATAGGTGTAGGTTGAACGGTGTTCATTTTCAGGAATAACAATAGAAAATTTAGCACCAATCAAACTATATAATTTCAGGGATCAATGAGACTCCAAGGAAACAGTCAGGTTCCCAAAACCGCCCTCCGTTCAAGGCCACGCGTCCTTCCAAGAAAATCTCGGAATGTGAGATCAAATAGGGTCTAGAAAGTAGTGATTGTCGTTGCCTAGCGCAAAATCTGTAATTTGGACGCGAGGTAAGGCTTTTGGTCGAGACCGGGGCCCGGCTGATCGAAACCGATAAAATGACTCATTCAGTCTAGCAAAAGGAAGAGCAGACGAGGAAAAGGAAATTCTCTGGGTTGACGCATCTGTTGGTGGAGATAAGGTGTCTTCGGATTTATTGGGCGTAATTTTACAATTTAGTCTCCTATTTTAATTTCGTAAATATGTTCAGCAAGGGTTTTACTAAAATTCACGAATAATGAATTTTAATGGCTTGAAATCGTTAAATCTCGCGTGCAATTTCCGCTCGTAAGATATTGATTTATTGGCAGCATAAGCTTTATGTCTTTACGTTCAGCTTTATGTCTCGCTGAAACCTGACCCGAGGCTTCAGAACTAAGGCAGAACAACTTTATAATTGAATTGCGGATCGTCCAAGCGATTAAAATTGACTGAAAAAGGTTAGCACAAAAAATAACGGCACGTTTGCGAAATGGTCTACCTATGGAGGCCATGAAAAATTTGAATGCGGAGCGCGAATCGATCAAATACGGCAGACGACCGTCGCATTAATAATAGCCTACCACGGGATTTCAATCTAGACACAATTAATTACTACAAGTTAATGCTAAACATGCACTCTGTAGCGTATTCGTATGCATATTCGTATGCCCGCAATGCTTCCAAGAATGGTACGAAAATACCCTGCAAATGCCTGTATTTTTGGTGTGCTTTCAGGTCAATTTTTAGAGCTGAGTTTGTAAATTTTTTTTCACCCAGATCAATACACCTTTCATTTGCCTGGGGTTCGATATCCAGTAGGCCCAGAAGCGTTGGAGCCTAGGTAACCGGACAGCAATGTATCGTTCCGGAACAGGGTGGTGGTTTCCGCAGGATAACTCTGCTGGAGGGCCTGACTCGCAGCATCCGGGTCAGCCGCATGCCTCGCCGAGACCCACATCCAAATCAGCCAGCCCAACGCTACGTTGACCGGGATTCCAAGGCATATAAGAAGCCAGCCCTCGCCAGATTTTGGATTCTTTCGGAGCTCCTTGACGCCGAGAAAGCAGCAGAGGCACACTGGAAAAAATGACAGATATTTTGTAAACCTTGAAAATGGTAGTTTCATCTAGATGAGATTTTAAAAATCAATTAAACTAGTAAGACTCACAAGTGGCGGTGAAGCAAGTTAAAACCGTCGCCACGACACCTCCAACCAAAATCCCGGCCCCAGCTTCAGGACCCATGTTGCCGATGGCTGATGCGGTGGCCGATCTTGCTGTAAAAAGTCTGTAGGCTGTACAAAAAAAAGTGTAAGACTTTGAAAAGTCTTTCCAGAGATTTGAGTGTTTTTGCGTATGCTAACCAAATAAATGAAAACGGCCAGTTCAAGTTTGGTGTTCTGGTTATATTGAGATGTAACACATCCACACGAGCAAATAAAATTAAGATTAGGGGTAGCAAAACAGTGCCTTCCGGCATATCCTCTGACTACTTACTCGGATGTTTTCTCCCTTCTTCGATGCTCATCTGCGATGGCTGGACGCTCATTTTTCAGAGTAATAAAATTCGTTCAAAATGTTTTTGATATAGCCTTGAAATCAATGAAACTCCAGTGGAACACTGGGGATGGCTCGGTGACACGCGGGCCGTTCAAGGACACCCCAGCAGATCAAAAAAAGGGTCCCCGGAAAAGAGCGGCCAAGTAATACAAAACCCACCAAGCAGCAAAACATCACTATAAACACTGGAAGGGATTGATCGTGGGATTCGGGGATAGACAGAAAATTGCGTTTAGGCGAAAAGCGTATCCCACTGTAAACAAAAAAAAAAATTAAAATTCAATAAATTTAGATTTTGTGTTGAAACTGCGAATTTGATGGGCATTGATAATCCTACTATCCTACTATATATAAAAAATAGTGTCTGTCTGTGTCTGTGCCACTTTGCATGCAACTTCCGTCATTCTGTCCCGAGGATATCTCATGAGTGGAAGGGTATTAGGCTACGTACGATACGTTATTAGGTGCGTAATGGCCCTGAAATGACTGCACGCAGATCAGATTTATCAAAATGGCCTATTTTTGACATTAAAATTCGTTTTTGTTGGAAAATCGGCGATCCTCTTTGTTAGGAAAAAATTAGCATGCGCCGGAAGTTCCGGTCGCCTATATAATGGGCTAGCGAGCGCGGTTTTCATTTTTGTCATCGGAAATCCAAGAATTATGCAAAGTGAGGTATATCAGGCGATCAGACAGGGCCAGGGTTAAAAAGCCGCGTAGCGGCTTTTCAACACTGGTAAATATTACAGCTAAATTCGGCCATAAAACATTACATATTCTTCAAGATACCGAAAATTGCTTCAACTGCCTTTCCCGATTAGAAGTAATACAAACTCTATTTAAATTAGCTGAACCGTTGTGTTTCTGTCGCCCTTTTGTTTTGCATCATTACATTGTTTTATTACGAAAGAATTTAGATTCTAGCTTACAAAATATTTTTTCTTTTTTCTCTTAAAAAACTAGCCCAGAACCCATCACCAGACGTTATCCTTGGCTGCGCCCTAAAGCCCGACCTATAGCTCGTTCCGTTTTGGGCTAGACACTAGACCTACCGAGTCGTGATATTCTCTTTTCTCTGCCCGGTGCTAAAAAATTGGAAAATTTCTTTTTTTTTCACGATTAAAACATTCACAGAAAATTCCCAAAAGCTCAGATGACGTTCCGGTGCTCGATCTGCCGGCGTTCGAAGAAAAAGGGGGTCCCCTACATCCAGCTGACGATGGAAACGGCGCGATACGAGCGGATCATCGCCGCGCTGAAGGCTCGCGGGCTGCCAATACCGAGGCTACCGGAAAAGGGATGGGCCAAAATTTGCCGCGAACACCTGCCCGAGTACCTGGATAATATAAAAGTTTGTTTCCTAGGTATTTTCGTGTCGTTTTTAAATAGTTTCTGCTGTTTTGTGCCATTTTTTTGGGGTTCGCTGTGGGGGTGTTTCCGGGCGCCGAGGGCTGTTCCCTATTCCGCACCCAAAATACCGCGATCCGGCGGCACCCGGGCACCGAACATCTGTGTAAAGGGTAGGCCTCGGAGCCGTACCGCGCGCAAAATATTTGAAATTGTAACTTTCAAGAGAGTTTTCTTTTCAAAATCTTTGAAACTTCTAAAAATACCTTTGCAAATTCAATCGACCTATTAGGAGACAGTAACCTAACGGAGTTTGTACAAATTTCAGGTGACTTACTGTAGAAGTTCTAAAAATAGAATAAGATCGCTCTAAAGGATCATAAAAATATCTGTGTTTTTCAAAGAACCTTATTTTCGGACTGCCGTTGTATGAACATACCCTTTCCAGGCAATGACCTCATCCGTCTCCCCGCCTTCCGGTGAAAAAATTGCGGTGCCGATAAAGAAGTAGGACTTTGATTGAATATAATGGTATATTTATCTTGTTTAGAAAATCTCGAGATGAGCTCCTCTGTGAGCTATTCGACTCTTTACCACCGAGAGGCCGACTTGCGCTTGTCCAGATGCTCGTCCGGCTCCGGGAACCGCTACCGGCCCGGCTTCGAAAAGAGAAGATTTTGGTAAATACCTAATTTAACGAAAAAAACTAATTCTCTTAGGTCAGCAGAAATGCACCGGCCTGTGATCCCGTTGTGTTGACGCTTGACATGCTGATGCAGCCGGAAAATATTGCTAAAGGTGGCTTTTAAGAAATTTTTTGAAAACAACATTTTGGCATTAATTAAATTCTTACCTTAACAAATTCCATTTTCAGCCAAACAATTCTCCGGTACGCTCGTCAGCTCCCCTGAAGATGTTTTGCGGCCAGTAAAAGCAAAACCGCCTCCGGAACCTGTGATAGCCCCGCTGTCGCCGAAGGATGAACCCCCGCCACCCGTACTTCAGCCTCAAGCCCGATTGAAACGGAAACACTCGCCTGAGCGTAAGTTGAGAGTTCATGGACGTCGTTATACCATTTTTTAGCTGCCCCTAGCCCTTCAAATGGCCCACTGAAAACCAGCGGGTTCACTTTTCGAAAGATGACGGCCGCCACGTTAGCGTATGTTTTACTAATTTTTCAAAACTTTGGTATGTTGTAGTTCTACGCCAAGCGGCGGTTTCGGCTCCCCATCCATTCCACGGCTCAACATTCCGCGCATTAGCGATACGCAAAATGTGCCGGTGCACTTGACGAAGAAGGGTGGATTGAGGCCCGATCATGGGGACGTCAAGGTATGCTCTTTTACCTTTAACGAATATATATTTTTAAGCCAAATCTATCCGCGCTGATGAAAGGCACGACAACGTCACCCGGGACTGTCAAAATACCTAATGCAAGTTTTCTGCTTCTTCTGAAAGTTTCATGGATATAATCTGGCCCAAAAGCTGAGATAAAACTTTTCTTACAGTTGATTCGCTCCCAAATGTGCTGCCAGAAACGCGCGTGTCTGATCGGCGCCGAGAAATGTGCTGTGAAGCGGCAACGTGAACACGAGATCGATTCGAAGCTGGTTCCCTCGGCAGCGGCTGATGAAGCGTTGGCACTATGGGGAAAGATCAGGTTGGTTTTTGCAAAGTTTTCTATATCAGCATTTTTACGATTTGATATAATTTTGTATTTTAGAGACGAGTACCCGGATGATGGCGACGAGCAGGTGGACAACAGGCGGTTGGTATTACAACGTAAAATCGCCAATTTGACTTAATTTAAGCGCTGATCTCTAGAAATTTGTCTTGCGATTTCACCTTGTTTTTAATAACATATCCCAGCCTAAGTAAAGCTTTGTAAAAGTAAAATCGTTGTAAAAGCTCCGTCTTTTCAGCCCAGACTCCCTGTTGCACCTGATGAACATCGTCAACAAGCGCAAAAACATGATGAAGGCAAATATGGGCTACGGCAGACCGTCGACAACGCATTATAATGGCAGCAATCGAGCGACTACTGCTAGCCAAATGGTCGTCAGAAAACAGCCCTCGATGAACCACGTCTCGCCTCGACTTTTCGACCCTCAACCTGGGCCATCTGGGCACGACGGCGTTTTGGACCCGAGCGCGGCTATGGCGATTGCCGAGAGCGGACGATGCGAGGGGTGCCATTTGGTGAGTAGTTTTCATTGAATTTAATGGGTTTATTAGGTTTAGGAAATATATTATCGTTTAATTGCATTCGTTTAGACGCTTCCATCCGACATTTTTGTGATGCATCTGACGCTTCTGGAGCAGGGGCTCGAGTGTCCCGAGGTGCGCAAAAATGATGCCGAAGTCAACTGCCCGTTTCCAAAGGTGACTTTTGTTTTCTGAACTGTAAATTATCGAGTTTCGTAACTTTTGTTTGAAATTTTGTGAAAAATAACTTTATTTGGTTTTCTTTAGAGAAATTATTTAATTTCATAAGTTTTGATCAATTTCAGTGCCCTGCGAAAGGATTCGCTTCGATGGAAAACTACTGCACGCATCTGAAGGTGAACCACCAACGAATGACGGCGGTGGACGAAGAGGTGTACGGAGATGAAGCGGAATGCCAGGTAGCAAAAATTTTGTATATTGCTCGGATCTAATAAATATGTTTTTATCATTAAATTTCGATTTTTAGGATGCGATCGACGCACTGCGCAGTGTCGGCGATTTCGACTCGGATGCCGGAATCGGGGATTCGATAGCGTATCGATGTCGGTACACTCATGATGCTGACGATAGTGGTGGGCTTCTATTAACCAGTTTTTTATTGATTGAAAACGTGTATAAAAATTAAACATTGAGTTCTCCAAGTCTATAATTATTTTTAGATCACGAATTCGACGACTGCGAGGTGGAGCACCCAAAGGTGCGCATCGCCTGCTCGGCCTTCTACCTCAGCCAGGTCAAGTATGACGAACATGATCAGTAAGTTTAAATGGAAATTAAAGTATTCATTAATAAATGTATATTATTTGCCCTTTTTTTAGTAGTATTCTTTAACCTTTTTAGCCCGAACTACCACCTACGATACTGCGGCAACCATATCCATGGAAAGATGCGTGTCATTCGGCCGTTGCGGCAGAGAATTCGGCAGCTGGCCCGCTTCATGCCGATCCCCGTTATACAGAAAATCGTTTCAGGTAGTTTAATTCTGTAAAGATTTAAAATAGATTGTTTTCTAGCCGAAGCGCCAGACTACGCGGGCACCGGCGGGCTACTGGACAAGATCCGAAATCTCTCGCCTCCGGAAATTGCGATGATTATTCAAAGTGGATATGTACGTTTTGCAACGCTTTTCGTAAGATCCCCATTTTTTAGTGCTCCGCGCCCGATTTCGACCCCAACGGCTATCGGCTCCCGAAGCTCGGCCTTTTCGAGGCGCTGCTTCTGCCCGAGGGTTTCTCGCCGCAAACCGTTCGCGAGGAGTGCGACGCGTGGTCGCGCTCGAAAAACGTGAAGATTCTACCGATATGCCCGGCCGAGCGAAAGCGCGAGGCGCAGAAAGCACAAGCACAACGTTGGTCAATTTTTGGAATTTTGAACCCTGTATTGCTTAAAAATTGGGTGAATTTATCTATCTATTTTTAGCCTCTGATGAAGCCACCCCACGCCAAGTGCATCCCGTCCTTCGCGGCGAATCATCACGGCAAGAGGAGAAGGCGAAGAAGGCGCTGAATTGCATACGGATAATGGCCAAGAATATGTCGGTAAGTAAATTTTTCCGCTTCGATATAGGAAGGATTAGTTTTTTGCAATAATGTGATAGTTTTAAGGATTATAAAAATTAATTTGCTTCCAGGAAAGCATGCTGCTCGAGATGCCCGACGATGAGATGATCACGTTTGCAAAAACGATCGAAGTCTGCTACGCGATCACGAAATCGGTGGAAGGCGGGCCGCAGAAGAAGCCTTTGTAAGTTTTTTTCTGGTGCTTGGGCATTATCGGGGGATCACCTCTTTGCTTAGTTTATAGTATAATTAGAGCAAGCGTTTCTAAGCCGTTTTTTCTTGATAAAAAAATGCAATAGTCTCGAATTTTCGTCTGACATCGGATTTTCGACCAATTTGAAAATTTTCTAAGCTTTTAGCCAGTTTTCCACTTGGGGTTTTCCCACTTTTTCAGCCAAATTTTGCTAAAAATATTATCGAGAATTTTACTATTCACTTACTAGGCATATCTAGACTTATAGGAAAAATTAGGTACCCCCGATAATGCAACAGAACATTTTTCACTTTTTTTCAAAATATCTGCCTTTGGCAAGGTATACTACTTTCTTATTTTTCAGAGACAAGCGCCGCAGCGTGCCGTGCGTCGACGTGAACATGCTGGCAGAGCCGTTCTCCGATTTTGAGGACGACAATGAGATGCAACCCGGGCCCTCCTCCGGGTTTCCCGATTATGATTAGCGATCTCGTGGCCTGTGCTTGTCAAATAACCCCCTAATTGTCAGTTGTTAGAGGCGTTGAATTAACATTGTTGCAGTTGGTGCACTTTCCACCCCCCCGTCACTTTTTATTACGAACCACCGGTACCAATAAATTTCTAAATAAAGAAAAAAGTACACGTTCTACGTTTTTCATTAAAAGACGGATCATCAGTATAGCAACATCTGCGTACAAATTAACGCCCTAAAGTTGGACCACGCACCTCTTTTCCAAATCCTCTGGCCAGGAATTAATTAGTCTCTCTCTCTCTCTCTCTCTCTCTCTCTCTCTCTCTCTCTCGCGGAAAGTCTCGGAAAAGCCGTGCTCTCTGCCGGGCCTCCCGTCGAAGAGCAGATTTCTCACTTGCCTCCCTGTTCGTGGTTGTCTATAGGCGTGTCCCGTACTCTCTATTTTCTCGATCTCTCTCCTCCAATTCGTGTCAAACCCTTCGTTTACACGCTCTCTGTTCGATTGTTTTGAAAATACAGGGGGTCCCAAAAAAAGTCCCCCCTTAGCCGGCCGCAGACGTGCCTGATTTTTACGATTTAGGTATCTATCGAAAGCTCTCGGAAAGGCGAGTCTCGCACGCTTCTTCGATTCTCAAAATATTCAAATTTTTTTTGTCCTTTGTTAATGTTTTTGCAAAACGGGCTGATTTTCTGATGTTTTTCTGAACAAAGGGTTTTTACCAAAAATCGCAATTTAAGAATTTTTACACCTTCTTTCCGAGAATTTTACACCTTAGAATTTTTCCGAGAGCTTTCGATAGAGAACTAAATCGTACAACTCGGACGGATTTCTTGGGAAACCCTGTATTTTATTTTAAGTTGCTCGAGAGGTCAGGTTGGATGAAAAAATTACTTCGTATCCTGTAGCCGAGCTCCTTCGAATATCCCTAATTACCATTTTATCCTAATCTCTCTCCCTCTCCCCCTCTCTCTCTCGCTCCCTCTTCGTCACTCGTTTCTCTGTCCGTGCCCGTCTCAGTCCGTTTTCTCACATATTCATTTGTCCACTATAACCAACAAGTTACAGATGACGATCAATTTCTGCGATCTCCCGGTTATAATCCAACACAACATCCTGCGACACATGGATATCAGGACCTTTTTCAAAACCGCCCATACGAGTAAGAAGGTACTAGAGATCGCCAAGGCGTGCCGGGACAAGTATTGGGATCTGGAATTGCGCCATGACGGGGACGGTCTGCGCCTTATTCCGGGACGGAGCAGAAAATTGATCCGGAAGGAAGAAACCTGGAAGCTGCTTTTTCACAACTCTGTCGTCGAAACGTTCGAGACCGTTACTGCTTTACCCGAAGAAATCGACATTCGCTGCCGCACCGCCAGGTTTTATTGTCACCCCGAAGAGGACGAGCTTCCGATGGCCAAGCGTCACAAGCCTGCCGGGAAATATCAGTCGCTCGAGTTGTCGATCATCCCAGCGGATCCCGAGTTTCTGGAGTGGCTGAACCAGTCGGTGGAAGAGGAATTCTACACGACGCTCGAGGCCTCGTTCCCGGATTATATCGCCTTGAAGATGCGCACCATGGAAATGGAGGTGGGAGTTTTGCCAAGAGAGCACTTACAAGACCTTTTTTTTTGCTGATCCCCCCTATTTTTTGGAAAAACTGCTAAAAGTTGAAATTATTACAGAGCCTCTGCCATAGAGAAATTGGGGGCTTTTGCATTAACGGGGGGGGGGGGAGAATGAGCGTTTTCTAAGGATTTTTTTAATATGAATCACGGATGTATTTCTAAACTATTCGTGGTTTTCTTAAAGGTACACTAAAGCCTCGTTGGTTTGGTTACCGGCCGGTAACCGTCCGCGGAATAGCAAACAGGGTTACGGTAGGTGCTCGCCGCGGAGCAAAACCGAACCCGCGCCACTCGCCTAGGGCGAGCGCTTTAGACCACTAGGCCATCGGACAGACGGGAGAGGGGAGAGGAAAGGGGGATAAGAAGGATCCGGGCGTTGCGCGGCAGAGGGCCGGGATTTCCGACCGCGAACTGACTTTTTGCACGAGATTTTAGTGTACCTTTAAGCGTCAAATGTCTAGAATTTTGATGAAAAATCAAAACATATCAATTGTTCGACCAAAAATGGCCGATTTTCCACGAAAGTTTCACCGCAACCTTTTTTTACCGAAACACCAGGCTTTTTTTAACCTTTTTTTCCAATTTTGACTAAAAACATTCTTACAAAAGAGACTTTTACGTTATTAGGCTTTCTTTACTTATAGAAAAATGATCGACAAAAACACTAGGCGTAGAAAACATCTTAACAAATCGAAAGCATTCTTGAGCCATCCTTTTACAGATGCTAATCGAAAACGTCGATTCCCGGATCGGAACCTACGCAGAAATGGTGGTGCAGGAATGGCTCCGTGGCGAGCGCCAGATCCATTCGGTCGAAGCAAGACGATGTCTTCGCCAAGCTGACCTTGACCGTCCGCCATATTTTGGCCAGTACCCTAATATGTCTGCGAATCATTCCATCTATTATCGTATCTTACGTGCCGATGGTGCGCGGCTGATTGTCAGAATTAATCGTGGAATGTTTTATGTGGCCATCAGTGACTTGGAGCATGTCCCATATGTCGATGATGCCGTACTCAAAGCGGATATTCATCGATTCGCGAATGAAACTGCTTGAATAACCGGCTTGTTGAGTTGACAAAAAAACAATATTGCGTAATGTATTAGGACAAAGACACAGTTGACCAAGAAATGAGATGGGCTAGCGAGGAAGAGAGAGAGAGAGAGAGAGAGAGAGAGAGAGAAAGCTTGAAAAAGAGAGAGAAAGGGAGGGGGAGAGAGACGGAATGGGAATTGCACAACTTTGCCTAAGGGCAAACAGAGCAATGCTGAGGCCGATTCAAATTGCACCTAGTTTCCCGCGTGATCTCATCCCAATTCCAACCGGATGGCCAAGCTGGGGTGCGCACCAAAGTTCCTTAAAACTATGAATTATTTTGTTTCGAAGTTATGTTTCTAGATTATTTTCGCCCTCTCTCTCTATCTCGCTCGATCTCGCTCTCAGTCTCTTTCATATTTCATTTTCCACCAGCGCCAACCAATTACAGATGACGCTCAATTTCTGCGCACTTCCCGTCGAGGTTCAACACAATATCCTGAGATACATGGACATTGCGAGTTTCTTCAAGACAGCAAATGTTAGTCCGCAGATGCTGGAAATTGCCAAAGAATGCCGCAACAAATACTGGGATGTGGAACTCGCCTTGGAGCCAAAAGGTTTGAGAATTAAACTGGCGCGCAGAAGGCCAAGTGCTTACATCACGGACAAGGACACTTGGATGCTGCTTTTTGATCACGCTGTCGTCGAAACGTTCGAAACCACGATCGATCTGCCCGAGGACATTGACCTTCGTTGCTACAATGCGAGGTTTCGTTTTTACGAAGATGACGACGAGCTGACAAATGCCCAGTGGCACCAGCCGGATGGCAAGTTTGATTCGCTCATCCTGCGGATGGTGCCCTCGAATCCGGAGGCGCTGGAGTGGCTGAACGACTCGGTGGATGAGGAATTAAGTGGTTACCTGGAAGCACCTTTTCCAGACTACATAGCATTGAAACTGCGCACCATGGAGTTGGAGGTGGGATTTTTAGCGCAATTCAGCCAAAGCATCCAGAGAGAGAGAGAGAGAGAGAGAGAGAGAGAGAGAGAGAGAGAGAGAGAGAGAGAGAGAGAGAGAGAGAGAGAGAGAGAGAGAGAGAGAGAGAGAGAGAGAGAGAGAGAGAGAGAGAGAGAGAGTTAGAGAGAGAGGGAGAGACTGAGAGAGGGAGAGACTGAGAGAGCTAGAGAGAGTGAGCGAGCTAGAGAGAGAGAGAGAACTAGAGAGAGAGAGCAAGTAAGACCAGGCTGACGTGGCAAGGCTATATATTCATTTCACTATTCGATTTTGCAAATTCAGTAGGCAGTTGTCAAAAAAAATAAAATTCGCTGAAAATTGGGCTTTCAATTACCTTAATAATGGACTTAATAACCAAACAAAAAAAAACGCTCGACCCAAATTAATCGATCGTTTTGCAGATACCATACCAGAATGTCGAGCCGCAAGTCGGACTATATGCTCAAATGGTGATCGAAGAATGGCTACGCGGCGAGCGCCAAATTCGTCGGATTCTAGCGGGGCGCTTCCGCTACCCCGTCGATGCCGAAATTCCGCCATTTTTTGACCAGTACCCGCGGATGTATATGGAAGAGTGCTCATCCACCTATTTTCGCATCGTGCGCCCCGATGGTGAGACACTGGTTGTCAGGATACCCGATGGGATGTGTTATGTGGCTCTCAGTGACGTTGCGAATATTCGATTCGATGATCGGGACGCGTTATTTAACGAGGATATCATTCAATTCGCCAGCGGTAACACCGATTATGACGATGTCACCGATGATGGTGAGGGTGACAGTGATGAGAGCGTTGACGATAGTGTTTCTGATGATGGTATTACTGATGATGCTGACCATGATGATGACGATGATATTGATGTTTATCATAATAAATGATTCTTACCTCATAAAAATTTGCATACCGCACATCCTTCTCAAAATCTTGTCACTTACTGTTGGTTTTGGATATGGGGGGGATATCTGAAGCCATCAGTAAGATTTAAGGGGGGTTTTCGCTATGGGGGTAGCTAAAACATCAGAAGGTATCTTTATTTTTGACTGCACTTTTGATGTATTGTTCACTAAATGTTGTGCTAGTAGCCTTTCTCACTTTTTCAAATCAATATTTATCATTTTTGTTTTTAATGAAAAGCCGTAGAATTCCAGTTGGCGTTCATCGCCGGCGGATCGTTGCTGCTGTCCGGAACATGGTAATACTCTTCCCAAATGACAAAAGCTAGGATCAGGCCGCCGATAGTCAGCGCGGCTATGCCACCCAGCGCCACGCAGCCCCAACCTTTCCGCGACTCCGAGTCCACCTTCAGCTCCTTGTAGCCCTGGTAGCAGCAGTAGTAGGCTGGAAATAGGTAATACAAATTAATAGGTTTTTTTAAGACGAAAATGGATTAATAAATAATTAGATTAATAGAAGATAGGCTTTAAATGGTTGAAAAAGTTTTTAGTCCTGATTTTCCACGCCCTAATTCAAAAGGAGTTTGAGATGATAATACATAATTTTGAAGCTATTTTAATAAAATTTTTGAGTGCCGCTTACCTGGCGCACAAACGATCGCCAAAAAGCAGGAAATGGCCAGGGATTGGCACGGGTTGTTATCGCTGTAGCATGGCGCGGGTACGCACGGCAAGCAGAGAAGGAACCTTGGGCCCTTGGCCTCCATTTCTGAATTTGGAAGCGTTTCTTGTGTCCGCGTGGACATTTTATAGCATGGATAGGATAAAAAGAATGGCGTTAAAGTTGTTTACACAAGTTATCGATGTATAAACGCTCATAATTTAGAACATTGTTGCCTTTTGATCGAAAATGGATTGAAAATGTCCAAAAAAGGTAAAACTTTTCGATTTTAAAAAATACTCAAACCATTTTTGTAAATTTCTAGCAATCAAAAACTAATAAAAATATTGTAAAATGCCCTATGGATCATATTAACAGGTCATGCGGAAATTTAGCGGCAGGAAACAAAAATTACCCCCTGCTCACAGTCCAGCACATTCAAAATTTGAACTTTTAGTTAATCAAACTTTAAACAAGGATGAACCAACCTCTCCTCACTTCTTCACGCACCATCTCTTTCTGCTCTTCAGTCAAATTCGGTTTCCCGGCTTCTACATCATCAGCCGCGTTCTTGTCGAACAATTCCAGTGCGTGATGATGCTCCATGGCGACGTCGACGACCGTATGACTTTTCGAGGGGTCGGCCATCTTTCCGGGTGTTCTTTTTGCGGGTGGAAAATCGGGTGAAGAAGAACTTTGGGCTTGGGGGGGGTGGCGAGGTGATGGGCAGATCCAGGAAGTGATTGCCCGTTTCCAATGGAATCAAAGGCCATCTCCTCCCTTTCCATACCCGTTCCAAAAATGGACGTGTTAGGCGGTTTTGGAGGTATTTTTGAGGCGAACTTTGAGGGTTTCACGCAACGTTTTGTCGATTATTAAGCTGTATCTGTAACGTAGACTATAAGGTGCCCGAAAAAAACCCTCTAACTCGAGGCAGAAGTATCGGATCTGAACGATAGCTCCACCTTTCGAAAGCCCTGGATACGGTGGATTTGCAGCAAGCTTCCTAGCCATGTTTTTATCTAAATGAGGCATTTTATAACAAATTTAACAACCTTAAGGACCGGTCTTGTCATATCATTAACGGCAACTGTCGGTCATTTCATATGGAAAAATTGAGATAAATCAGCTCGTATGCAACTCCAAAAAAATGTTACAAAATTACTTGCATACCAGGTTTAAATTAAAACATAGTCTTGAAGATTGTTGATGACTTGAAAAAACCTGTGCGATGTATTTATTCCGCAGTAAATTGCACTAGATATTTTTCTAAACGGGCGACGGATCATTTTTCAGCTTCTCCTCGGGCTCCTTCTCGTCCTGCTCCTCCTGCGCTTCCTTCTCCTCCTGCGCTAACTCCTCAGTCACGTCATTCCAGAGCAGTTTAAGTCCGCAGAGGATGCCTAAAATTATGGTGTTTGAGAGAGAGGGAGAGAGAGAGCGAGAGAGAGAGAGAAGAGAGAGAGAGAGAGGAGGAGAGAGAGAGAGGAGAGGGAGAGAGGGAGACCGAGAGAGTATTAAATATCGCAATTAAGTAACTAGAAAGTACAATAGTCCTAAAAACTTGAAACTCACAGGGCCAACAACACAAGACACAGCAGCAAAGTCGCAATAGCTGACCTAAGCTGCACCTCCTTTGACCGTCATTATCTGAAGAAGCGTCGTATTTTTGGCGTTTAAGAGAATTACGTGGTGTAACGCACTACGTTATACTCCCTCCTACGTATGTAATAAAAATATTTCAATACGATAAAAAATTAGAGACTGACCCGCCATCGTAGTGGAAAGTTCACAATTTTTTGGAGCTGGTTGGAAACCGCGGGCGAACGGACCGGGAAGCGATTTGTCGGCCCCGGTTGCCCCAATCAAGACCGTGATGCTCTGATCTATCCACCCCGTAAAGGCAGAAGCTCCGCCTCCAATTTTCTTATGTTTTTGGGCCTTATCTGGCATTAAGTGGTTATTAAGTAAACTGAGATTGTAGTAGCGTCTTTGGGCTGTCTACCAGAATTTCAAAAAAATCATTTTAAAGTCATAAATTCGAAATTTGTTCGAAAAATCGTTGATTCGACAATCCTTTCCGTCCGTTTTGGGATGGTTTTTGATTTGGTGTTTATTCGCGCTCAAAATTTTCGAAAGCGTTTGATTCCCGATGTGAAGGTTTTTCCATATAATGATTTTTAAGGAGATAATTCTTAAAATTAACTTATCACAGCCAAACTTTTAGAGTTTGAATGCCGAAGGTTATTTTTGCGGTCATAGAAGGTGCCGCACTAGTACGTTTTTAAAGTCATGCTTTTCGGAGCGATGCGCTTTTTTAGCTATCAGTTTCGACGTAATGATTTTTCAAACTATTCTCGCTTCGAAGGAAAGTATTTTTGTTATTCAATTTATTGTTATCATATTTATTGAATTGCAACATCGAAAATCTTGGTTTAAGCAGGCGATGCAGTATCCTCGGTGTCTCGGCGCAGTTTCGCTTCATGCCTTGCACCCAGCTCTTCCAAATAGCTCTCCACCCGCTCCGGAACCAAGTGGTGCATGATGTGCAAAAAACAGAAGCCTGAAAGCAATTTTTTTAGAATTCGGAGTACGGTACTTATAATTAAATTACTAATAACAACCCACAAGGACAAGAGAGTATCATGATACAGCCACACCCAAGCACCTTGAGGCCGTATAGAACGGAGTCCACAAAATTTTCTGTCCCAGGCGTATCTGGAAAAATTCTGGAATTTCAGGATGCCGACGGTAAGATATTTATATACCGGCGATTTAAGTTAAGTAAAGTTGAAATAAATCACTTCAAAAAAGGGTTTATAAATAAGTGAAAACGCTCACATTCGTCAGGGCTACCCTCCTCCATCCTTCGAAATGGGGCGCTCATTGTCGTTTCAAAGTCCTTGATGGCCCCGAAGAGGTTGTTGGCACTTTATAAGTGATAGAAATAACAGCTGAAAAAAATTGATTCTGCAATAAGTCTCTTGAAATGCCCGGGATATCAAAGTCAATACAGAAAAAGTTTTACAAGGTACTTTGTTTTACTTTGTTGTTAGAGATATTCAAGATTTTTGAGGCTCAATGGGCCTGCCGCAATGAGTAAGCAATCTCGATGTAAGTGTTCGAAATTCTGATTTGCGAAACGGTGGCTTTCGAAGAAGCGCTTTTCGGCATTTGTTGGACATTTTGAAGGCCGACCCAAACAGCCATTGTTCGAGCAGCTTGGCGAGAATTAAATAAAACTAAATATACCGTAAAAAATTAAAAAAAAACTGCATGAATTTCAGTCGCCATATGGACCTGGCGGGTGCCTGAGGAGGTGTGAGAGGGTTGAGGGATGGAGGATGAACAGGACTAGAAGAAGCCCATCGATTCCTAAAGAGCCGGACGGTCAGCTGGTCCGACGGTCATTCAAAACAACGAAAAAAATAACAAAAAAAATTGTGAATGTGCTTGCAATTTACTGTAATATCGATCCATTTATTGCCTGACCTTAGAAAATCGAGAAATTAATGGAATCGCTGATTTTGTTGGCATTATGCCGGCGAGTCCTCAGCGGGGCAGCAGCTCTGCTTTATGCCGATACCGCAGCAGGCAATTAAAAAAATTTACTATCTGGAAACATATTAAAAAAGAGAGTGGATAAAGTTAAATCCCCTTTGCCAAAAACCAACATGGACAGCAGATAATAAACGTGCAGCATATCAGCAGCTGGTTCATGATCTCCAAGCACATGCTACCCTCTAAAATCAATTTCTAAAGTTTAAAATTAATGTTTGGTTAAAAATGGATCTATTAAAAACTTACCGCTGGCCATCTCGAAGAACTTCTAGAATTGTGTTTGAGTGGTGGTGCCGAAGTCACCGCAAAACGGAACGAACGGACCAGGAAGAATCCCGGCTCCCCCGGCGATGCCAAGGTCAAAACGATCGTTCTTTTCCGCAAAAATTGCAAAGAAGGTCAGGGCGTGTGGAAGAGAAAAACCCGAACAAGAGAACAGCTAGTGAACATTTTTTGGGGGGCAAACGAGGCTAGGCGCTAGCCGTTGGCTGGCGGTCGAACGGGACCATTTTTACACCGAAATCGCCCTAGCAGGAACTACACGGGTTCCTCGTGAACCTTCGATCTTTATAAAAAAACGCATGGAGTATCGGAGACGGATTAATTTGTTAACCAGGAAGCTCTCAATTCGTCTTTTTGGCTGATGTCTTGAATATACTTAGAATATACGTATACTAATAGAGTACCATCTATCTCTCTCGCTCACTCTCTCTCTCTCTCTCTCTCTCTCTCTTCTCTCTCTCTCTTCTCTCTTACCGTTTTTTTACATGTCTTTACAGTTAAAAATCAAACTTCTTCAGCGACGCAGTTCCCCCGCTTGCATGTCAATTCATAACCAGTTATCGAAAGTGTAGAAGCAAGGACTTGGGCCTCCCCTGCCTAAAGTCTCCCCAGAGACCCCTCCATCCATGCCTCGATAGCTCAGTTGGGAGAGCGTTAGACTGAAGATCTAAAGGTCACCGGTTCGATCCCGGTTCGGGGCAGCCCCTCTTTTTGCTTTTTGCCAAAATCGTACAAAATTTTGCCTCGTTGAATACGCAGCTTATGCTAAAGTCAATTCACTTGATTTCAAGGTTATGCAGGCAATTGTCGATCATTTTCCAGGCTATCAAACAGGCGAATCCTGTTGCTCGGCCCTGTCGCTCTCCGCGCACAACCCCAGCAACATGCCTGTAAAATCGCATTAATTTTCACCAAATTCAAACCCACATGGCCAGCAGAAAACAGTGAAGATGCAAACTGGACAGACGTACAGGCATGTGCACGCCGATTCGCTGCACCACTTGTACCAAGATGCTGCAAAATTATCTGGTGTTGCTGGGTGGCTTTGACTCTAAAAATAAGCATCTTTCTGCAACAACTAGGCGGAACCTACTTTCTTCCGGCATCACGTTGCGGTACGGGTTGCCGGCTAGCTCGGAATCTGTTGGGAAACGGAACAGAAATGTGCTTCCTGGGGTGCCACAAGGTCAAGGCAGCGATTTTGGAACGGCAGAGATGGGAAGGACTTCCAGGGCCGCCGTGATTTACTAACAGGGGGCGTACATGACCCCGATATTTGGCGGGGGGGGGCAGCTCGAAAATTTTTGTTAAGTAAAGTTGATGCACTAATAAAAATGAGCGCCGCACGCAAAATTTTTTGGAAAAATAAGCTTCATAGAAGTAAAAACCGTAGTAAAAACAGTAAAAAACAACGCCGCAGGCAGTTTTGCATTGTTTAGGTACCTAACGCTTCTCTCCAGCTGCATGCTTGGTTGTATAGCTGATTTTTCGCAAATCGGGAAGTATCGTATGTTAATGTAATTTTAGGAAATGGGGACGTAAGATATGGTATGTGCGAATTATGTTGTCCAATTCCATGACCAGGCTTCCTTCTATTGTTCAAATCCTTTCATTTCTCCGCTTCTTGGTAAGTATTCGATAGCTTTAGCTCTCTCACTATCTCTCTATCTCCCTCTCTCTTTTTCTCTCTCTTTCTCTCGCTCTGGCTCGCTTTTGCTGCTTCTCCACATGTCTTTTCACCTAAAAATCGAAGCTGCAAAACCGCAGTACCCTGCAGTTCAATTCATAGTTCAATTATCGAAGGAGGCCGAGAGGGAAAGGACCCGCCGGCCCCCGCTGCCGGATAGCGCCCCCAGAGACCCCCTTTCTCCATGCCTCGATAGCTCAGTTGGGAGAGCGTTAGACTGAAGATCTAAAGGTCACCGGTTCGATCCCGGTTCGGGGCAGCTCTTCTTTTTGCTTTTTTGCCGATGCTCGCAAGGCTTTGCTTTTTGCTTTGCAATGAAGTTATTAAGTGTAGATTTATAATCTCCTCACTCAAATTGGTATCAAAATTAATAAAGCCTTTTTCTTGTGCATGTTTGGTTTTCAAATTTAGTTCCGCAACAAATTTTAATAAAATCCTTTATTAACCGGGAGTGAAAGCTGCATGTATGCATGGCTTGATGGGGGGTTGTACATTGCACATTCCGCTTAACATCAAGAGACACTGTGATACGCGTAACGTGGTGATGGACGGGCAATAAAGCAAAAAAAAGGCTTTACATGAAAATGGGGCGGGGGGTTGGGGGTGAAAGAGCGCGTGGAAAGTCTCGTAAAGTACACCGGGAACGCAGACGATTTGAAAGACAATAGACAAAGGCAGAAGATTTTAAAAAAAATGCATTAAATGGCTAGACGTGGTTCTAACGGGCGTATAGCTAATTAAATACAGTAAGAGACATGCGAAGTTAACTGAATTTGGTAGGGGGTGTAAAGCGGACAGAACCGTAGTACGAGTAATGTGCAGCAGAAGAAAAAAATGCTAGTCAAGAGTATGCTAACGGAATTTTGGGGTTTGTAAGGCTCAAATAGAGTTCACAGGCCCGAAATATACAAACCGGATATGGGGACACTGTACAGAGAATTGGCGATTTGCCAACGGTACGGTCAGAGACAAAAAAAGGTTTAAAGGGCCGAGGAGAGGCAGAAAATAGAGAATTCAATGCGTATTTGAAGCTTTTAGCTTGGCCTGCCCAGCAAGAAAGTATTATGGATTATTGGCTTTCGGGGTCTTTTAAAGGGGGGGTGAAAGGACTTAGAGGGGTGGTGACGGCTTGAAGACGTGCTCTACGCAGCGACGGCCATCAGCCCCTCGCGGACCATCGTCTCCAACTCGAACAGATGCGTGTCGTGGTGGTCGGGAAAGAGCAGGCGGTGGTGTTCGGCGAGTTTCAGGACGTATCTGGAATGGAGTGGGTAAAACTTGATACCTATCACGCTTTTCAATCTTTAGAAAAATCTATTAAGGCATTTTAACCGGCCTCCAAATAAAAAACAGCCCTTCCCAGCCCCACCCCAGCCCCCAACCAATCTTCGCTCTCCCCCGGAAATCGCGTCAATTGACCCGCAAAAACAAGCCAAAAGTACAGGGGAGTCGTTATTTAGTCCGGACTTCGGGGAACCCCTTTGCGCGCTCTCTCTCTCTCTCTCTCTCTCTCTCTCTCTGTCTCTCTCTCCCCGCTCTTTCTCACTTTCTCGGGTAAAGTGCAACCGCGTGTGGCGCCCCCGTTGAAAATATTGTTCCCTCTGGGTGGGGCCGGAGAGACAGAGAGAGAGAGGGAGAGAGAGACGCTAGGGCTTTTCCTAGAGTACTACATCCCCCCAACAAAAACATTAGGAAATCTTAGCCCTTGTCTTGTCGCGCCGAAAAGATATGCGATGAGGATCAACAAGTCGGTGGCCGGGCACGTTCTTTTGCGAAATTCGAGACTAGAGCGTACTACGGGAATTTTTTGGGCACGAACGGAGACTTCCGGAGCCTTGTAAAAAGGGCTAGGAGGCTCGTATTAGAGACAAGCTTTTGAAAGGATCATTTTTGGAGGGGTAGACTGGCACGATTCAGGAATTTCGACGAACCATCTATTTTTTCATTCTTTTTTTTGGTAATTATGTCTCAAGCTAAATTCTCCCAATTTTTCAACACCCACCCCCGCAACATTCGTATCGTTTGAGCCAAATATTGAGGCAGAGGTGGGAGGGCTGCTGCTAGCCATCGCGGGGGTCTGTCTAAAAGGTGCTCCCCGGTTGCATCAGCCGGCCGGCCGTTGGAGAAGACCCCTGTTTTTCTCAATGTCTCTTCCCTCTCTCGTGCTCTATCATTGGAAAGGTTCAGCTGGGCGGTGACTGGCCGGGAATGGGAGATTGCATGAGACGTCCTCTGGCCGGGTAGGGGAACACCCGGGCCGAGCGATCGAATATCTGATAGATGCGCTCAGAAATAGACCAAACAGGAGCGGGAATGGTATGCGGAACATGTGCACCGGGCGTGGGAGGTGGAACGGCGTGTTTTTGGGGATTTTAAAGGTATGGCGACAGCTTAGTCGACGCCTAAGCCTAAGTAAGACCTGACCCTTCCGTCCTTTTCATTAAAAAACTCACTCATGATTGGGTCCAGCCAGTCCGCGAGCCTTGGCAATTTCCATCGCCATTTTTGACACCTCATCCGGCCCGAGGTAGTACTCGTTGTCATCGCTAAAAAGTGGCCATTATACCGTAACCCTGGGCCAGCACTTACTAGGCAATGCAGGTGAGGGCCATCGTCTTCACGAGTCGCCCGTCAATTTCGACGACGCACGGGATCTCCTCGAAGCGGTACCCGTTTCCGACCTTTAAAAAAATTTCGGATTAAAGGGACATTGACGCCAAATTACCTCTCGTTCATAGAGATGGGCAAGGGCGGCGCGGATGGCGCGGCGGCCCCGGATGCGGAACAGCATTCCGGTGGCTTCAGAGGTAGAGTCCTGGACGAGGGTGGCGACACGGCCAGGCTAAAATTCTCGTGGTTTAGAGGCACATGAAAGCCAAAGTTCCTACGGATTTTCGTCCCAATGAGGCTCTTAAGGCTAATTTACATATAGGAACTATTTTTTCCTGCTTTCCGATTCATTCCGCCCTTCCACCCCCTCAGCCCATCCCTGGAAAAGCACGTGCCCCCGCATGCTAGCCCCCACTCAATGGCCATGCCTGCACATGACCAGACGTGCGTTTTTTGGGAGGGGTGCGCTCTATCTCTCTGTCTCTCTTTCTTCCTCTCTCTCACTCTCTCTCGCTCTCGCCAAAGCACCATGTTTGCCCAGATTTCCGGATATGGACAGTCAGTCAAGACCGGAAATGATTAGAACGCGATGAGTCATTAATCGTAGATCGGAAATCGTGTGGATTGGGAGCGAAATCATGCTTTTGTATATTTTTTTCCTGGATTTACCTTCCCTTGCCCTTGACAAGCAGCCTAGGTACATCCCAGAAATTCACGTGTCCAGCGCATGCTTTTGGGGAAAGCCCCCGGGGTAGACACAAGATCAATGCTTTGGCCGGGTGCCCGCCTAGAGCCCAAAAAGGACCCAGTCGGGGCCACAAAAACGCCTACTATACGAAAGCATGTGCATGGAATTACCACGGGATATCGTGATTAAGGGAAAAGAAACGAAAAATGTAAAAACATACCAAAGAATCATCGCCACGATGATACGTATTTCCTTGGTACATCCGGCGGGCGAAACCGATGGCACGGCCGCGTCTGAATTTAGGCAATAAGGTTTTAACTGGTGTAATGATAAGCCTAAGCACAAACCTAAGCCAAAACCTAAGCCAAGCCTAAGTCAAGTCAAGCCCTCACCTCTTCTCTTCATAGCTAAAACCCGGGTTCCAAATCAACGACCCGTAGCCGAAGACCCACAGCGACTGGCCAGACTTTTCATAGGTGAGCATTTTTGGGGAGAATCTGCAAACCACACTGTATATGTGTATTTTAGCGTTTATAATTTTTAGAGATCAGAATCCGCCGCGCACCTGCCGTCGGCCAACCGACACTGGGCGGGCAACACAAATGAGAGCCACGGGATTCGCATTTCTAGGGGCGAGGAGATGGGCGAGTAACCGAATTTTGAGGGGAAATCGGAGGGTTATGGTAGAAAGGTGTTAAAAGATGCAGATTACTGGGTGTAAATTTGGCCTATTTATTTTTTAGGCAAAAAATTCGCGGGATCTTTTTATAGCAGTGAAAACTATAGTAACTATTTTGAAAATGCCGAGTTTATAGTATAAACTTCATATCTTCCATTTCGCGTAAAGGGCTGGCGAATTTGTAGATTAATGCAGATACTCGGGAAACGGCCGAATTGTTACCAAAAAATGGATTTTTATGCAAATTTTAAGCCTAGGAAGCATTAAAAGTCTAAAAAACCGGATTTGTGCCGGCCAGGGTGGTTTAAAAAATCAGAAAACCTAAGAAAAAAGTGCCGTTAAAGGTAAGAAAGTAGAAAAGATGGCGAGAGAGAAAAGGAAAGAGTTAAGAAGCCAGATATTCAAGGAATTTTGACAATTTCTAGGCAGTAAAAATAGTCAAATGAGCCGCCTAAAAATAGCTCGCACCCAGCCAGCCAGCCGGATCAGGAATTCCCGACCCGAGACCGGACCTATATAGGGGCTAGTGTGGTGGGATATGTTGTGTTGTGTTGACTGGGTGAAGTGTTTATAAGGGGGCGGGGTTTCAGGGGCGGAGGGGGTCGTGGGAGTCTCGCCCAGCCGACCCGCACATTGCATCAGCCAGCCCAGCTGAAGCCCAGACCAGGGAACAGCCTCCTTCTTCTCTTCTTCTCCTCTTCCTGCTCCTCCTCCTCTTCTTTGTCAAATTGCCAACGCGCCTGACTGCTGCAAAAAAATCGAGGAGGCATGGAAAGCATGGGACCCCGCCGAACTGGGAGAAAAAAAGGGAGCTGGCGGAGTTCATTTAGGGAAACTGGTTGGAATTTCGAGCGAAATTGAGAGCGTTCCCCCTGAAACACTTGTTTTGTGGACATGCAAGGGCTAGGGGGAAAAAGCGAGAGAATGTGCTTTCTGAAGCAAAAAAAAATTTGTTTTCGGCAAGCTATCAGAGACCATTTGGGAATTTTTATATTTGACAGATGTCTGAAACCATGGCATTCCAGCATTCTTTGCAAATTCCCAGTTTTCAAATATTAAGAAAAAAAGGGAAATAAGGATTGCGTGGCAGAGATAATTTGGTACATCCACTGTTACACGGCTGAAGAGCTAGAATTCTCTACAGTCGAAGACATGCTAGCAAAGATTTTTGAGAAAACCGACTCCAATCTTGAGCATAAGCTGCTCATTCGGACGGCAAGCTAGCAGAGTTTTTTGTGAACTTTTGTGTTATTTTTAAAACGAAAACCGGAACTTTTCCCGAGGCGAATCCCTTTCGCAAAAATGCTTTGAGAAATCCTAATTTTCCGAATTTGTTTTTCGATCAGGGGCAGGCTAGCCAAGATCCTTCATCTTCGTGAGATTCACCGGCTCATTTTTTTGAATCCTTTAAGCCAAATCGTTTCCGTTTCAACCGTTGCAAATCCCAAACTTTCGGGCGCATGGGGTTTTCGATGACCACCCCGCTTGATTTCCGGCAACCCCCGGGCTGCTCCCAATGTTCTTCAAACAACCCCACGGCAACTGTCTGCCAAAGAAAAGCAGAGATGAAGGGGCATGAAAAGCATGAGGGGTCTGGGAAAGCCGAGAAAAACATTTTGACCCCTGGGTTCGGAGGACTTTGACCCAGCTTACTACAAAAAAAAACTGGCTAGAAGGTATTTCCGGTTCATTACTCTGTAAAAAAGCGAAAAAACGGAGCGTCGTTAACTAATGCAGCAGCATTTTGCCACACCTAAAATGTAGGTCAATGGCTTGAACGTTTTTCATTGTTTCCGGCTCTATTTTCTTCTTTTTAGATGAGACTTTAAGTTTATATACCAACCCTGGCGTAGAAGCATCCAGCTTCCCGACAGTAAGCCAATCCATCAGATCATCCAGCCGGGTGACCAGGAATGTAAAAAGGCCCAGAATCATTTTTAGCGAAGCGAATCGAATGATACTTTCCTCCCCTCCAAACGCTTATTTAAACCCACATCCAAAAGCTGCACTTTAAAGAATCCCGTCGCAAGATGGCGCCGATTTTGCATCAACCGCTTTTTCTTTACACCCTCAAGAATTTCTTGGTTTCATAAAATTCCCAAAATCCCCTTCAAAATAGGCCGATAAACTTGTTTGGCGGCGGCTGCATCTGCATAACAACATATTCTAACCTAAGATTTTGCAAAAGTGGTGTGAAAGTGGGCCAGTAGCCTTCCACAGCTAACTTTGTCTCAAAACGCAAAAGGATTCTCCCCGGCCGGGAATTGAACCCGGGTCTCGCATGTGACAGACGCGGATACTCACCACTATACTACCGAGGAAGCGGGCGAGAGCTGGGGGAGGGGGGTTTCGAAAGAAACGGGGAAGTGCGGCAGACAGGGCAATTTGCCCGCTTCTGCGAATTAGACTAGCGATTACGCGGCTTTTTTTGGTAGCTTTCTACCTCGATTTAGTACATTTAAGCTAACCTTTATGAAAATGCTAATGACATTTTAGTATATCTTAGAGGCTCCGACATCAGAATCCAGGTTCGGTCCGTTTTTTTTCGGCTAGAAAAGCTCATTACAAAATTTTACAATCTTTAAAAAGGCGCAATTTTTGGAAAACGCCTGAAAAGGGATCAAAAGTGGCAATTTTTGATTTTTCCAATGTTTTTACGACTTTTAATTCATCGGAAACTAGTGAAGGTACCATGAAAATAGTCAATCTTTTATTACTACGGAGGTTATTAAAGAAGACCCCCCGCTAACGTACCATAATCAGAATTTTTCAAATCCGTTTAATTTAGAATTCAACTTTATTGGCCGGAAGACTAACGTCCGGACAACTTCCGGAGTTCATTCCTTTCGTCTAAAGGCTCGTACATTCACCGAAACGAGCTCTCTGCATCCCGAACAGCCAAAAAAAACAGCGAGCATGTGACGACGAGTCATCCAGCCCGTCTTCCCCCGCTTCCAACTGCTTTCGACGAAACAGATGCATCAACCATATCGAAAGCTTTTTGCACAAAAAAAAACTGGTAATACACTAGATTCTCTTATCCAGCAAAAGCTATCCTCATTTTTGAGGATGAGGACATATCCCTTCCCCCCTCGATAATCCCGAGCAATCCGGAAGCTGAGGAAATTTGGAAAAATCGCCGGCTGATGCAACGGCTTTTCACATTGCGACGATGGTTTTATTGGGTGTGAGACGTCGATAGAATAAATGCATAGAACGTCTAGTTTCCCAGGACTAGTACCGTCACGGGGAGGGAGCGACGATTTTATTAGGATCTTCTGTACGACTTTTGAAGTCTCGAGTTTGTACTAATCGATAAATAGAACTGAACTTTTTTGTATAAATCTAGAAATGTCTACCAACTTCATTGAAAGTGTTCGAAGAGCGTTTTTAGCAAAAAAAAATAGGTTTCAATTAGAAAACCATCTAAAAACTTTTGAAAAAGTAACGTAGAACCAAAAACAATACAATGTCTAGTAACGTAGTAAGTTCTCCATGATATTGCTAATGCCAAACAGCTGTACTTCAACTCGAAGAACTACCTATTGAGAAATTAGATTGAGAAAAATACTGTATATTGAGAAATTTACAGAAATTTTTCAAAATTTCAAATATTCGTCCAGACATTTGATATTCTGTTTTAGTCAATTGTAAGGTTTGCACGTTTAAGAATTTTCTAAATGGGGAAGAACAACGTACGACGATAAACGACGAAAAAGAAACGAATCCGCTCCCCCTTTTTTTGTAAATTCGAGAAAGCTACTACAAATCGACTTCGGCATATTAAAGCTAGTTTCCAAAGTTTCAAAGCTAAGCCTCAAAAAAAAATTTTAAATTTCCGAGCTTCATCCCAAAAACGGCTTCTTCCAGCCCGGCCGGCGACCTAATCCGGTGAACGCCGAGGTCGGCTTTGTTTATCCAACCCTGAAACCGTCCTCCAGGTGAGAAGCGTGGCTGATGTAAGGCCGCGGATCAACCAGTCAGCCGTTTACTAGGTGATAACACTCTGCCGGCATGACACATAGGTGACACCACTCGGAACAACAGTTGTGGCACCTGTAGATTATTGAACTGTGCCGCAGCTGTGCTACAGCTGTGTATCCCCCACAGCTGTGCCACCGTTGTGCGCCCGCGCCGCTTATTGTTTTGGGGGCGTTCCTGGGGGTGAAATGGTTTATTCTAGGGCTTTATGATGCTAAATAGTAGCTCTGGTCCAAAAAGCAAAAAATAAAATCCTGGGCGGATCCGAACCTTCGTTACTTTGCACCACCTTCGCCTAACTCCTTATCCACTAGACCACGATGACACCTCGGTCGGGGAGCGGAGGAAGCCTATGAAGGTATAGCGAAAAATTCAAAAGCTTATAAATTGGTTCATATGCACTCCATGCTAATAAAAATTAGTTTGCCGGGTTCAGTTCTTCAAGCTCTATAAGTGTGCCTATCTCAAACCGCAGTTTTATGTCCGGTTGGGACCGTCTCCTTGTCGGCCAAAATTAGTGTTAAATCAAAAATCCGAAGTAAATGGAGTCGAAAGCAGTCACGAGAAGACTTCCGACATATAAAACATATATTTTACGAAAATTTTATTTTTTGACCCAAAAAAATGGCTAAGTCCCGGGCCACAGCTGTGATTCCGCTCCGGGAGGCCGGACACAGCTGTGACACCGCACTGTGGCGGCGGTAACGGAGACACAGCTGTGAGTGAACGCGAGCTGTGACACCGCTAAATTTTCCTAGCTACACAGCTGTGCCACCGCTAAACGGCCACTCACAGCTGTGTTTCCGCTATTAGCGGTGTCTCCTATGTGTCATGCTGGCAGAGCAGTTTCAGGAGAGTTGACCGAGCTCCAGGAAAAAAAAATGGAATAACCATTGGACGTTAGACCAGGGGAAACTGGGAAATGCATTCGGGGAATGCGATAAATTTGAAAATTCGTAGGGTTGAAAGTTGAAAGTTGAAAGAAAAATTTAGAGCCTCCAAAAGGATAAAAAAAAGATAGTCATTACACGAAAATAACTGATTATAAGAACGATACTCAAGAACGTATGATTATTTCCCCACCTTAGAACTGGTACCATTTTTATAAGGGGTTTTGTAATTGGTAGCAATTATTTCGCTAAAATTGATAAAACAGCACTTCTAAACGCGTTAAAATTGGTAAAAAAACTATATTTCACCTCGTCACGCTCACCAGTTTCTTTGAAAGACGATAATAAAAAAGCCTTAAAAACCTACAGCAGCAGGAAGCAGATAAGTATCGACATTGACGAGTCCATCCTGACGTACAGTTGAAATTTAGAGGGATAGAAACGTAGCGGAAGTCGCAGGTGAATAAGCGCGACGCGGCGAAATCCGGGTTATGGCTTGTCGGACGACCCACTTGCGCGGGGCGGCCCTCTACGACACGTCATCCAAGATGCAAAGACCAAAAAAAGGGGATACGCCGCCCTATTGTTCAATTTTTGAAAAAATGTGTAGATGCGGGGGTGAAGATGATGGTTGCGTTGGCAACGTCTTGGGTCTCCGGATAATCTCCGCGCCTTCCCGGTTACCTTCTCAAGATTTGCGTATTTTAGGCGCTATCTTGCCATGGACAACACAAAAGCGAGCATTATTATATACCCGATTTTAATCAACATATATCTCCTTGTATTTTAAATCGATTCCCCCATCACCTGATCTCAAAACCCGGGTTCACCGCCGGCTGGGATCTTTCACAGCCACATCACTTGCTATGCTGCACCCGGCCGGATTACGACATGTAAGTGAAGCCTTCGTCGCGTAAGCACTTGGCCTATTATGCGCCCTTTAGGCGTTTTATATATTCGTCATTTTTGGTTAGTAAACATAGCAGCAAACCCGCAAAGCAACTTTCCAGCGATGTTGCCAGTTGGGGCCCAAGAAAAAGCATTACCTGGTCCAGGTTGAAATTCACGTTGTAATGTCCCTCGACTATGCGCCCAATAAGTTATGTTTTCTTACCAATTTTACACGTTGTAGGGAATAATCAATAAGAAAAGTTGGAATGCGCAATTTGTAAAAGTTCAGCCACTACTTGAGAGTCAACCGCACTGCCCAATTCTAAACCCTCTCAAGCCTGGGGTTAACCGCTTAAGAATAAGAAAAATTATCAAAATTTAATGAAAAACTATCGCAAAGGGATCAAATGTCTTCAAAGATAGTGAAAAGCCTAAAACTTCAACAAAAAAATTGGTCTCGAAGCTAGGCGAGACTCCGAAACACTACACCTTCCGAATCCGTCATTGTTTCCGCGCGGAATCAGGTTTATCGCAAGGGCCACCGCGATTTTTTTCGGGATTTTTTATTTTTCGGCCTAAATTTCTGCACGCTAGACATTCTTTCTCGCCCATTGTCTGCTCCTGAATAATTTTACCGGCTCTTATGCCACATTAGGTTTTGGGGCTTCCTGGATTAAAATGCCCTGATGCATGGCAAATGCCTAAGCCTAAGCCTGCCCAGAGCCTGTTTTTGCGCCATTTCTTGTCGTATCATAGGTTTTTTGTAGCTGATTAACCTCAAACTTCCTAACCTCACTCACTTGCCAATCTTCACGAGCTTTTCCCTTCTCTTTTGTTGATGAGACCGGGCGACCGGCCGGTAGCGGAGACTTGTTGCATGACTGAAATCATCAACCCGTTCCTTGTAAATCTATGTATTTTTTCAGGATTTTCCGTGTTTTTCAAAATCGCCTCACGCTTTTTCTTTTCCTTTTGCAAACCTGGCTCGCTCACACACATCCTTTTTCAGAATCTATGGCGTTCGATAAGCAAGAACCCGCGCCGGACATCACCGTCTCGGAGACTCCAAAATGTTCAAAGTACGGCTTTCTTAGTTTTCAAAATACTGGCTCTTTTTAGTTCGCAAGAGCGGATCAACGCCACATGCCAAACGGAGGCGGGATGCTCGACGCAAGACAACCCCGAGGCCCATGATGCCCAAGATGCGGCTTCATCGGCGGAAAAGAAGACATCGGCCAGCAAGACGAAGTACGGGAACATTGTCTTCTACCTCAAGAACCCAATGCAACTCGACCACACGTCGTGCTCACCGTCCGTGGTCGTCAATACAATTCCTTGGTCAGTTTGAATTTTTGCTGTTTTCACAAAACTGCTACCCGGGTTTTTGCGTTCTTTATCATTATTCCCATTTCAGGCGCATCATGGCGGTACCAAAGGAACAAGCAGCTGACGGGAAGGTCGAGCAGTCGTTCGGGATCTACATTCAATGCTGTCCGAAGGATACATATGACGAGTGAGTCTTGGCATTGGTGTTTTTGATCTTGTCTTTTTCAGTCGTTGGTCATGCCGCGCGACTACCGAGCTCATCGTCCACCACTCCGCGAAAGACATCGTCCGCAGGAATGAGCACGACTACAATTCTAATGAAAACGATTGGGGCTACGCAAATTTCATCACTATGGCCGTGAGTTTTTGTGACGAAGAGGCTTTATTTGCTTGTTTCAGAACCTGCACCGGGACAAGGACAAGCTGCTGCAAGACGGCAAACTGAAAATCGAGGCGCGCATCTGGGCCGAGCCGCCAAAAATGAAGTCGTACGATGAATTTGTAAAGGACCTGGAGCAGTGGCACGGCATCGCCCAACTTCACATCAACAACAAGCGCTTCGACAAGGCAAACGAGGCCAATCAGCGGGCCACTGAAATGAACAAGGTAACTTTTGCTGTTCTTCGGCGTCAAAGTGAAATGGACAGAATTTTAATAACGTGCTAGTTTTGCTGAGGTTTTAGTTTATCGTTTTTTTAGGGACGCGTCGCCAACATTCAGCGAAAGCTTGAAGCCCAGCGCAAAGAGATCCTGACGTTGAGTGTCTTGCATGGGATAGAAAGAATTCAACGTAAGCTTCCCCCTTCTACGTTGATTTTTTTCTTTAGAAGCCCCGGCCGAGCAAACCAAGATGGATCGAGCCGCGATACGCGCCGCCATCGGCAACTACTCGTGCGGCGAGACGTGTCGTCACAACAAGAAGGGGCGTTGCATCGCCGCCGCCAAGCGTGGACCCAAGCCGCCGGCTCGCTCCAATCCACCTCGCTCACCCGCTTCGCCCTCCCCCACTACAGAGGTACATCTTTTAGAACTTTTCTCTATTTGGTCCAAAGTTCAAATGTTGCAAACAGATTTTGTAACTTACGGTTGTGAAAACGTTTCAAGAGCTTAGTAAAACGTTTTCGAAGACAGATCAGGCTGAGCGCTAGGCCCAAAAAGGGCTGAAAGTTTTTTTTGCGTGTGGTGAATAGGATAGTGTGCCGAGGATTAGCTTGCAACTATTTTGCGAAATTAATTAGGCGTACTGAAACGGGGCAAAATAAAACTATGTGGGCTGAATGAATACAGCTTTTTAGGTGAGGAATGCCCATAGCAGCCGCTCGACGCTGGACGAAGACTCACAGCCGCATACGCCCGCCTCGGAAACACCTTCGGGTTCAGTTACCGAAGATGAGGACAACGCGCAGCCAGGGCCCGCTGGAGCCTATTGTGCTGTATGCAAGGTAGGGGTTTTGGTAATTTCCTAATCGTCATTTTTAGTCGCGCGAAAAGATCCCGGTGCCGAGCGACAAGGAGCGTCCGATCGAGGAATACGCTGATGAGGAAGACTATGAAGCGGACAGTCAATCGGAAGGGCCAATCGATCGTCATGGGGAGTCGCCGGTGCATGTCTGCGCGGTAAGCCACGGAGGGTGGCGCCTTAGGGGGGATAATAGCGTATCCGGACGCATTTGGACTTAATTCCCCCGCCAAAGTCATCATTCCGGGATTAGAGCCACGTTCGCAACTGTATTTTGTTGCGAACGGACTGGTCATCTTTACCTTCCTAATATCCCATTTCCAGCACAACCGAGGATTGAGCAGCTTCGCCAAGCAGGTGTCGGCGGTCGGAGCCCGATTCCACCAAGTGCTCGCCCAGTTGACGGACGCTGCTAGCGCTCGACATTTCCTGCCCACTGATGCGGATTCGAGAGACGTGTATGATATAACTTTGCACGCTTTTTATTTCGATTTAGAGGGTCATCCTCGTTGCAAAAGAAGTTTGCACGTCAGACGAAGGGCACAGCGCAAGCACCCGCGCGACTCGAGGATTGCCAGCGTCTGCTCAGCTTCATCTACGACAGCGTTGAGGAGACTTCTATGCTGGTCGAAGGCTTGAAGGACGTGAACGCAAGGTAAATTCTGTGATTTCTTTTGGGAATTAATTTGGTTAAGGCAAATCACAACTCACTTGCTGACGAAGCTGCGCCGAGCTTGTATCGAGGAGAAACAGCCGCCGGCTCCACCCCAGCCTGAGCCCGTTCCGAAGCCCGAAATGGAGGAGGTACTTTTTGTTGTTTTTTTTTCGAAAATTTATTAGGCCTAATAATTATTGGGCTTTTCACCGCGAATTTTTCATGTTATTAGTGAATCGATTCTCGTGCCAGGTGCAAAATTCAGGCTCCGATAGACGAGCGGCTAGCGAGCGCTTGCCTATTTTGCACCCGTAAAATCGTCACTCGTCTTATGTTTTATTTTCAGAATGTCATGGACGACCTGCGAACAAAGCTCGACGTGACGATGAAGCAGCTCCGCGAGAAGACGAAAGAAAACAAGACGCTGGAAAAGCAGCTGGCCCGCGCGCAAGCGGAATGCAAGAAGCACCAACAGGCCGAAACGGAGAACAGTGAGAGGTATGTTTGTCGGTACAATGTTAATTTCAACTGGCTTTTTAGGGCCAAAAACATGAAGCGTGAGCTCGACCAACTGAAGAAGCGGCACGCCGAGGAGATGAAGGCCACAAAGTCGGAGGCCGCCATTCGCCAGGAGGAGCTGGCCCGCTCCAACTTGCTTTTGGAAAAGCTGAAGCGGGACAACGAAACGTGGGTTTTTACCTAGGGTTATTTACAATTTATTTTCAGCCGCCGTGCCGAGGATGAGACCAAGTACAACGCGGTGGCCAAGCAACTCCACGAATCGCAGCGTCGCCAGAAGGACTGGGAGCAGAAATGGTCGCAGGGTGCCGACAAGCTCGCCGAAGCGCGCCATTCCCTGCAGCATGCTCTAGGTCGCGTACGCCAAGCAGAGGTCGGCATCCCTATTGCAAAATATCCCCACTTTTTAGGTGGCTGCTATCAAGGCCCGATTCGAGGCCACAATCCGCTTGTACGAAGAGCTGCTCCAGGATGCACTTTCAGAGGTACTGAAATTGAATTTCTCCACGTAATGCATTTTAGTTGGCGGAGCTCGATCAGTACGCGAAAGGGCTGACGGTGGGCAGCGGCCGGCCACAGGAGTGGATTTCGACGCTCGAGCAGTCGTTAAGCGATTGGAAGGTCTACACGGAAGCCCTCGGCGAGGCGGTTACCAAGCTGAAGAACGAGGCCGCGAAGCTCTTGAAAGGAGCCGAATCGGGAGTGGCATGTATTGACAAGGTGAGGTTTTTTTTTTGCTCAATGCTATGGTTCTTCGCCTATTGAAATTATGTCTTTGTTTAGTACGTGCTGACGCCACCAACTACCCTGCCAAAACGCCCGCGCATTTTCCGACCGGCGCCGCCAAATTTTGGAGCCATTGGTAAATTTCTGTTTCTGAAACTAGTTTCGTTCTCAGGTGAGGATCGCCCGAGCTCTCGCTCCAAGGATCGTATCGAGCCGCAGACGCCTATTCGCCCGAATCCGGCACTGCCTCCTATTGGCACCCGTCCCTTGGCCACTGTGGCACCGCGCAGCCTGCTCGACCCCGAGGAGTATGGAGAGCCGACAATCGATCTGAGGTTCGTTTTGCTTTATTTTACCTAGTATTTTTCGATTTTCAGCTTCCGCGTTCGATCGCCACTGGACGACATCTGGGCCCCGTACCAACCGCCACTGCCGCCACCTCCACAGGATTTCGCGTGGCCGCCCGCTTTCAAGAGCGCATCGTCGCAACTCGGGAATGGCTTTGGGGTGAGCTTTTCGTTATCTAGCATTACTAACTTTGGGCCCAAATCTAAATGTACATAACTCATCAAATCGACTTTAGCCTCTTTTGATGGCAACGGATTTGGCTAATAGCAAATCATATTTCGGTGTAATGACTTTTGCGTAATGAAATTGCAGCCATTTCTTTTCGGTGTAAGGACTGAGCCTACTGAAAGTGGTTCTGCATGTAATTATCTTTTGCAGGTCCTTCCGACGCCCGGTATCGCACCAATCCAGCGCCCGTCATCCCGCAACGCGCCCGGCGGACCGCTGTGAAGCAACGAATAGGACCCGTCTTCTGCCTTTCCACACCATTTTTGCCGTAGTCCTGTAGTGTGTCGTGTCTGTCGATTGCCCAATTTCTATGTACGTCTTCTACAGTCAATCGGGTATCCTCCTCGTCGTCTTCTCCCCGCTCTAAGCCCCCGAATAACATTTCCCTCCTTGTCCTCGCTCACCTCGTTGCTCCCCGGTCGTTTGCCGTGTATGTAGAGACTTCTTGGCCCTCACAACATTCGTCTTTTATGATATTTGCTCCACATGGCCCACGCCCTGCCCCACTTATCCCGTGTTTCATAATCGTCCGTCCGTCTCTGGCGAGACACCGTGATGATGACATTAGCCCGTTTGCCCGTAACTCTTACGAATTCTCTATCGCCACCCGCTAAATGGCGCGTCGCGGCCTTCGGTCCCGCCCTGCCCTCGTCAGTATTTGGGGGCACTTGCAAATGTTATGATCTTTGTTACTTGTTGTTCGTTATTATAAATTTTACACACTATTTTGAGAAATTGCGAGTACTCCTTCACGACCACCGCAACAAATTTATCGGGCCCGCCTAGTCACAGAAAAAAAATGGTCGCATGTTGGTCGTTTCGGGGAGGGACGGCTGCCGATTTAGCGGTTATCGTCGAACGCGTCGCAGGCCGCATTCTCCCACTGAAACGCGATGGTATGTTGGGGGCGCCCGATCATGATCTCACCTGCAACATCATGGTGCCCTTCATGGAGGGCGGGACGAAGAACTTGGCGAAACTTTTGGATAGTGACAGGATACCGTTGACGCGCAGAGCCCTCGACAACGGGAACATTGGGCTGAAAAGTCATGGTTTTTGCTTGGATTTCATGCCCATTTTCATAATTTTTTACTTTTTACGTTGCTCCCCGTCCCGACCCACCTGTCAGCCATCCCCGAATTGACCGGCTGGCACTCGCTCATCCCGTACGTGTAGAAGAAATATTCCACGTCATTCTATACGGATTTTGCACAGTTTTGTAGAATATTCTTAGTTACTAGCGATTCGTTTTTAAGGGACTCCTATGAGCTGATGCAAAACTCGCCCCCTTTACACCGGTGCCCTTCAAAAACATGTGGTAGGCGAGGCGAACGGCCGAATACTAAAAAGTTGAGCGTAGGTGTCGTCGAATGGGCGAAGAAACCTGGTTGAAGAAGGCGCGGACGACGCGGTCTTCCGGGCCATAGGTACAGTTCGTCTAAATTGCCGGCTGAATTGCTTGTAGGCCTTTTTACCTCCCCCATCACGTCGCAAATCTTGCGGATATGGGCGGCCAGGCACGACTGATTCGCCTACAAACTGCATCGTATATAGCGAAAATCACCGAAAAATTGCGTTTCGTAGAATGTGTATGAAAACAGAATTGGTTGAAGCGTATGAAAACGACCGGAAATTTCGCCATTTGAAAAATTGGTGAAACGTTTTCATCACTTATCGGGCGGGGTGGGAAACTTTTTTGTCTATGTCTAGAAATGTCTAGTAACTTAATAGGAATGGTTTTAATAGCGTTTTTAGCAAAATATACATATATGTAAACCAAATAAACTATCTAAAAACTTTAAGAAAGTTTTCAGAAATAGTTTGCCAAAAAATGGTTTTTGGAATAAAAATGTGTAGTTTTTATTAGAGTAAAATGTGTTTCAATTTGGTTTATTCAAAGTTTAAATTTGTAGGAATAATAAAAACCATTCAGAAACACTGCCGCTAGAAACATTTCAAAATAAGGAAGGTGTATTTAAAAACACTCCTCAAAACTGACCGCCGGGATCGGGAAGCGCAAGTACTCGAAGATGCGGTGCGCCAGCTGGATACCGACGAGTGGATCCTGGAGAACGAGCTACGTGAGAAACCACAGCAGATGACCGACTATCAGATATTTCGGCCTCTGGCTCTGGCCGCCGTCATGCGCGGCCAGCGAGACATACTCGGGGTACAGGTCGTCCAGATCCTAAAATATCACATTTTCTTGCAAGAGCTGCTGACCCCATTGGCCCTGTCGAGGGTCGGCCTGTTGTAGCTGGGACGGTAGAAGGAGGCTTCTGCAAATTGTCATTCTTAAGGCCGCGGTTCGAGTGTTTTGAACTGCTAGATTTCCTTGCGATTCAATTTTTTTTGTTAAATATGCATTGAAAGTGTTTTGAATTAATAGCCAAACGTGCGCAAAAACTTACAAAAGATTTCGCGAACAATACAAAAATAGCAATTTTCCGGGATTTTGAGTTTGAATTTTTTAGGTTCCTTTAGATCGTTATTCACCGGCGAGATAGTTAAATTTTACTAAAAAACTTTTAAAAGGCATTTATGGACTTTTGAACAAGGAAAGTATTTCCCCCATGCTGATCAACAACTCCCCCCGATAATGCGAAAGCGCCGATTTTGTGAGATCTTATGTGTAGAAAAGCAAGAGCCACCTCGAATAGCCTTGAGCAGCGTCGGGTTAGCGCCGTTGTGCTCGACTCCACGGCGCCGCGCGTTGATCCGCATCTCCTTCCGCATGTAGACGAGGGTCTCGTGCGGGATGTACGACTTCCGAAGTGCCCTGTACGCGTTAAGAATCCGGTTGGAATGGATTAGCCTCACTCGTCCACGAAGCGCACCTCATTGGCGATGGCGATGGCCATCTGCTTGGCCTGCTCGATGAGTTGCTCCTGAATACGCAATTTTTTAATTAGGTGGTTCTGGTCTGTTAGCGGGGGTGGAACCAAGTTTCCCAGTGTTCCTCCACGGCTCTATAACGAAACGAAACGAAATAAACGAAAAAATTGTCTCTTTGGTCAAAAATGTAGGAAAAATCATAAAAAAAGCTCAAAATTTTCGAATTTACGAAATTTTTGAAAATATTTTTTGGAAACCAACTTTTCTGGGGGCAATCCTAGAAGTTGTTATGATTTGCGGATGCGTTTCTACATGTTTTTTAGGTATTCCTGGGCATAAAAGCTACAAAGTTGAATGAAAAATGTAATTTTAGGCCGAAAAATTGATTATTTCGACAAAATGATCAAACTGTTGGGCCTTTTCAAACTTGTTTGAATCCGAGCGGCAAGTCCCTATAGAAAATTATAAAAACTTACAGCTTCGGCGCCATTCCAGTAATCGGCGGGTGCAATCTTATCGATCCAGCCCGGATCGTTGGCATCCATCTTCAAGAGCGTGTCCTTCGCATAATCCATCACTCGCAACTCGGCCAGGTACTTGTCGAAGATGTCGCGATAACCCTGTAATCAAGTAGGGCATGCAATCTTTGCCGGGTCCCTTAAAGGGATGCCAACGGCATAGGCATTCAGTTACGCGCTGGAAAGAAAATGTCTCTGCGCCTCTCCCCAGGGCGTGTCCCTGTTGGCTCCAATTTGTTGATGGGGGGGATCGACACATGCCGTCGGCAGCCTTTAATAGAAAAGTCTCCCAGTCGACAATGTTCAATTTCTGGGCCGTCAGCGGGGGTGGAAGCAGTTTTCTCCAGTACGGCTCAATAACGAAATATTAGTCATTTTTATAGCATTCAAAATATCTTTTAGATTTAAAAAGTTTACGAAAACCGTTCTATAAATTTTCAAAATTTTTTCCGGAACTTTTCAGTCAAACGATGATCGAGCAGAATATCCAAACAACGTCGAAATGTTCGATTCAAAAATTTACTAAAAATATTTTCGACGCCGTTATAGCATGCAAAAATTTCTAAAAACCAAAATGAAATCCCAAAACCCACCGAAAACTGCAGGCCGGCCCCGTTAAATTTGGCGGTCCACAGTCCGAGGGCTTGCATCAGTTGGGCGGTGACGATGTCGCTCTCCTCGCGCCAATCCAAATCCGTCGACGCATCGCGCAGGTAGTCGAAGACGGCGTTTTCGCCGACCAGCTTGTTGAAGCCCTACAAACGGAAGTGAACAAAAGTAAATATATTTTGGTTGAGGCTGGCAAGGCGACGTTTTTCTGACAATCGAGCTCCCGTATCGGCCAAGGCTGCGGTTCAGTTTACCCCCACCTGCCCCCCGCTCCCCGCCCAGCCGACCCCACCTACTGTATCTCGACACCCGTTGTCGTAGGGCCCTGTAAAGTATACCAAAATACTCGCCAGAACAAGACGAACATTTTGTTATGCTTTAAACATCTGTAGGTCAACAGGTGGCCGAGATACAACAACTGGAGGCCGGAGGGGGCGGGCGAACTCAACTATTACCCTGTTTTCAAAAGCCGGCGAAACGATCAGTTTCAAAAAAAAATTATCAAGCTTTTCAGAGCGAAAAATGCAAGGTTTTGCAAAAATTGGGCGAGTTTGGGCTTCTTCGCACTTAAAATTTTCATAACTTTTTGGACTTCAACCGTTTCGTAGTATTTGGAAATCGGACCGTTTTTGTCCCGTGTCGGAAATCACTTTTTCATTAAAAACGTTTCCTTGTTAGAAACGTGGCATCTGGAACTCAGCTGCAAAAATAAATATCGGCTGGTTTATTAGACAGAATAATTTTCAGGCGGTTGAACGCTCCATAAAGCCCACCAGATCCGCCTCGTAATTCAGCGAATCGAGCACTATCGTCGGTAGAGCATTGTCACGGGGAATTTGGTGGGGGCATACCTGAAACGAGAAGCTATTAACAAAAAATTTCCCCTCCCCCCGCTAATGAACCAGAACCATTATTTCCAGGCTCGACCTACATGCCGGTAGAAGTTGGTACCAAGTTGCAGCCGTGGCTCGAGACCGGCCGTCTTCTTCGCCGTCAGCATGTGTTTCTTGTAGAGTTCTTCGACGATCGGCGTTCCGAAACCCCAACGAAGGACAAGCGGAGTGCGGACTTCCTTGATGGATTTGCTGGAACGTATGCTTGATGGTAAAGTGCAAGCTTTTCAACTTCAAACATAATCATTCTTAGAATCCCACCAAACGAGTGCAAAACAGCACAACACCAAAGCGATCCGCATCTTGTCGTCCGGTCGGGGGATCGGAGCGCAGAATGGCAAATAAGCGGACGGCTAGCCGACGCAGGAAGGGATGCAAATCCAGGCGGATGCAAACTTCCGCAGTTTTGTTGATGTAAATCCTTGTCCCCTCCCCTGTGTGACGTAGCTCTCCTTGTTTTAGTAAGAACTTTTCACATGCGTTTGCTTTCCAACCAATTTACCGTTCGAGCGACAGTCGAATCAGCAAGCAGCGTTGTAGAATCTAAATCCGTCCTAGACACAAAAAAGCAAAAAGTTTCTCCCCGGCCGGGAATTGAACCCGGGTCTCGCATGTGACAGACGCGGATACTCACCACTATACTACCGAGGACACGAATGGCGGCGGTGGAGATTGATACAAAAAGGCCGCCCGGGCCCCACATGCCTGCCTGATCCCCCGGACTCATTCAAGGCGCCTCGGCTGCTTTACGAAAGCCGCTGATTTTCAGCGTATCCGGTAGAAATGAGCAAAAGCCAATTTTTTTAAATTGATCTTCTTACACTTAAAACTAGTGTGAAAACCTTTAAAAACGTCCGATTTTTTTTGCTGTTTCATTGTTTTTTTCACGATAATTGACACCACTACCAAAAAGCAAAAAATTCTTCCGTTGCCGGGAATCGAACCCGGGCCTTATGGGTGAGAGCCATAAATCCTAACCACTAGACCACAACGGAGGATGCGAGGGGAGGAGAAACGGAGCTCTAACTGGTTCCTGACGCGATGACAGCTGTCAATGTGAGCTTATCGCTTCATTTTCCCCGGGGTTGGCTTTGGTTCAACCTTCGACTTATTTCGTTGTAATAATATTTGCCAATTATGCCGACTGCGAGTACTTTATCGAAGCAAAAATAGCTAAAACCCGTACATTTAAGTAGCATAATTCCTGCAGATTTAGTGCTCGCTTCTCGAGACGCTCGACTTTTTGATGGTAGGAGGCATCGGCCACATATTAACAACGTGAAGGGCGGCCTGCCAAGTGGTAGGGGAGACGGCTGCTGACACCGGATTTGACCAAGGGTTCAACTTCTGAAAAAAATCAATAAATGGGCCAAACTCGTATCATACCATGTATATCAAGCGCAAGCATCGAAATATCGCGCTCCTGTACGCCTTCGTGGCCAACAAAACCGCCAAATTGTTGCCTAACGAATGGAGCGACGTCGTAAATCCGACCAAGCCCACAACTATCAAGTATTTAGGAGGTATAAAATATCAGTTACCCGAAAAGAGCGGTTCCCAATTCAGTACTTTCAAATAAACAGCGAAGGATATAAAGCAGGGTATTCCCAGGAAAAGAATCGCCCTAAAAGACTAAAAAACGCTTAAATATACCTTTCAGCCCGAATGAATGTTACCTGCAAAAAGAAGATCAAGCAAAAATGACGCAACATCTGACGAGTGCGCCTGCTGAGCGTTGGATTGGAAGTGGCCGTGAAATAATTATGAATGTTCATGTAGCAAACGTAAAGGTAGAACATGACAGATAACAAAAAGGTTGTAACGAAAAGAAATACGTAGCCGGCCCACTGATCAAATCTACGAAAAAGGACCATATTATTGACGTGGCAGAAGGTTGGTTCCAGTTGGCAAAGCTAGAAGACAAATTTAATCTTGAAAGAAGTCTATTAGGAAACTAAATTATCGATGTGTCGTTTATTTGGGTGGCAATGAATTAATGCCTACCTCTTCCGGGTCTACCACTAAACAACCAATGTCATACACCTTCCAAACAGCGGACACTAGGGCTGCCATCAAAAATATATCCAACCCAGCGGAGACTGCAGCCTTTCCGGATGGGGACCGGCCGGAATCCGGGTTGACAGGTGGTCTGCCAGATTAAAAAAGCGTCGGTTCGGGAAGGGAACTTTGAAAATTGCCGCATCTAATGTGCACTTGGTGGGCGCACATAGCATCGGGTCAGACGTGTCTTTCAAAATTTATTGAATTAAATTTTTTGACTTTTGGTTTGCGCTTTTCAAATTCTGATCTTTGTGTGATTTTGCGGATATGCAGCTAACTTTTTATAACATTTATTGAACCGCCTCCTGTTCTGCGCTCGATTGGTCGGGTTTGATAGAGGGCAATGGGATTGGCCATCTATGAATAACGTGGAGGGCCGCTTTGCAATTGGCGGGCATAGCGGCGACGGTATGCCGATCGGCCCAGGGATTTAATTTCTGGAAAATCGAAGCGTACATTAGGCTTAGGTTTCCGCAGAGACCTACTAAACTTTGAATTTTGGGTGAGGCGTAAGTTTAGAATTAGGATTAGACCCGGATCCAGGTTGGAGGGCCATGTTTAAATTTCGGCTTTTTAGAACAGGCAACTAACAACAGTTTACTATTGATTTTTTACAACCTTTAAAAAGCAGCTTTTTCCTACCCAATGAACCCGCTGTATCAATAAAAACAATGCATTCCGGTACCCTCTTGTCGCGAGTAAAACGGCAATATTAGTGGCGACTGGGTGGGTCGATATCCAAATTCCTGTCATGCCAACGACTAAAAGAAGCCCTTGATGAGATTTTACACCCAAAACTCACCCCAAAATAGTGGCTCCCAATTAACAATTTTCATATAAACGGCAAGAAGTGCACTGCAAGGCATTCCCAGAGACAAGAAGGCTGTGGAGGACTGGAATGTTGAAAATATGACGTTGAAACACCTAGAAAAACCTGCAGAAAAAATGTGATACAAAAATCCCGAAGCATTTGTCGAGCCTCCTTGCTCAGCGCTCGATTTGTATTTGAATAAAAATAATGTCGAGCGTTCATGTAGCCGACCAAGAGGTAGAAAATGACGGTCAGCACGCAGACGATTGTATAGAAACGAAGGTAGTCGACGATTTGCTCGAAGTCTTCGAATAAAAAGACACGTTCGATGCCGCAGAGGATTTGTTCCTCTCGACAGATCTGAAAAAAACTTTTGGATTGGCGGTTTTCGTTTTATGATTTTCATTTTAAATGTCCCAATTCGCAAATTTTAGTATTTTTTAGTGAATAGCATTATCTTCTCATTCTAGTCATTTCCATCTAGTCATTTTTCCAACGATTCAGCTACTCATTTTTTTTAAATAGTATTTTTTTGTACCTATTCAGGGAAAAATAAAAATAAAACTATGATTAGAGGCTTAAAACAGTCCACCGTCTTTTTTTAATCAGAGCATTTCAGCCTCATTTGGGATCAATTGGTAGTTTTCTTTCGTACCCACATTCCGTTGATCATCAACGACCGATCCCTGCGCATAAAATTTCCACACCAGCCCAATTAGGCTGATCTGCAGGAACCCGTATAGCACAACGATATAGCGCTTCGCGGAGGCATAAAAGAAGCGGTGGGTGTGCGTGGACTCCTTCGTTTTTAGCACGCCGATATAGAACATTGCGCAGATTGAGTGCACGATGGTGAGCAGATAGATGCTCTTAATTGGCCTTTAAAAGGTGTGGCATTATGCCTCTCACCACGATTACATGCAACTGAAAAAGGTTGTGAATCGCGCCAAGAAGTTTCCCCGCCGCGTACGGGGCGTAGATGATCGGTTGTAAGGTAAAGAGCGCGGTGCCGGCAAGTTCGGCGGAGATCTGAAAATACAACGCTAGGTTTTTGAGCCTTGTTGATTTTTCCGCTTTGAATTGCAAATTTTGGACTCAAACCCCGTAAAAATCCGTAAAAAATCCTGTAAATTCGATCATTTCACGATTTTACAGGAATGGTAGCGAATTGAATTTTTAACAAATTCGATAAGACGCATATAGGAACAAGAAAAACATTGTAATTTCGTAAAAAAAACAATTTATATTTCCTGCATTCGAAATATTATTTGTCGAAATTATGGATACAAAAACTCACAATCAAATTTAACTGAGCCGTTTTAAATTCCCTCCTGACTGGAGCGGGTCCTATAGAAATAAAATACACAGTCAGCCCACAGGAGGCCATTCCAAGGCCCCAGAGCGAGTAATAGGCACCGATAATCCATAACTCTTCGCGATGAGATGGATAAAACATTGAAAAGCTCGGATTTTGAGAGTTCAATGAATAAAATCAACTGAAAATCGAATACGTCTACCCCAGTGTCCAGAGAACCACTACATATCACTTACAATTAGTGGCAGGCAGGTGTTTTTTTAGCGTGGAAACTGGCGAGAGCCAAATTTAGATCCACCGGAACTTCAGAAATCAGAATCAAAAACGGTCCTATTTTGGAGAGCGTTACTAATTTCACCTGTACTGAATCTTGAAAGCATTGAACACCACGACAGTTACGAATTTTATGCAGTTCAAAACTACCTCTGCACATTTCAAAAACCGTTGAGTTGGCCAAAAAGCAAAAAATTCTTCCGTTGTCAGGAATCGAACCCGGGCCCTATGGGTGAGAGCCATAAATCCTAACCACTAGACCACAACGGAGGATGCGAGGAGAAGACCACCGAGGTGCTAACTAATTCACGTCTAAAAGCAGAGCTGTCAATTTGGGCTTATCGGTAGGCCCCGGTTCCCCGGTCGATGTGTTAGGAACTTCCTAACAAAATAGGATAGTCCTAAACCGAAGTAAGCAAATTTTTACCCTATGTTAAAATTGCAGCATTAATATACATTGTCTACGTCAATTTTTGAATTACGAATTACGACCAATTACGAAATTCTTGTTTCTACTTTCTCTCGGTTATACGATGTGTATCTAGTTACCGCGCCGCCAGGTAGCTCGTCGATTGTTTATAAATGCGCCAGATTGTTTATTTTATGCAACCAGACGGTCTGGATAGACTTATGGTTCGAAAGAGAGTATGGTTACTGGGTAAATACCCAAAATCTCCATTTTTCGACACCCTAGGCTTCGGCTCGCCCTGTTTCATAAATTTGCGGTAAGGGCTTGGTATAAATAGTAATAAACGTATTAAAAACAAATTGATCTAAATAAATCAATCTAATTCTATTGAAAAAATGGGTAGTGATACGTTATTTTGCATAGCTTTAATTTT